TACTTTTTAAGTAGCTTTGTGTACCTAGGCCAACGAAAGGAGCCGCTCGTTAAAAAAAATAGATCTCAAGAAATGGGAAAGTTCTCATCATCATCATCATCATTATCAGCCATTTTAATGTTCCCACTACTGGAACACAGGCCATCTCTCCAGGAAAGTTCTTAACAATATAAATTAAGTCCAAACACGAGGTAGCTACTGTAAACCGTTGAGGAGTTCCCTAGACTGTCCTTCGTCTTCATCATCAGATCCCTGATGACAGTCACAATCCATCTAGATGTAAAGTTCTTATCAAAACGAATTTATTAAGCTCAAACACAAGGAAGCTGCTATGAATCGTTGAGGAGTTCTCTCGACTGTCTCTCGGTTCCATCCGGAATTCCCTCGTCGGTCAATGGTCTTCATCGTCAGGTAAACTGCAAACCTTCAGTTGTTATAATACATACAGGTACAAAGTTTTCATCAATATAAATGAATTAAGTTCAAATACGAAGTAGTTACTGTAAACCGTTCAGGAGTTCCTTGAGCTGTCCTTCGTTCTCATCATTAGACCCTTAATGACAGTTACAACCAAGCCTGCTGCAAAGTGCTCGTCAATACGAATCATTCAAGCCCAAACACAAGGCAACTACTTCAAATAGTCAAGGAGATCCCTCGACTGTCTTCCAGCTCCAACATCTGGTCGACTTCGACCTTCGTCAAGTTGTAGTGTTGATAAAGGCCTACTTAAACATCATACAAAAACACTACTCGCCCCTACAATTTTCGAAAGTTCCCCTCGGTTTCTCCAGGATTCCATCATCAGATCCTGACCTCATGACAATGGGACCAAATGGCAAGTGTACCCTATCGAATAAAAAAAGAATTTTGCAAATCGGTCCAGGCGTCTTCGAGTAATCGGTGTACATACATAAAAAAAAAAAAAAAAAATACGCGTCGAATTGAGAACCTCCTCCTTTTTTGAAGTCGGTTAATAATAAGTAAGTAGTAAGCAAACGCTACGTGCGATCTGATTGGTTGGCAGTCACGTGTCACTTCTCCTTCCTCGCGGCCGCCATTGCTGGCCACGGAACTTTATTTTAGCAAGTAACTGTTAAATAGCTCATTGAAACTAGATAATAGAAAACTCAACTCACTACATCCGTGCCAGAGAGGAACCAGGCATTGTTGTTTCCAATTTATAGTTTGTCAAGTCTGATTATTCTGAAGTCTATGTATAAGCATTGCCACTATGAACATTGACCAATCAGAGAGCAGTGTTTTATTTTACGTATTTCAAAGATCGTATATTTAAAAGAGTGTCTGTGATTGGCCGAACCATATAAAATCTTACGAATAGATATTCGTTAGTTTATAAATTTACCGTATGACGTCGGAAATTGATAAATTTACGAAAATGTGGACGTAAAATATTACAATTTATCTCCCGTTTAGAATCTTACGAAAGTTTATAAACTTCCTAGTAAATTGATAAACTTACGGATCTTGTTATTTTCCGGTGACATATATAAACTAATAATACATAGATCCATATGAATAAATACCACTTATATATGAAAAATAAAAAAATAACAACTGGTAATACAATAAGTTACCTCCTGAGCGAGATTGACGAAGGGTACACGTTCATCTGCAGCGGCAACGACGTGCGCCAGTTCCGGTATAAAGTAAGCGGGTTGGCGCACGCGCACTGCGCGCTGAGACGCCGCCGATAACTTGCGCTTACCCGGCTGCATACCTGGGTATGTAACAAAAATATTATTATGTTAGTTACAAAATACTAGATCGCAAATGATTATTCCAAAGAGAATGCAAAAACTGACTTACCGGGTGTATCGAGTGGCGTGAAAGGTCCGTGTGTGAGTGTGAATGTATCAAGTTCTACCAACGAGTTCAGCTTCAAGTAGGCGCGTGGGGCTGTCGCCGGAGTAGACGAGCTGCTAGATGTGCTCTACGACAGATATTTCAACTTAGTAATAAAGAGGGTTTTAAAATTTGATGATTAAGAAATGTTGAAATAGTTGGTAGTCGGCATCTATATAGATCTGATGCGCACCTCATCCTCGCACTCGTCGGGCGTGCAGCGCCGGGCCCCGGCGAGGTGGAAGGACAGCGCCACGGAGCAGGCGCTGCCACTGTTCCCGCTGTTGCTGTTCGTAGCTGAGCTACCCGCCGCCACCTCCTTCATCTCCACTATCTGGGAATCGCACACACATATTACATTTGGACATCGAATACTTGTTAATGTTATGTTAATGTTAGTAGTCCTCAAAGAGTATTCGTCGCAGGGAGGTGGTACACTTACCAGTATATGGTCGGTGTGGCGATGCAATGTGACATAGAGACGGTCGGCGGAGAGCTTGGTGAGCGGGTGCTCCGGCCCGTGCAGGAAGGGGAGGTGCTCGCACACGCTCGCCGGTAGGTGCTGCAATGTCTTCTCGCAGCGCCGCGCCACCAGCCAGAACCTGTAGCATGCGTGTACTTACTCCCTGCTCGCCTACGTTCCGTATTGGTGCTATATGACCTCTCAAATTCATTTGATTTCTTTTCATATTGAACAAAGTTAATATATATAATGATTATACTGATATTTCTGCCATTTAATGAGTATGTATACCTAAGCTGTGTGAGCAGCGTCTTGATGAGCGGTATGTTGGTGCTGGCGAGCGCGGCGGCCAGCTCGGGCATGCGCGGCGTGGCGGGGTAGGCGGGCACGCGCGCGCGCAGGCGGCCCCCGTGCGCGCCCACGCAGACGAGCAGCTGCTCGGCGCGCAGGCAGGGCGCCACCACGGAGCACGCCAGCACGCACGGCCAGCCGCTGACCCCGCAGTCCACGCCCAGCTCGCTGAGCAGCACCTTGAGGTCGGCGAGGCGCTGGCGCGAGCGCACGTGCACGGTGTGGGCCAGCAGACGCTCCATGGAGGGCGCGTGCGGCGTCAGCGCGGCCGCCACGCGCTCGCCGCCCGCCAGCGCCGGCACGTGCCACACGCACAGCTGCGAGCCCTCCGCGCCCACGATCAGCCGGTACCCCAGCTCGCAGCCAAGCTCCCTGCGCCGCGCATGCACACGTTACTTGCCTTCTTACAGAATGATTGCGTGCATTCATAAAGTTCTCTTTAATGAACCTACCTCCAATATGAAACTTGTAGTTTCTGTCCGGGAATATATCTGTCTACTTGTAGATGACGAGAGAGGCGGTCGCGACACAGTCGCAATGTTTGCGTGTACAACAGCTCTAAAGATAATGAGCGGCAGAAGTAACGCAGAGCAGTGAGCGCGCCGCTCAGTCCAGCCGCTGCTAGGCGAGCCTGGGCCACTCCGCGTAACCAGGCCAGTTGGGAACTATGCACGAGAGGCTTGCCCTCTAAATAAACAAAAACACAGATTAATAAAGGTTACTCATGCTTATCAACTGAAAATAGTAGAAACTAAAAAGTGTATATTAAAATTGTTACCTCCAGTTTCACTATCTTGTATCAATATAGCAATGTCCAACAATCGCCATGGCAAGTTTGGTGCATCTCCCATAACAGTCAGAGAAACACTAAATTCCTGACCAACTGTGAATGTTGCACGCCCATTCTCTACCTACAATAAATGTGACAAGAGATGAACTGTAAGTTAAACAACAAAACAAAATTTTAACTACATGAATAGTTTTGTTGCTTGAATATTTGCACTCACCTTCAAATTTCTTATGTCACTCGGCAAAGAAGCAGTTGTAAGACGTTGGCGCACTACATGGGCAAGTGCACGCAATGTTGTGCGACGTTCACCGGGTGTCAGTGATGGGGGCGGGACCAGCCGCTCCCTTATCACTGCAGGCAGTCTGCTGTATGTGCCCAGTGTCAGCACCTCCACTGCTGCAGCCATATGGAAAGTCGGTAACCTAGACACAGGTTTAACAAAAAATCAGCTTGTTCTTTTGTTTTATCTGTGATTGTGTATTTACATCAATGTCCTCATAATATTCAAAAAAACTAAGTAGATATGAGCAAATGTTTAATGTGTAAGGGCAACTGTAATTGAATATAAATATGACAATATCAATGTTTATAAAGTAAACAAACCTTGCATGTACTAATGTCTCCCTGGCTACTCTAGCCAAAACATCAGCTGTTTCAACAAACAGTAAAGCTTGTTTATCAAGAAATGCCATGATATGTGCTGAACGGTCCACTTTTGTAGCACTACTAGCCCACTTTACCAGGGCCAACAGACGAACAAATAACTGTCTTGTTCGTGCACTGAATTTGTATATCTCAATTTTTCGTTCCATATCCGTTTTACGAGGTAACCTGCAATGGTTGTGATACAATTATAATAAAAAAATACATATTATTTACTAGAGTAAAACAGGTAATATACTTACAATTCAGCCAACACAGTGAGTTCATCATAAGTGCGTTGTACAATAAAATCTATAAGCAAAGCCAAGGATATAGAGCCACCCCTGGCTCCTCCACCTTCAGCACCTTGGGTGCATCCTTCTATTGCCACAGGCACCATGGTGTTCTTTTTGGACTTTTAGATCAAGTACTGGAATAACCAAGCCTATACTATTTATTTAGCTTATAAATTCTAATTACGAATGAACACGCATTTTTGAATTGTAATTGACAATATTATCAGTTTCCTCATCGAAAAAATATTAAACTCAACACTTTCATGTCACCATCACCAACACCGAATGACATTTGACAATTCTTTGAATGTTGAATGTGAATGAATGAAGCCTTTAGTAATAAACTATTTAATGAATGAATGAAAACACGCGGTATTTCAATCCCAAAATGAATATTTTTTAAATTCATGGTAGGAAGAAGAGATTTTGTGTCCATGTAAATCCGTTTTCGGAAACATACCAAAATAGAACTAAGAAATACAAAAACAACAATAGCAAAATTAGTATAATTTGTACAATAGACTTTTTGTTCCAATATTACGCGTATAATGTAAGTGTAACGTAAACTGGAACGTAGTTGTTATGGTTTGACAGAAGACCATGTCGCTCGTTCAATGAACATGTTAAACGTCCAATTTATCTTGGCAGTCCATGGTGGCGCTACTTTCATTAGCAAAATGTCAAAAATATGTCAAAATCAGTACATTTAAATTTAGTTTCGTATTCTGCCACCTGCCAAGATGTATTGGTCAGTCAGTAGATGTTCCATTGATAAAAAATCCTGAATTAATGGTGATTACAGAATAGCCTTGTACGTTGATATAACTTCAATTCTGTCTAGTTTTTGACTCTGTTTACTATGAACATATAAAGCAGACGGTTGTCTCAATCCCATAATTATAACTCTACTGATAATTAGAAACAGCTATTTGTTTTAAATTCAGTGTTCTTCGTATATTTTCATTTGTACGTATTTCGTTTTTTTATCAAAGCAAAAGTTCTGTAAATGTTTAGACTTGAATAGAAGTTCTGTTGTGGTGAATTTTTATCTCTCTCTTCGACCTAACGTAAAATAAAATTTTACGTTGCAGTTGTTATGAACTGGTGATACTCATGTTCGGTTAATATTTCATGAACATTTTTTTTAAAGCGACCGCGTTTTACTGTAGCTTATACATAAGTAGGAACTTGAGATCACGTGTAAATTTTAATTACACCCAAATAGCAAAAATGGGTTTGCTAAGTGAAGGAAGTCCCTTGTCGTGGGAAGAGACGAAGGCTTTGGCAGAGCATGTCCGTCAGCACGGAATCGAACAATTTATTAACCTGTACGTGAAGCTGCAGGAGCGCACAGGCGACGTTCTGAAATGGGGAGATGAGGTTTGTTTACATTCACTATTGATCTATTTAGACTGTTCAGCTTGACTTACCATGTGGACTTTCAGTTTTATTTAATCTTTACATAAATCACATATATACTTAACTATATTCATTGCCTTCATCTTGCAGTAAATTAGTTTTATGATACTGTTTGATGCCATGGTAAATTACCAGAGTTATTGGATTACCTGAGAAAATTTAGTGCAAATCTTCTAGATTATGTTGCATAATATTCATAATTATGATGTAAGATAGAGAAATACAGAGGAAGACAATAAGAATATTTTACTAAAAATCTTATTTCAATCTTGTTGTTTATAATGTTAAATTTAATTTATTAAATTGACTGTAGAAAAAAATTTACAACTCCACCTCTAGACTACCTACTGACCCAATACATATAGTTGAATCTACTGCTTTAAACTGCTGCCACAAGATTTGATAATACTTTTTAGGTAATAAAGGATATAGGTATAATTAATAATTATGTATTATAAACCCCAGATGCAGCTTTGAAACTAGTCAATTAACCACCTTGAACAGTAACAGAAGAAGCTACACAACATAATTAATAAATTGATTATTTTAGGTGGAGTATATTATTGTGAAGTTTGATGATGAAAACCAGCGAGCCACAGTCAGCCTCATTGCCGACAATCTGCTGCCTAAACTGCAGGAGAAAGAACTAGCAGATCCTCAAAGTAAGTATTTTCTTTACAAGTAAGTACTAAAAGTAGAAGTATTATAAATTTTTTCTATCCTTAACATAGATATTTTTGTTAAGCCAAGCTATGGAAAAGTGTATTGTTTCTGAGTTTTTGAAGGTGTAGGGTTGAAACCAGGCAAGTACCAAAGTGACTCATTCTAAGTTATCTATACTTTCTGAGTGTTTAAAGATCCCATTGGCAAACAACGAAGGAAAACAGTGAGGAACATGTTTCCTCACTAAGTTTTCCTTCTTACTTACTTATAAAATTTAAATATAAGTCAGTATGTGTTTAATTCTAAAACCTTCTGTGTGTGACACCTTTTAGGCTAATGATGATGAATTAATTTTAGTTGACAGTCTAGAAACCTATTGTTGTATAAAACTTTTCATGATTGAAAATTAATAAGTGCATTATGTCAATATTTAAATAGGTAGGTACTACACCTAGTTGTATAGATAAGATCAGAAAATATTTTGTAAAAATGTATCTATCATAGCTTATGCCTAATTTGGATTCGCAATATCATCATAAGACACTCGGCACCGAAGCCACGCTTCTAATAGGAAAATCGAAAAAAAAAAAAACTGGTCATACTTAATTGGTACATAAATCGAAAACTTTTGCAGTCGAGCTTACTATGCATAAAACACAACCTAGACAATAATGTACCATTTTCCTCACTTGGGATGATAACATATTATTATGTAGGTATCTATTTGTACAATGACGTAACCATGGAATCCGCTAACTGAAAACTGTCGTTTCATACCACACCATCACTTACGACATGACTCATACGCAATAAATAGCAAGTTGGTTTCAAAACGAAAATAAAAATATACCCTTACTTCTTCTTCAGTGACGCAGCAATAATAAACAAGTTGCGTGACCTTGGAGCAATGATCATGACATGACGATTACAGTTTTGTGCCAGTAATAGTTAAACATGATTGAACTTGTTTTATTATTGCTTATTAACGCTGCTTATATGCATGACCTAAACCAATACTCCGAATTTTATTATATTCTTTATTATTTAAAACTAAATAAAGTATCTAATTTTCAAGTACAACCATTTGACAACACTGGCTGACGATGAAGGAAAACATTTTGACGAAACCGGGACTTACAATTTCATATTAAGTAGATGTTTGAAATCGATCGTAGCATGCTTTTCCCTTATCTGAATGAGAAGAGTTTCGCAGTGTGCACTAAACTCATGTACTATACAGTATAATTATATATACTTATTGGTATATACCAATAATTATACTGTATAGTCACTGTATAGTACGTAAACCGAAGGAGTAAACCGAAGCGCACATACACTAGATTGTAGCTATCTAACCACACACATCCGAAACAAAAATAAGTACAGTATAATATTGACACGTCTGCTGTTAGCATTGCTTTATTAACGAATTACTGCTAAACAGGACTTAATTCAGACAATCTTTAAACCTTCCTTTATCTGTCTACAAGGAAATCACTTAAATCCGGAACTACTGACACAAATTACTTAAAATATTAAACACCATTTATTCATTTAGTGTGTTATTCATAACCACATGGTAAACATTTTTATATTTTACTAGCTCCCGCAAGCGGCTTCGCCCGCGTGCTGTGTTGATAAAAAACAGCCTATAGCAATAGAACAAAATTGAAGTTTACATACAATTCGTTATTAACCGCCTTATTTTTATGGGTACACAGAAATAATCATGCGACGGCGCGATGGCTTATTATCCGAACTGCTAAGCTATCAGGAGTTACACGTGCTACTGTGACTTAACCATAAAAGATAGACATATGCTGTAAAATTTTTTTTTTAATAATTTTATGTAGAATATTTCCGTCATACATAATTTCTATGTAATCTTAACCATAAAGGCTACACACGCGACGGAACCTTAAAAAAGGTAGTAACTTCTCCCGTTTTCCTAACATTTCCCTTCACTGCTCTGCTCCTATTATTTGTAGCGTGATGTAAAGTATCCTATAACCTGCCCAGGAGTATAAAGAATAATTGTACCAAATTTTGTTAAAATCCGTCGAGTAGTTTTTGTTTCTATAAGGAACACACAGACAACAATTTTACTGATTGCATTTTCGGCATCAGTTTCGATCACTTATCACCCCCTGGTAGTTATTTTAAAAATATATTTAATGTACAGAATTGACCTCTCTACAGATTTATTATAAGTATAGATGACCCTAGTACGCTCGCATAAAAACTAACTACGTACGTATTAATTATCATTATACTCTATGAAAACTAATGTGTAGGGCACACATCAGCTAGTTGGACTGGCGATATCCGCGTCCTTGGGGTGGCTGGCATTGGTTGGATGAAAAGCTGAACATCAAGCTCAGTAGCGTGCAATTGGCGAGGTCTGTGTCCAGCTGTGGGTGAAACGAGGCTGATGATGAAACACTTGGACATCGTAATAAAAGAATACCTATATTTATGTAGTCGTATCTTCTATGTCAATACAATGATGATGACTGGCAAAAAATATTTATTTAAAAACGTGATTAAATAAGATAAGGCATTTTTAGTTCATGCCACATAAAAATCTCGACCCGCGAATAAATATAAAACGTATCTATCTAAGTGTGACTAAAAATAACAACAAACATTTTTGTTACTCAAAGTAAATGCCCAATATGATCAACAATAGTATAGATCTTCTCATTAACTTTTTTCTTGTATTTACTGCATTATTGTTCGAGATAACTGGTTTACCGAGTTCCTTAAAGTTACAAGTTTTTGTGTGCCTGACTCTTGTTCCTCGCAACAAATTTTCGTAAAAAATTTCAGACAGTTACTACACACCTAAATACTCATTGATTTCAGTTTTCTCACACATGCATGCCTTACGAAAATATCAATCAGATAAGAAGATAAGGTATTCTATCTTTGTAGTTATACCGTCCATGTTGGTTACCATGACACAGCAGAAATATTATATGTTGGTTGAATCAATGATAGGCGAAGCAATCAATAATTTCCATGCACTGACTAAGTGAAAATAACTTATGACCTCATTCGACAAATGGGTACCGCCTTCGAAATAAAGTTGGATAGCAGAGTCATGCTTTTGATTGTGACCGGCTGAGTTACTTAGAAATTCAGCGTATTCTGACCAGTAGACATACTTTGATCTATTAGCATAGATAGTCGGCTCCTCCTGATACCTACATCTACTTCCCAATACTACTTCAGCTAATACCGAAGCTCCACAACAGGTGACCGTCAATAGGGCCCACGTTCAGCGTATAAATGTACCGCCGTCGCGGCCCGAAGCAAGAGAAGGAAGGATGTTGCCCCCTCAAAAAAATACAATACTGAAGCTATATAAAACATGGAATATTACATAACATGGAATATAGTAAATAATCTATCGATATACAAGTATAACAACTAAATCTGTACAATTTCCGTACTACTCGTCTAACTACAGGCACTTATCTTTATCGAGACATTAGCATAATTACTCTCAATACCGAAATAATAGATATTGGTCCAAAGCATTTATTAACTTATAAAAAAAAACTGAATACGTCATTACTAAAAGTTGTTGAATTCAATTGCATTAGTTGCAAAAAAAATAAGTAGGTACATGGCTGGCGCACAGCAGTTTGGCAGGGCAAGCGCAATAGTGTACCGCGGCCTCGGCCTCGAGCAGAAGAAGGCACGGGGTGGTTTGTAGACGGCAAGAACCTGACATACCCTCACCCCTCCCAGGATGAGAGGAAACATTTGATCATTTTCCCACCTCAAAAAGTACCCGGCACAAGTGGCGGCTCACACCATTCTTTACTTTACGCATACGCAAATATACATATGAATCATTCATTACCTAAGTAACAATTTTTGTTATTAGAACTAGTCATTGAAATGAATTAAACAGAGCTGAATTTTTCTTTGTAAGTATATAGATAGAAATAAAACGTGTAAAAGATGATCAATACTTAAGCTTCTTTAATAACAACTTTATTAGATAGGTACTCTTTATTATTTTTACTCCGTCGCCTGCATAATGGTTATTGTCACGTGCTGAATTCTACGTGTACATTATTCAATGTATAACTATTATAATTCATAATGCGTAAGACGGAAGTGTCATGTTGCATGTTTCAACCGTGTACGGCTTATTTACAATGTGTCAACGTCATTGTTACTTCTCAATTTCGCTCGACTCTTACATGAGCTGCCGAGCGGCGGGTCCAATTCTCGGGTTGAGCAAATAATTACTGGATTTTTCCTTTCCTGTAACTCCCACAAATAAGGCAACAGAAGTAGAGCTGATAGTATGAATAAAATGACCCGTATTTTATAGGTATATGGGTATCTTCATAAAAATCTTGCTGGTGAAATCGGGGGTGAGTTACACTTGATACCTATATTCAATGACCACTCCTTCAGGTTCTGAATAAACTATAAATTACTTTACGAATTGTTTGTTACAACAAATTGCTGACAATGATAGTTATTAACCTTTTTATATTTTTATTGGGAATCTCCAGTGCCTAGTGCGATTTTGTTGCGTTTATGAAGTTCGGCACTAAGAAAAACCTGTTGCAAGTTAGCAACCAACCATAGGGCTACCGTAACGTTTCGGTCACGTTAACATAAAGCAAACTCGCACTAGATATACCCTCTGATTTACCCAATAATTTCGTGTTCCACAATTTACGAACAGAAAAGACCAAGCAACATTTAATAAGTAAAAAAACATAAAGCATAACATAGATGGAAAATGTTAAAGTTCACTACTACGATATATTTATCATTAAACATAGTAAACACAATAGTCTCATTGACTTGACATGATTTGCTTCAATAACATTACTCATATTGTAATGCGCGAAGTTTGTTATGCACATGACTTGGTGAGGCTATTATTCGTGTGCAAATGCTAACTGACCGTGTTTCTACCTATTTGCAGTTATAGTTTTTAATGTTTTTATCAAGAAATTATTATAAGCATTACTATAAAAAATCTTTATACTCTAATTCGCGACAAAACATTATGCTTGCCTAATAGAGCAGAAAATAATATTAGCAGCAATCAGCAATGTCAAATAATTGTAATAACAGACAACAATTTGCTCATAAAAGAACTTGTTTATTTATTTATTTTGTTTTGTTTTAGACGTAAAGTCACTCTGGCGTCCTGAGTATGGATCATACATGATTGAGGGTACCCCCGGCCGACCGTACGGGGGTCTCCTAGCACATTTTAATATTGTAGAAGCAAACATGCAGTACCGTAGAGCCGAGGTTTCACACTTACTACCTCCGGGAGAAGTTATCATGAGCATAACGAATTTCCCAAGGTAAAGTAATACGTGATTTATTTTGATTGCTTACACTGCACATCAATGCTTTTCTTGTATGTAGTCGTCATTGCTATCTGTGAGTATCTGTACTTAGCTCCCTCATTTAAAGTAATTAGCCCCAATGAATGATTGATACGATAAGATCACGACACACATCAAAGCCGTTTATTGAGCAGTGCTCGGATGTTACAATTGAATATTGATTAAATAAAAATGAATTAACGAATTACTGCCCAGTCATGCTGCAAATCCATGTTGTTGAAGTGATAAATCAATTTATGCTGATTGTTTGTTTACAGATTAGGATGCCCCAATTTCACAAGTCCGCCCTACCCACCGACTCCCCACGAAGGTGTCACTAGATCATTGTTCTTCCCCGACGAGGGCATATTCCCCGGACACCCTCGCTTTAAAACGTTGACCACCAATATTCGGCAGCGGCGTGGCGAAAAAGTAGCCATCAATTTACCAGGTAAGTCACAATTTACTGTCTTTCGTACTGCTGTGTTAGCCGCGGGCTGGCGGCAAGGTAGAATACTTTGGTTACCCCCGTCAACTATTTTTAACGCGGGTGTATTAAGAGTCGACTTACGGACGAAGTACATAATATTAAGGCTTCTGATAAACCTTATCCTTTTAAACAGATACCTTTAACTCATCTGCCAAACACTTTTGAATAGGGAGACCATAATTCTGCAATGGACTCTCACGGGTTGTTTGTCATAACGTTCCTTTGTACATCATTAGGCATAACTTACCACAATTACCCCTAGTTTGATATTTAAACAATAGCTGTCAGTATATTGTATGACAACTTACTCACGCATTGAGTGAGTTATTTAGTGTTATTACAAGCATTAGTAATTTGTTATAATAAGTTATAGTAAACATTTCCTTATACACTGTTTTACTTAAGCGTTTTTACCCACACGCAAAAATGTGCTACATTAATATTCTGTTTGGTTTTTCCCAGTGTTCAAGGATGTGAACACGAAGATTCCGGTGGATAATTCTCACTTGTTGGAACCTGAAGCAGCTAAGCCTGACTGCGTGTACTTGGACGCCATGGGCTTCGGTATGGGCTGTTGTTGTCTTCAGCTCACGTTCCAAGCCTGTTGCATCACTGAAGCACGCACCTTGTACGACCAGCTGGCGCCTCTATGCCCGATAATGGTTTGTTTGAAATATATTACAATGCCATTAAAGGTCAGGCATAGATAAATAATTAAGGATGTTTAAGACCTTTAAACATTTTGAATTATTTTTTTTAACAAATTCTGCTACGATCATTTTGAGTTTCTTTCAATCGGCATTTCTGAAGGTACGCACAAACGAAATCGATACTTATCGATTATTACTGTACGATAGTACTTAGGTACCAATTAAACAGAGCAGACAGATAACTTCTGTCATTTGATGGTATCGTAGCAATACTTGTCTTCCATACATTATATATGTATATTGCGTTTGTGTATATTTCACAGTATATTAGGTAGACTGCAGAATTATTTGTAATACACGCTGAGGAAAGGGACTAGTATAATATTTTTTTTAGTTAGTATAAAATTAAGAATACATATTGTATGTGTAGTTGGCACTATCAGCCGCGTCGCCAATCTTCCGTGGGTTCCTGACTGACGTGGACTGTCGCTGGAATGTGATTGCGGGTTCCGTGGACTGCAGAACGCGCGAGGAACGCGGCCTCGAGCCTCTCAAGAACAACAAGTTCCGCATTCACAAGTCCCGATATGATTCTATCTCTTCATATCTGTCGCCGGAAAATGAAGCGTAAGTGCCTTGTTTTTTGTTTAACACGTTTACTGATTTACAATTGCACATCCACGTGATACTCAGACCCGGGACCCGACCAGATATGAAGACCACACAAAAAATTGCTCCAATGTCAAACATATAGTCTAAATTGCTCACATCATACATATTTTGCGTACACAAATATAGACATATACATATAGATACACATATACAGATGCATCTGGTCATTCAACATCCATTGAGTGAACTCAGTTTTTTATAAGATGTACGTAGTTTCGACCTATCTTTGCTTGATACACAAGTTTAATTATAAAATGAAAGCAATATCTCAATCATTATTTAATGATTAACAAAGAGGAATAATCCGCTTCTTTTAATTGACTACGTTCATCAATGGATTTAATTACGAAATAAAACTGATAAAGGTGAAATGTAATCTGTATTTCTATTATATGGCGGGCGACGGAGTGATTCCATTATTGCAGTAACTTACATCAACTAGATTATTTATTTTCTTTGAATTTAGGGTAATTCTGGATTTGGGCTTGGGCCGTGGGACAATAGGAACGGCCTACGACAACATGGGACTTAAAACTGGCAATAAATAAATTGGGGTTATACTTATTCTCTGTAACCCTTCCCATCTCTTAATGGAAATAAAAGGTTAGGCTTACGTTATGTGTTATATCAACTAACATCACCTTATCTATATCTATATAAATATATAAATGAATCCTAATATTCCTTCGTCATGGCATCACTCGCGTATGGCCTCACCCATTCTGGATTCTTAGGAAAGAAAAATTTTGACAAGTAGAGGGGAGAATCGGGGCATTGCAACACTTTCGAGTGCCGAGATGGTTCGCTAACAATACAATTGAATGAGACCGAGGTAGTTAGACTCCCTTGCCAAGCAAGAGCGGTCCGCTAGTAGTTCATACAGTTGAATTACTCACTTAAAACAACATTGAAACCAAGTAATATAATACCTGTTTGACTACGTTTATACATAAGTTGTCTATTGATAAGTAAATACACTTATCGTCGTCAGCCGACATCGACAGTAGTTAGTATCAGTAGGTAATTGAAATAGTTATTTGTAGAAATAGTGGCGATTATATGCTGATGATTTCTTAATACTTTCTTCCTGAGATAACAAATGACAGTTGATCAGACATTAAATATGACTTATTCATATTCAGTAGTATAATATTAAGTTTTAAGTAATGAAATATAGGTACGTATAATACATACATACCTCTTAATGGGCCTCGTCTATGGTAGTTTCCGGCTCATTGACACACGCGCGAAATACATAAGACGTGCCCTATGTTCGGCTTTAGTCCTGGTCGGTCGAACCAGAAATAAGCCCATTTTCTATATTCAGTCTCTTTATAGTCTTCCGAGAGATAATTAATCTTGAAGATTTTATTCAAAGTCGTTTTATGTATCCATCAGGTACAACGACATCGCTATCGTGCACGACAAGGACTTGTACCGGCGCCTGCGTGAAGGCGGCATCGACCACCCCCTGGCACTGCACGTCGCACATCTCTTCATCAGAGACACTGTCTCTCTGTTCTCCGAGAAAGTCAACCAGGATGACACCAATGATACTGATCATTTTGAGGTAAGCCCTTCTATACATGCTTATCTTCATTTAATAGCCAGTCTCATGATAACCTTTAATATAAACTGTATACCTAAGTATATGCATACTAAAGTAGTGACCGCCGAAAAAGATTATATATAGACTTATAATTTCGCAATAAAGTGGAATATCAATTAAAAATAATTAAAACTTAAGAGAAAAAGAAGAACTTATTTCCAAGTGTTGGTGTTTATTCAACTTAACATAATTTAACTAACTAATGATTTTGTGGTACTGAAATTATATAATTTTAAAAATTAGTGACACAATTATATATACATAGTGATTATTTTATCTTTAATTTTAAATCACAGAACATCCAGTCGACGAACTGGCAGACGATGCGCTTCAAGCCGCCGCCGCCGAACTCTCCGATCGGGTGGCGCGTGGAGTTCCGGCCTTGCGAGGCGCAGCTCACCGACTTCGAGAACGCGGCCTACGTCTGCTTCGTTGTCTTGCTTACCAGGGTCATACTCTCCTATCGCCTCAACTTCGTCATGCCTATCAGCAAGGTAAGCCAAATCTTTAAAAAAAATTATACATATTGTTGTTGGACAAATTAGACGACAACAATGAAACGATGATTTTATTTTAGTTAATAGGCCAACAAACAGCACTTTTACATGTCAAAAGGATTATAACGAACACACCCCTAGAAACACTTCAACCCTTATATACTTCACCAACTCTTTGTTAATGGATAACTTATGCAATATAGATTTAAAGGGGTAATCTAAAATAAATATTATTGAATACTTTAAGTGACTTAAAATTGTATCTACGTTATATGTCCTGTAAAATGTTCAGGTGGATGAGAACATGCAACGTGCGCAAAAACGAAACGCGTGTCTGAGCGAGAAGTTCTGGTGGCGCCGCGACGTTGGCGCCCCCACCGACCTCGCCAAGCAAACGTGCGACCCATCGGAACTTTATGCTGAGATGACCATCGACGAAATTGTTAATGGAAAGGTAAGACACAACGCCCAAACCAATAGTAATGAAAATATACGAGTATGTGGGGGCTCTACAATTCTACATACCTAGGTACTTAAATTGCTTCTGCACATTGTAAATGCTTTAAATTCACAATCGAAATCGATTGGTGGATCATTAATAGGAGTGTTAGTTTCCTTCCGTCAAAAACTTTCGAAACATGTTGTCGAATATAATATATTACAACTTTTTTATCATAAACTTGAGCTACAGGGTTTTTACAATAATTCCTTTATACATCTTACATTCATCGAGTGATTCAACATGACACATGAGGATCAAATGTTTACCCACTAGACTTACTACATACATATTTTCCTTCCTATATTTATTTGTTTTACTGTTGTTAAGCGTCTAATGGTTAATACTTATTGGTTTTTCAAATGCCACAACAGGAAATTGATGACATCATAAGTGTTTCATATAAACACTTATGATGTCGTCATCAATTTTAATTTTAATTTAATTTTTTAATTTTAATTTATAATGAATGAATGATAATACTTATAAATTACAATAATTTTATTGCAAAAAAATTTCAGAGCAGATTTGTATACTGATTAACAATAACAATTTCGTAAAAGGATAACGTTATTGAACTCACATTTTAAACTTGGTATTGGCCACAACACAGTAATTAAGCGTTGATGGGAAAAATTATGACAAGTTCATGCTTATATTCTCCTACAATCAACGTTACGATAAGGTGATTACTGTAGAGATGGAATATACGATATTACTGTGTACTTGGGTCCTCAACTAAGAAAATGTTATTTTTGAACTATATAAAATAACGAGTTATTTACTTTAATGTACCGAGAAAAGCTCTACAAGTTTTAAGTCATAACGGGACTCTTATTTAAAAGTAGGCTGAGCAAAGTCGCTGCGACTCGCACGCTGCCAAATAACAACTCATTCACGTGAATAAGTTATTTACAATAATAATGTTATTAGTTCTTAAGTAATGAATACATTTTATTTATCTTTAAAAGTCTGTTTAACTAATGGGACTGAGCGAATGTTCTTATAGAGAAAGTCAAAGTCAAAACGTTTATTGCAAACTAAGTGTAGGTACAATGTTGGTGTTGCGTTAGGGTAAAGCATTTAAGACTTAGCAGCCTTTTACAAGTATTGCAAATCAGTCCAAAATTGCAAAAAAGTACCAACAAAACAATTCACCTTGGCACTAGTCATATATGTAACTGAATCAAAGGTATATCATCCGAACATGGCCATCAAACCGGAAAAGAAGAGAATGGATTTTCCTTTCCTCAATGAAGTCATTCATAACATCTGAAATCATTTTTATGAACCAAACAGGAAAATTGGAATACTCCAGAAATTAAAATCTCCTTATTGTAAGTCTTCGTCACGTGCTAGATGAATAACAATTTTAAATATTCCATCTTAATTTTTCTTCTCCTCACACATTAGGAATGTGTTGACGCATTCAAACTATACTTCTCGAGGTATTGCACTATGGGACCCCCATTCAAAACCTTAATGTCGTATTGCCTAAAGTGCGTACTCTATTAGGACTTCCTTAATTTTATCATGGCATCGGCTTACAGACCGGTGGAAAAATATATGATTGAAACCATTCTACCATCACGTCATCACACCAATTTTTAATCTTATTTCTAGGATGGAATATTTCCTGGTCTGATCCCTCTGATCGAGTCGTACCTGTCCGGCATGGACGTGGACGCGGACACGCACTGCTCCGTGCAGCAATACCTCAAGCTCATACAGCGACGCTCTTCCGGCGAGATCTCCACCATGGCCTCCTGGATGAGGAACTTTGTTACCACGCACCCACAGTACATGTAAGTTATTCAAATGCTATAAGATGATAAGTTCGTGAAGGAAGGCTGAGGTTTTAGCTATCAATTGTGCAATTAAATATTCAACTTTAGGATTATATTATGATTTTTAACGCTACAGGAAAGATTCAATAGTCACCGAAAAAATAAACTACGACCTACTGAAGACCGCTCACGGCATTCAGACGGGTACTGTCGCCGCACCCACTCTCCTGGGCAGCAGTAACGTGTCCAAGACTAACGAAGACATTCCCAAGGCATTCAGCAAGATGATGAGCAAGGAGTGTCCCTAACCGTGGCCCAGTGCCGCAGACATCGTGCCTTTCGTGCGCTGCACTTCTAAATACTGGCTATACAACGATATCTATGTTCTCGACAGACAGCACGCGACATCAACAAACTACGCCTTATCTTTCATCAGTATTCAGCTAATTGATGTACTTTCCTATTGTAAAATTACAAGTCTTATATAATTCAAACGGTCAAGAATAAAATTTTTATTTTGTTATGGAGTCCTTACTGTTTTTTTTGTCTAGTTCGCGCGCATTTGGTCAGCACATAGATGTCGTTGTTGCAGTTAGTAATTAGAGTGGCCTTACTTTGTGTACTATGAGGAGATTTATACAGCAAGGCATCGTTACTTTAGTCTGTTATTATATATTAGTGTATTCTTCGACACAGGATAGAAGTGAAATAAAAAGGTCCAATAAAACATTCCCCACATTCTTGTGACACTGCTGCCTCATGCGTTTGACCACTGACATTCAGTAACTTTTATCTTGTGGCGAGATATTTCGAATTAGAAGTGATAATTATTATCTTAGATACATTTAATACACACGAGTTATTTAGAATAGAAACCCCAATGTGACCTTACCTTAGATATAACTGAAATCTCGCATTTTGTAACATTTACGGCGCTAGAACATTGCAAGTAATACGATTATAATTTGTGACCGAGGGAGAGGTGTGAGAGGGTTAATGTGATACAAAGATAAATCCAGTTTTGTAGAATAATATAACTATTCATTAATTTTTGAATACTTTTAATGTTCGACAAATTCTACGTAATCTAAGTTATTTTATAATGAAACTTGAACACAGCAACATTACTTGGCAGGGCCACTAAGACTTACATTTACTTCTGTGCTTACTTGTATTCATTAGCCTTATGTTAAATTTTGATTAGTTTATGAAAACTATGAATTTATTATTGTTATTAAGATAAATTTTGATGGAAATTCTGGTTTTTATTCAAAATCATTTTTGTGTTTTGCAAATGCTTTACATGTGCTTTTATTTTGTTTGTATCCTAAATAATTTTAGTTACACTATTTGCGCTTACTGGCATTTAAAGCAGTATTAGCTAAACATTTCCAGGACAGGGAATTACATTCTGTGTATACTTGGTAGAGGAAGTTATGGGAATTGTAAATATGTACAATGGACAGATAAAGAATGGTTGTGAATGGTGAAGTCAAAAGTAGAACATTATGAAGTTAATCGTGAAGATTGTCACAATTTATATTTTATATATTTGAACCTAAACACAAATTGACGAAATTAGATCTTATATTTATTGACTTGATTCTCATTAGACTCAGTGAATGGAACATTAGAAAAGTCAAATTACAGCAAATTTTGAGGTCCTATAGTGATTTTAGCGAACAGGATCTGGCCATACCTCGCTTTATAGTCCAATAGAACCATTACTATTAATATACAAATATTTATTGCCAATAATTATTTGTTTGAATGTTTGTTGTATCTAACCACGGAACTGGTATAAATATAACCATGGGAAACTTTCTGTTTTGACGAATTGCACGTCGTAAGATGTTCTAGTAGTAGTCATAGTCTAAAATAAAATACTATTAGTGTAACAGAAGACTATAATTCAGAGGTAACCCTAAATTTGATAAAAAAATACTATGCAGCTATATTATTGAATGAGACCATTTTAGCAGCGTAAGATCAGATTATGACACCAATGTACTAGTTTTCAGGTTGAAAAATTTAACGATTCGTAACTAATACTGTAGAAATATGAATTGCTGGGTAAATATATAAATATATCAAGGTCATTAAGTTCCGCTCACGTATTATTGTCTTGTGGGTATAATGGTCACTTAGAATTAAAGTTCCTTACCATACCAAGCTTAGAAAATTAAACTTACTATAGAAACAATCCTTATTTACAGACAGCACAAAATTACATTTTTATTTGTTATTATAGTTTTATATTTCTAAATTACGCATTGTATTTAAAAATATATTCAAATGCGTATTATTTCGTTTAGATACAGAATTATTTTATGTACCTAGTTGTTATTTTATATTGTTCACTGTTAGTGAGGTTTTTTTAATTATTATATTATAATTAAATATGCATTCAATAAAATTATTTCATTGTTAAATGTATTTTTCATTAGTATACGACCCTATTTTATCGCTGTATCCATTTAGCAGCTTACAGAGCCCTGGAACAAGAGCTAGTGCCAAGAACTGATCGACGCAGACTCAATCACTCTTATACATTTGAGATCGTCTGCATACATAAAAGATTCCGAGTACCTTAGGCAGTGTGAGATATCGTTAACAAACACATTATTAAGAATTGGACCTACACGCGAGCCTTGGGGTACTCCTGAGGTGGTACCATAGATTGTGGATTAAAATCCATTGACCGCGACATAGAAAAAATGGTTTTCGAGGTACTGACTACTCCCGGCAAACTATTTATCACTTTCGTAAGTTCAAGGGCCCCAAATTGCTGCCCTGGCTCACTCCAGATCTTATATAGTATGGCTCCGATTCTTACGCATTGTAGTTAACATACTGCTGACGGTCTTTCATGTAGCTGGCTTAGAACTGCAACCAAGGTGTTGTATGACCAATAACATCCAGCTTCCCTCATAATACATAATAGTCCACGGTGTCAAAAGGCTTTTTAAAATCGTACTATACTATGTAATCTGCGTTAATTAATTTTATATTTTAATTAATGCTATGTAATCGTAGTACGCTGCGTTCACCAGCACCCTACCGTCGTCCACCGGTCGATGTCGATAGCACTGCCATTGGTCAGCAAACGTAGTGGTTACATACTCTTTGTTGGTCAGTAGGTAACCGATGACATCTGAACATGACTCATCCTTAGGTACTGGAACGACACGAATGTGGAATAAGTATTACAAACAGGCGTTAGGCGCCAGGGTTCTAGCAGTGGCCCTGCTAGAACCCTGGCACGGTCCCTGAATAAAATGCTGGTATGCCGTCCGGGCCAGATGAGAAGATTCATTTAAGCGTTCAGGCTTGACATTCTAGATTCGCAGAGGAGGATGCCAGAGTGGCAATATTAAGTCAAAAAATACCAAGTGTGGGAGAGCCAAGCTTCGGCACGAATGGGTCGGCTCCACCGGAGTGATACCACGGCCTCACAGAATACCGGCGTGAAACAACCCTCAGCGTTGTATTTCGCCGTGTGAGTGAGGTTACCGGAGGCCCAATCCCTCCCCTTCCCAATCCTTATATCCGCAACCCGTATCCCCAAAAGGCCGGCAACGCACTCGTAACTCCTTTGGTGTTGCGGGTGCCCATAGGCGGCGCCGATTGCTTACCATCAGGTAATCCGTCTGCTCGTTTGCCGACTTATACCTACCATAAAAAAGTGCTTTGGGTTATCCCAAATTGTATATAAATGTATATATAAATGTATTCGCGAATTGATTTTTATGTATTTTGCAATTTATAGTTTTTTATCAATTGCAATTCCTAGAAAAGTAGTTTGTTTAGCAAATTCTTACTTTTTAGTAATATTTCACATTCTATACCTTTGACAAAATGAATCGCTTGCGTTTTATCTTTTCATCGTTATGTACTTAATGATTTTATTTACTTGTACTAATTTTGGACCTTCATGCTTGATTGTCTAAATTATAAAGTTAAACGACGACGTGACATTAACGAATAATACCATCCCCGGTTCATGTTGAGACAAATGGACCTAATATTGAGCCCTTCACTACACCCATACTTATACTAGTATTATGTGAGTCCACTATATTTACTTGTTCTTTGAGCTTCGTATACTAAAGGTATGATTTTAATTAACTGAGAGATGCCCCGCGAATGCCATAGCGTTCTAGTTTTAGTTATAGTGTCTCGTGCTCAACGCAATCAAAAGCCTTCAACAGATCAACAGATTCAATAGCATCCTGTGATATTTGGCAAAAAAATGGCACTTAAATAAAACAAAATTATTGCTTTATACTATAGAAACATTGCAATTTATTATTTAGAATTTGTCTACAAGTTGCAATATGTGCTGTTGTTCCTGTTGGCGCCATTCCTCGCTGCCGGCGTCGCCGAGGTTGCCCGCGTATTCTGAAACAATGTACACATACTTGTTACTTTATGAACTGCCACAAAAGAAAAAGATGTAATTATATTTTATATATAATTATATATTTTCATTGAACACCAATATTACCTCTCATGACGTGTCGAATAATCTTCAGCGATCCTCCACGCAGAGACAGAACACGTTGTACGCGTTGCTTTATGGAGGCCGGCCCCGCAGTACAAACCTGTACACATTGACATAAGGCTATTTAAATTATTTGATATCACTTTGAATATTTTAAATAGACGTTTTAATAAAAGAAGTAATTTATTGATTGGAATTGTTAAGCCTTTGCCAGAAAAAAGTTCAAGCAAATCTTAAATCAACTTGTCAACAACATGTCAATGCATATAATAATAATGTGTATCAATATTGGTCAGGGGCAGGGGCCATAGTATTTCCGTAGTTATCATATTCACCAGTCCATAGCAACCCAAACCCATAACCCTATCAATTTTTACCACATTTCGCAATAGTCCTCCATCAACCGGGGATTGTCCTTGGGTGCACTTTCATAGTGCATACAGGGATAATTGCCGGCTGATGTCCCATTTCACTTATATTAAAGTTGTTCAACGGGCCTCTGCGAGTTGGCCTTGGACCCTCGTACGTCTTCCAAAAGTCCGGGACCCTGTGGTCCCATGATTGGAAAGAAATTACAATACATGATCTAAGTCGAGTACCTCTAATATAATTCTGTCAATGAGTTGCAAAGTGAAGAGTCCGTTTGAGAGCCGCATGAGGTACTGCGCATCATCGTTCAAATCTTCTTGGTTTTGCTGAAATATCAATACGGGGATATAGTTGTAAAGTTAGTTTTAGGTGATGATTTAAATATCGCGATAAGATAACAACATTGTGAGTATACACTAATTCCCTAACACCCGGTTTTTGAAAGGCTTGTCAACGCTAAAATTAACTAATCTCCTGTTAAATCTCTTGTCAAGTCATCTGATTGGTTGTTGATAATTCAGTCAACCAATCAGATGACTTGACAAGAGATTAAATTGATTTTAACATTGATCGGCCTTTTGGAAACCGGGGGTAAGTCAGGAAAATATTTTGAGAAAAAATATTGTAGTATGAACAAATAATTGGTTATTTTCGTTTTTTTGTTCTAGAATTTTGCCTGTTGTATAGCAAAAAACTTTTAAAATATGATATACCTCCATCTCCTTTTCCGTGCGGTCAACTTTGTCCATATACTTGAAATGCAACTCAAGTAGTCTGTCCACCTTCTCAAGGTCATTTTCCGTGAACTTCGCAAGTAGACGCTGTCTTTGACTGCCTTGGCAATTACGCAACATCGATGCAATTATAGAGACGACATGTTCTGAAAAAAAAATAGGTATAGTTAAAATAGGGGTTTTCGAAAACGAATCGTATGCTATTGGAATAAGAATCAGTATGAATTTGTAAGGACATAACAACGAACCTTCATGCTCATCAACTGTTAATATCCTTTTCCGTTTTGGTGTTTTCATGAACAGTGGGAAAACAGTGCGAAGGCCCAATATGTCTACAAACTTATTGCAGTTGTCGCGACCTTCAGGGCCTGCAAGGGCATAATCTAGCACCTTAAGTGACCCATTCCGAGACATTTTCTTTTCTCTGAAAGATAAAAGCATTCTTAAAACCTTGGGAATGTTATACATATTCTTTTTAAGTGTGGGAGAGCCATGTTTCTCCGGACTAGACTGGAGTGATGGCTACACAGAAAAGCGGCGTAAACAAAATTGATAGTGTTACTAGCTGACCCATTTTTGCCTAATAAAAATAAGGGTTGATCGTAGAAGGGTGAAAATTGAGGATTGTATTTTTATATTGTCTCATAAAAAAAAAAAAATTTTGCCTAAAAAATAAAAACAAAGTTTAGGGGTTTATTTTTCATACCCCTTACATTTAGGGGGATGAAAAATAGATGTTGGCCGATTCTCATAGATACCGGATAAGCACAAAAAATTTCATCAAAATCGGTCAAGCCTTAGAGTTAGATGTAAGCCATTAGATGTTTCGCCGTGTGAGATTAAGCCAAATCTTTCCCCGCTAACCCTCCCCATCCTGAAAGCCAAATAGCCAAAAGGCCGGCAAAGCAGTTAGGTACAATTCTTCTGGTGCTGCGAGTGTCCATGGGCCGCACCGCGTATCACGTTAAGTTCTCGCGCTTCTTCGCGTTCTCGCAAATCGAAAGAGACCCTACAGTCTATTTAATGATATGGTTCATAAAATTATACAAATTTATGTAAGTACTACATATCATTATTGCAAGTTATTACCTGAGCATAAGGTTCATAAGCTGCAGCCCCTCGCCTCGTAGGAAGCGATCTCGGTTGGTAGGCTCAGTTAGCGCGCAACACAACGAATTGAACATGTTTTCCATCGCCTCTTGCTCCTCGGCACCAGACGGGTCGTTACGTTTATAGAACTTAAAAAAAATTTGACAACTAATTTTGTGCTTTATTTTTAAATATTATTAAAGTTTTATAGTTAATAATATTATTAATAAAATTAAGTAGACTACTACTTAAATTAATGACGCTTACCGCCAATTGCTGCAGCAGAACATCGATGCCATCAAGTTCGCCCAACAGCTTTCTATTCTCTGGTGTGTTTTGTAGTAAGATAGATAGAATTTCTGTTGCATACAATTTGTTGGCATCAAAAGGCACTTTTAACTGAAAAAATATTTGAAGAAGTTATTTATTGGAAGTTACAAGGTATACAATTTATCAGATACAATAAAACTATATCTGATTCTCATGCCAACCTTCAGTCTTTTGAGTATCCACTGCAAGAATCCCTGTTTAGCTACCTCTGCACACATTTCGGTTCTGAATTCAATCAGGTTTTCTATGATGCCTGAAAGTAATAATATAACACATTCATCATAAAAACAGATTCTATAAATCTTTCACCAAGACAAGGTAGACAAGTCAATTGCAAACATGACTTTGTCATATAAAAATACTCTACCTAAAGTATCATGAACTGCATCCCTTTCATCTGGCACTTGCTCATCAAGGCGCGACAGATTGTGTAGCAACAGTGATGGCGCCTCTGCTTCAGTCAGAGCATTCATCAGCGCCTCCGCACCCTCCTCACTCTCTTGGAGTATATCATCATCTGTCAGCTCCTACAATATGGATTGTAGATTATTAAAATTACAACAATATTAATGGTAAACAACAAAAAATATAATTATAGCAAAAATTTATTATTAAGCAACTGACTGACAAAAACTGTTGAAGGCTAACCCTCCGCTAGCATCAGACACCATTGTCCGACATGGCGTTTTAAGTGTTAATTAATAAGTAGCAGTGATACATAAAATAGTTTTTATTAGTACACTTGCCTAGACCATAAATAATATACATTTTACCAATACATTACTTGCCTGCAACAAATGCACCACTTTGGTAGATACATCCGTGTTGTCATGTGACAGTAGTTCCAACAGTGAGTTAATGCACTTCAGGTCTACCAGCAGGGGATACTGGTCAGGCACAGTAGCTACTGCACTTAGATCCTAAATAACATAAACATATCATACAGATTACCTATTTCTATAAAACCTTAATCATTTGTAGTTAAAAATGTAGTTTGCCAAATAAAACAGTGCAATTATGAACATTAGGATAATAATATGTCAGTTGCTATCATAGTAGATAATTAGTTGCAACTAGTTTCTCTGCAACAACATCTTGCAGGTAAATTCAAAATGGAACAATTTTTTTAATGATCTAAAGCTTGTAATTTTAGTAAATGCACCCAAAACTTAAATGAAAACATGGTACATTTCAATTCTCTTAGCCTAATGCCGGTGCCAAACTGAGTCTATTCATATTCATCAAATAAGATAGGGTTATGGCAGCCAAATACTTGAGTGCAACAGTAAGGTTTTTATATAAATAGTTTCAGCTATACCTGCAGTGCTTCATATAAATCTATTTCACTGTCCATAAACTTCTCTGGCTGATCTGGAAACTTAATTCTCATTTCCCTATTTCTTAATGTTTTCTTTTCAAAATTCAAAACCAGTTTCTTAACTGCAGTTTCATCTAGAACATCACCCTGAAAGTAGAAAAGAGAATAAATTTGAATCGAGTAAAATTACACTATAAGCATAAAGTTAAGACTCACAAAGTAAATGAGTAAAATTATAAACTAACCTCAGTGGTTTCATTCTCAACAAATCTCAATATGTTTTCTCTTTCCTCATCAGTGATGGTTGGTTCTTTAGGTAAGGTTTTGCCCAAAGGTAGCAGTACATTATCTGATTTACTTCGCGCCATGCGGCGCATTTTTGAAGCCTTTGGGCCTTCGTCATCAGAGTCCCCACTGTCTTCTTCATTTGGCCTTTTAGGTGTTGGTGTAGGCTAATTGCACATAAATAAAGGTTAGTTACCTCGGCAAAACATTGTTTACTTGGTTTAGTACTATTAAAATATAAAACTGTACATAGCAATACATTATTTAATGAGCCAAGAGACATACCTTAAATGAAAGTAGTTCTCCAACATCCATGTTGAAGGATTGGTCCAAGTTGGACGATCAACCAAATCGCTCGTTTGTCCACAAATTTAATTAAAATAGTGTAACATATAATACAAAATGTTGAACACTATAACTTATAACTGTTCTACTATTATTTCAACTATTTGCCAATAACAATCACACTGACTGACATGACATTCCGTATTGCTGTCAAACATTGAGGCATCCTTATTTCACCTATTCACTGGTCAACTAAGCGCCCCATAAATCATCCGATATTTCATCATACTTATGATTGGTGCTAGCATAACGCCCATTAAACATTATTTTACATCACACTTCAGGCTTTTGCAAGAAATGTAAATATAGTGATACTTTCCATAATTAATTTAAAATAATAAAATTGCGTTTATATCGATTTAAATTACTTAGCTAATGCAGTACTCTACCCTAGTGATAGAAAAAATGACACATGGCGCGAAATTGAAAAAATAAATATAGGTAAATAAAAGTACAGTTTGAATATTCTCTATATTGTTTTGCCTTCTATCATAAAGTTATGGATATTAAAGGAAAACGGGATGCTACGATTAGGGTGAGCTACGTATTTTACTGTTATTGTTCAGGTGGAGGAACATATTTTATGGAAACTTAGAAGTTTAATCAGGTTTTAGAGTACCTTCCTTTAATATTTATGAAAATAAGTTTACTAGTAAACTTTACTTATTAACTCGTTGACTAAATTAACAACGACCTGCTCTTTCTTCTCTCATTTATATATGGTACTATTGTTGAAATCCATTTTAAAAATACAGTGTTATATAACCAACATATTATTTACAGGATATAATAATTTCAATGAAAAATGGAGAGCCAGTAGAAGTAATGAAATTGCTGGAAATATTTAATAACTGTGCAGAAACTGATATGCAAGTCAAATTATTAACAATTTTATCTGGCTACCTAATGTTAAATGTAATTCTGATTATAACGAATACCTAACTTATTTATTACAACTCAATTATAACAATATATTTAAATTTATTTCGGACTAATTTGTACTTTTTGCAGGGTGACACTATCGAAGCAATCGCAACATGTAGCCCATTATACGACAAACTGTATAAAATTTTAGTTAATTGTCCTCCTAGGAGAGCTACGGTTGCGTTTAATTTTCTTTCAGCCCTTTTATACGGTGACTTCGCAGACAACCAAAGGAGAAGCAGTATACTTATATATGCAAGGAATTTGATAAGAAGTAGTGGTTGTTTGGCAGCTATTTGCGATCTATTTACTAGCTGTATGATGGTAAGTGGAAACTATAGTCACGAAAACTTGCATTTTTATTCGCTGCACGGGCCAGGCAAATAGTTATGTAATAATACCTACATTAAATGTGAGAATGTTAACATATATGTAGATACACCAGTCACTCGCTACTGATAATTTTCCCTATGCCTGACCATGCAGGCTCACTTGCAACTACTCGACTAATAAGTTTCATCAGTTATAAGATCCTCAAGCTACAATTAGTCGAATATGTACTTAACTTTTCAGGACCAGGAAGCTTGGCGTGCCCTTTGTAGATGTCTCGCCGAATCGTGTCATGGTACTGAAGGCAATCAGAGTTATTGCACGCACCTGGTTCCAATAGTACGTACCTGCTTACAAATACCTAACTCATTTCGGGCGCCATTAATATTTTGCCGGTTTTTGTACCCGAGTCCAAAGACCCGATGAATTCATCGTACCTACACCTAGATATTTATAGCAAGTCTAACCAAGCGGAACACTTAGTGTTCCAGGGCCGGTCCCAGGGTAGTGCCAGGGGCACCCCTGGCATCACCGGGCACCATTAGGTATGGTTGGAACGCCAAAAGGAACCGTAACGTGATATAAAATACGACAGAACGAGCATTTTATTCAGAAAATGCGCAGTTTTTATTTGTCGCACCATCTAAAAATATTACTAGTAGGTATCTGCAATTCGGCACTGATACTATGTATATGTATAGGTATCTGAGAAGACGAGTATTAATCAAGTATCATCATACAATAAGCTAATGTTTATTTGTCCAACTCGTTCCATTTTTCAGTGTATTCAAAGATGCAACCAAAGGAATGTCGAGTTGCTCCTAGTTTTGCAAAGCTTGCTACAAAATCATAGTCGTAACATAGCTTTGTTTGTGGAATGTAACGGCATGACGCTGTTTCAAAGGTAAGATGAATCTGCACCGATGACCTATGTAGGTAATATATCTAAAGGTAAGTAGGTAGACCGTAGAGCCCATTGTTATGCTTTTCCATTTCCCTGTAGTGAATAGGAACCACAACAGAGGTCGCAAAGCAATCGCTTTGTTATTTTTTATTTTACTACTGGAGTTATTTAGTATACCGTACTTTCTTAGAGACAAATTCTGTAGTAAATTTCTAATTTCATTAGGTATCTACTTATAATTCAATAGAACAATGACTAGGGTTAGCTTATTGTATTGACGTTAGTACCTACATTATATGTTTGTTATAGAGAGTTCCTACAACATGACATGTGCCTACAGCTGCTAGCCACCATAGTACAGAGTTCCAGTGAAGCGGCTACATTCATCGTCAACACGGACATTTGTCAACAACTTCGAGATTTCCTACAACGTTACGGGCCACAATCACCGGTACCTAATGCTGTACTTCCTAATATTCATCATTCTATATAATAAGAGCCATGGTCGTCGAAACTGTGGGAGAGCCAAGCTTCGGCACCAATGGGTCGGCTCGACCGGAGTGATACCACGGCTTCACAGAATACCGACGTGAAACAACCACAGCGTTGTGTTTCGCCGTGTGAGTGAGGTTACCGGAGGTCCAATCCATCCCCTCCCCCGATCCCTCCTAATCCCTAAATCTCCAAAACCCTAATCCCTAAAAGGTCGGCAACGCACTCGTAACTCCTCCGTTGCGGGTGACCATGGGCGGCGCTGATTACTTACCATCAGGTAATCCGTATGCGCGTTTGCCGACCTATTCCATAAAAAAAAACAGTTAAAATGCAGTTAAGGAAAACATCTTAAGGAACCTTTACTTAATTAATTTATTAATTGAGATGAATAATGCACAGATCTTCCTTTGTAAAACTAAACAGGCATTGTCTTATACAATTATAATTTCCAGATGGGTCAATGGTCTACCATCATTTTGTATCATACATCTAGAGTTGAAGGTAACAATCATCTTACACCTACCACAATTTGATTGGGCTGGACCAAATTTTTGTTAACCAATAAAAAATAAAACTTATCGATTTCAGTTTCTTTAACAACTAAGAAAATAGATGGAGATAAAGAAAACAATAAACTTAGTGAATCATTTCTCAAGAAACTTTCCCAAAACAGAAAGACAGAAAGCAGTGTCGATACCACCATTTTTTTCCGCAACGTTATGCAAGAAATAATGTTATGTGGTGCACAGACAGAAAATAACTTTAAACCTTTTCTTTCTACCAATGGGATAATAAAAGGTCGAGGAAGTCCCATGGACACCTCAAGAGCACCATTTTGTGGGATTTTTAAAGAACGAAAAGATTGTTATGTTAATCCCCCTGAGATCATTAAATTTTATTCTCAACACAAATCACCCCCAGTGTGCCCCCGTTTACAAAATAATGATAAAAATGAATTATCCTTATCTTTTCTACGTAACCAAAATTATAGGCAAACTCGCACGAGTAACAACATTGTGACACCTAATAGATATCCGGAAACTACGCAAAGAACATTACAGACTAACGTTAGCACTTTGCGGCATAATACCGTTTATGATTCTTTAATAAAACACAACTTAACTCTTTCATACACCCAAGAAATCGATGCCTTCAAACCGCAATTCATGTCTACACCCAAAAAAGAATTCCAGCAAGGCTCTCGATACCAAAAACAAAATGATCATTCTACTTACAGCTCAAGGTCTGCCACAAACCATCAGGTAAAACGACTGGCTAAAAAGAAGAGAGTAACCAGGCACTTTAATCAAACCAAAACTGACATAGAAATGAAGCACAAGTCTTTTAGTGGACGGTTCTTTGATGCTATAAATACTTCATGCACAACATTAGTGAAAACTGTAAAAAACATATTTAGACCAAAAAAGTATTTGCAAGAACCAAAAGATGATTCTTTGAATAGGACAAATAGAAACGCGTCTTGTAGTTACAGTTTCACAAATTATATGCGTAGAAGAGATGCAGTTGCGAAAGATGAAGACACTAGTAAGGTCGAGGGTTTGATGATCACAAAAGAACATTTTGGAGATTTTAGTACGGACTTAAACAATTCTTGCAAAACATGCAATGATACGATTACGTTAAAACGAAAGTTGAGGAATGATGACCACTTGAAGAAGACTCTGAGAAAACTCAAACTTGGAATCAATTTGTACGGATGTGATTTCAAGGTAGGTAATTTAAGTTTTCTACAAATTAGATACCTACACATTAAAAATATTGACGAACCTAATATACCTAATTATGTTTTATTTCAGAAAATTTCTCGCAGTATGTGGCCAAAAGAAAGATATATGACACCTGTTGTTCTGTACAATCTTTATCGTAAGTTAATTTTGAAATAAAAGATTTTTTATTTTGACATTTCAATGCTTTTTATTTTAAGAACACTATAAAATATTAGGTAGGAACATTTAACAAATACCATAATAAGTAACGCATATAGGTACTTCTAAACAAGTTTTTTCTTGACATAATAACAAGATAACAGAGTTATTCATGGTCATTTATTATTATCACATTTGAAATAAACAACATATTTCGAAGATAACGTTATGTGATCACGCGTTCCTATTTAATCTCATAGTTTACTGTAGGTCGACTCATGGCGAACCATATCTTTGGTAATGTCAGCAATAGTTGGAGTACCTGCAGAATACAAATGACTTTATTGAACCGTTTATATTTAAGTTATTAAAGTTATAGTTTATATAAAAACCAGACTTAGTCTGCTGAGTTAACAACTTAACACCAAAATGCTTAGATGAATTTAATGGCTATTAGACAAACGCTGTTTACGTTACTTTAAAAATACCAATAACTTCTTGCTAACCTAAGTAGATACAGCAAAAACAAAATACATGCCTGCTATTTGAAGGGTGTACTCTAACTCTGTTCGGAATATGTTGAGCATTCTTTGGACACCAGCTTGCCCTCCGACTGTCAGTCCCCAAAGAGCAGGACGACCGACGAAAACCTGTGATTAAACATATTCTGGTATATTTGTAATAACTTTAAAATTCCACTGACTTATACATTTTATAGTAGTGGGTAACAAAAATATTAATTTCAAATATAAATTAAGAACTGACCATTCTAGCACCAAGAGCTAAGGCTTTGTACACATCAGTTCCAGTAGTCACTCCCCCATCCAAATAAACTTCAACATTGTACTTTCTTACGGCTTCCACAATTTCGGGTAACGCTTCGATCTGAAATATTTAACAATAGGTAGGTATATACATTTGAAGGACAATGTATAGAGTATGAATTTTGTGTATTATTGGTATTACCGTAGTAGGCACACCGTCGAGTTGTCGTGCGCCATGGTTTGACACTAATATTGCGGAACAACCAGCTTCAATTGCTTTAACAGCATCGTCCCCGCGTAAAATACCCTTCGCAATTATTGGCAGTTTTGTAATGCTACGGTTTGAAAAATACTTTACATATAAGTACTACATATTTCATTCGCCAAATGAAATGAATAATTTGCAATGAAGCACAAATAATCCATAGCATAGAATATAATTAGTTATGTAAGAATGTAGGTACATATAGCAAACTGATCTACCTTTTCAACCATTTAACTTCTTCCCATGTCAAAGACTTATCAAATAAGTTTTCAACGTAATTATTTAGTCCACTACCATTTTTAGTGCTGCGAATCTTAGTTGACAAAACACCGTCAAAGTTGGCGAGCCTGAAAAAATAAATAATTTTGATTAGATGCGGTTTTACCTGCTGTCGCTCTACTGTTTTTATATTTTCTATTCCGTGGTTTTTATTATATTTGATATTTAAATGGACTGTAAAACAGAAAGAGAATTTCCAGCAGATCAGTAATCAAATACTTAACGTGTTGTACCTACTAAAATATACCGTAAATATTGTATAACAACATTTGTTAACAACATTTGTTATACAATGCAAAAATCGTCAATCTTTTCGTTACAACTACACTTCCACTTACCACTACATGGGAAACTTACCTCAAATGCGGAGGCAAAGTGAATTTATTCCGCACGTCAGCGCGTCTTATTCCGAACAGTGGAGTATCGACTGTTAGGGCTATTGCTTTAAAACCTGCCTTCTCTGCTCTTAGAACCAGATTTCTTGTTACTTCTCTGAAAATAATAGCCATAATTATTAGTGGCACTTATAGGCAGATTGTTCAATGTCTTGACTTATTTATTAATATTTAAATAAATGTACCTATCGTTGTAAATATATAACTGGAACCATTTTATAGCGTCAGGTGCGGCCTCTGCAACTTCTTCGATAGAACTCGTGGCTATAGTACTAAGGGTGAAAATTGTCTTCTCAGCTTGAGCCGCTAAATAAAATAAGTAAAACATTATTACAAAAAGTTTTTGTTAGGAGAAGTTTTTTATAACAATCTTGAAAAGTTAAAAGGAAAATTGGGAAATAGCGACCCTTTTGTCGTCGTAGCGAGACAGTTAAGCTGTACGAAGCAGGGACCAGTTGCTAGTACCTAAGAAAAAAAAACAATACGGCATAACTACAACACACATAAGGCAAGTACGGCAATGTCAAAACAATCAAAGTACCTCTTGCATTAGCTAGCTCTCCCTCGGGGTGTGCCATCCGTTGCATTGCAGTTGGTGAAATACCGACGGGAAGAGATACATCGTGTCCCAAGACTTTAGTTCGAAGATCACATTGAGTTACCCCAATCAAACATTTTGGTCGAATCCTCAATCTGTATAAAAATACATACTGTAAAAAGCAACTAAATTGTACGAATTCTGAAAACAGAGATAGGTAATCCTTAAGAAAGTAATCGTTTTACTGCGTTCTAGGTAGTCAGAAAGGAAAATCTCAGACATACACCCGGTTTCCGAAAGGCCGATCAATGATAAAATCAATTTAACCTCTTGTCAAGTCATCTGATTGGTTGTCTCTCAGACCATTGGTTTCATTGGTCTGAGGGTTGTCTGAATTACCAACAACCAATCAGATGACTTGACAAGAGATTTAACAGGAGATTAGTTAATTTGAGCGTTGACAACCCTTTCAGAAACCGGGTGATAAACATGTTATTACGCTCTCATTGCACGAATAAAGTAGAAATTACATTTAATAAAATGTTCACCTTTGACATTTAGCAAGTTTAGAAAACAGAACTCATAAAAGAGGGTATTTCAAAATTAAAACATATTTTTAAAATTAAAATTCGTTATTTTTTGACAATCATACGATTTGTAATTATTTACTGTAGGCTCAGCTTACAGTGATTCAAAGCTTTAAAACTCTATTTTTAATTTGAAAAAATTAAGCAACTGCGAGCTACACACCTTTGAAACGCTGTCCTATTCTCAGCTAAAGTTTGTTCTTCTGTAGCGCCACTTTTATAATAATCTCGTGCTGGTTTTGGTAATATCGATAGAGCAGCCTCTTCTATTTCTTTAACACTTATATATTTTTCCATTATGTTACAAAATACCAAAGTATGACGAAATGCAGCGAGTATACGACTTGAATATTGGTCGTGAAATGTGTGCAAATGATAGCTTATCTGTTTAAGTAGTGTATGTAAGGGCACAGGTCATATCAGCTGTCATCAAATGACATGGACTCTCCGCAGTTTACTTAAGATTTTGCTTTAGTTCATTAACATTACAATAAAAATGAGCTTAAGTAAATAATTTAGTAATTATTACTTTACAAAGAAACGCATTAAGATCATTATCTATTTATTATTGACGAAGTTAATAGTATTTGTACTGCTATTTCACAATAATCTATAGGTACTCTATACTTATAATAAATCTGTAGAGAGGTCAATTTTGTACATAAATTACCTATATTTTCAAAATAACTACCAGGGGGTGATAAGTGATCGATACTGATGCCAAGAATGGAATCAGTAAAAATTTTGTCTGTCTGTATGTTCATTATAAAAACATAAACTACTCGATGGATTTTATTGAAATTTGGTACAATTATTATTTATATTACTGGAGAGGTTATAGGATACTTTTTATCATGCTACAATTAATAGAGACAGAGCAGTGAAGGGGAATGTTGGGAAAACGGAAGAAGTTACTCCCTTTTTTAAGTGTCCGTCGCAAGTTACATAGAAATTATGTACCATTCTATCTATGTACGGGCGGATAGCGGAGACTTAAGTAAGTAAATAGGGTATTTACTTAAGTCAGTATGTAAATAGGTCAATAACAAATTTTATGTATACTTTGATTTTGTTCTATTACTATGCTGCTTTTTATCAACAGCACGCGGGCGAAGCCGCTGGCGGAAACTAGTAATATGTAAAAACTTAAAATAAATTAATGAAACTCTCAGAAAGATTTTATGAATTTATTTCTTGATTTGAATAGTATAATATCTGTATGAACGCTTCTTGAGCATTCTTGTATAATCTTCAAATGCCATTTCGTAATATTTGCCATAGAAATGTTATACAAAACTCAACTGATCTTATAATAATTCTATGAATACACATTTTACACTGTTTTTTTGTGAAAACTGCAAACTTTGAACTGCAGTGAATAATCCCAACATATCTGCCAAACTATTCGACGTGTATTGCATACAATGCTTTCAATAATATGCTACATTACAAAAATTTTAATATAAAAAAATTGCATTTATATCTGTGTGTTTTCGGAACGACACTAATAGACATTTATTTTTGAGATCTTATGTGAATTTCATGAATATAAAGAATGAAGTTCATGTTGAGTTTGACTTATTTCCGGTTGATGATATTTACAAGATTCCGAATCTCGCTTCGAGTATCATACGTCTGTTACACATGTGATTAGTTACCGGTACATTCGACTCCTTTGTTTCTAAACAAGAATCATAGCGGTTCACCTATCTAAGATCAATCACATTTTATCTCGTTTTAACATAATATCGTTAACTTTGCATTTTATAAAAGATACAAAACATTTCAATTATTATTAAGCTATTAAGAAAAGGGCCACCATTTTCCCTTCTATCTATAACTCCATCTTTGGTAATAACATTAACAACAATCAGCATTTTCTCGAGCAGGTATCTAATTATTCACAATGCTATTCTGTACTATATCAATCATTACAACTTGTGATTTGGGTGTTTCTTTCACTTATAAAAACCATGATAAAGCGACTTTTAAAATTTAAAGCCAAAATAAAATCACGACTCGACATCATTCACTTTAGCACATAAACATGCTTGGTGTTTTCGTAATCAATAAAATTTTTAATTCTATTTTATCACATCATTTAAATACTTTGTCATTTAATTTAATCGTACAAACATATGTTTACATGCAAAATGAATGACATTACAGTCTTTTAAATAAAAACTTGTTAATAGATCAATATACAGACTATCAGGTGCAAGCATTGAGCAAATAAAATTAAAAATAAGGCACACGGTCTATGCGACCATAATTTGAAGGCTCATTAATGTTTAAATTAACATGAAAAAAATAAATACTCACAGAATATCACGGTGGTTTTATATTTGTAAAATACTAGAATGCGAAGTGCAAACTTTAATGGCTACAAATGGTGACTACGAAAGGGCGCACGTTCGCGAGCGTACGCGCGACTTAGCGTCTGCGTCGCCTGATAGCCTGGATGTTACAACAATTTTACCACTAGAAAAAAAGGAAAATATTATACAACCGTCGTGAAATATAAAAATAAATAACATTATATTACAAAGCAGAACATTGACATAGTGGCAACATTTTCCTGTTAGACTAGTCGTTAATACCTATATCTACACTTTTCACTGAATTAAAACTAAGTTTATTTTATTATAATAATACATCTAGCAAATTAAAAACTGAAATATTAAACATTGTTTACATAGTCAGAGTTAGGCCAATATGTGTTCTCTGGCCTCGATAATTTGTATTTGTTTTACTATGTACAATTAATTCTACTTCACTCATAGACACTGCAAACTCCATTATTATATTTAAAAAACATGACTTGGTTTTGAAAGCTCAACTACAGTTCTTACCTAATATAAAATGACTGTTATATAATATAAGTCATCATAATTTACAATATTTATAAGTGAAGTAGGTTATGGTGAACTCGGTCCCTAAATATCAGTGATGTCTATTACAAATTGATTGTTTAGCTCGTAAATTATTTGAGTCTCGTCAATTAGCAAACAGGTTTGACTTTACATTACATGACATGTGTCTAGTAAAAATGGAATTGACCGGAATACGGATCACATTTTACTAAATTTTGATACAGGTATAATGATCATGTATAAACTACCTGTGTAGTCCACCGCTGGAAATATTATATTTAAGATAATAAACATACGTCCATACACACATCAGTATCAAAGTGTTTCTGCCCTAATTTTATTTATGAATATGTCATTAAAATGTGTCACTATATCACTAGATAATAATTTACGGAAATACATTACTTTAAAAATTTATAATAAAGATTAAAATAACTTAGAAATGCAGCAAGAATAAAAATGAAATTAAACATTATCTGCATTTCTACTTTGAAAGTTAAAATATTGAACTTCAAAGATAAAAAGTGGGCACATAACAAGTTAATAAGCGAGCGAGAACAATTAAAATCAACCAAGTGACCCTAACTGATAGCACCTAGCTTTATACTTTGTCATATGGCCTATGCATTATGTACTGTGGATTTTTTGCTAAATTATGACAACTGTTCAGAACTGAAGAGTATAGCTGTCTAGCGCTATCTTAAAATGCATTCAGATGACCTATTTTAATAAAAGCATTTTTTTAAATATTGTTCATTTCATTAAGATTACAATACAAAATCGCTCATGCAGTAAAGAATGTGTTGCAAGTTCACAACTCATTTACAGATCAGATATTTTGCACAGATAAACAAACTTATTCCTAAAAGAGATTGCTTCTCGTCGTGTTGGTGAACTTATAAATATTTGGGGACCAAACTATTAATATTCAGAGTCGAGTCGGGCAGCAACCGCCCGTTTGTTTTAAACGAGTCGCTACGACCTATACATTCAACCGTCGAGAGAGCACTACGACGAATCCTACGGCGAATAATAAATACTATGGTACTTTTAAAGCGGAACTTGTAAGTTATATAAATAAGTAATCGCGGGGCAGGGACTAGAGACGCGTTCACAGCGGCGGCAGCGGGTCACGGGGGGGTTGCGCTGGCGGCGCGGGGGGCGCAGGGGGAGGCGGCGCCCCCGGCATGGCCGGTCCGGCTGGTCCACCCGGCCCGCTCGGCCCGCTCGGGCCTGCCCCGCCCACTCCGCCTCCCGGGCGCCGTGCCGGGAGCTCTTCATCGGGCGGCTCATCCTCATCGGCGCTGTCATCGGCCGCGTCGCCTGACCCAGATCCCTCAGCCCCTTCCCGACCTTCTTCTTCTTCTTCATCTTCCTCTTCGGGACAAAGTTGATAAGCCCTAAACAAGTTATAAAATTAACGTTAATTACCTATCGGAAAAAAATTGCAGGAAAAACAAATGTTACGCCAAGATTAAATCACAATGACTTACTTTTCGAGTGTTTTCCTAGCAGAGTTGCTGCGCTCAAGGAAGTATCCGCTTGAAGTTTCGTTGGAAGTGCCGGGTGGGGACCAAGTGCCGTAAGAGCCGTAACCACCGGGGCCATACTTCTGAAAACATTTTTCCTGATAATTTCTAATCAGATTACATGAGTACCAATTAAGTGGAAGTATTTGTAATAAAGTTAATTGGCTAATAATCCTTAGTAAGATGTGATGAGATATCTACGGTACAGTGGCCAGTTCAATAGAATAAAAAATTAGATTTGGCAAGACTTAAAGCTTTGTCTTCCACGCCTATCACATCTCATTAAGTTCAAGAAGACTTTAATTAATTTGGATGAGTATGGTCGAGGTAGTGTGTATAAATAAGGCGGTAGTTACGCGGTCGAGCTCGTCCTGCAGCCAGGCCAGCAGCTGGCGCCAGCGCCGGCGCGCGTCGGGCTGGTGGTGCACGGCGCGCACGGCGGCGGGCGCGCGACACATGACGCCGACGACGAGCTTCACGCAGGCGTACGCGCGCTTCTGGTAGTGCCCGCGGGCTCGCGCCGCCGTCTCCAGCAGGCCCGGCCGCTCCTCCGACACGCCCTGCGATAAAATTATAGTAACGCTAACCTATGTGTATGTAAAAATACAAATTATTTAATTTGATGCTACTGAATAATACCTACTTCTATATACATTACAGTAAAACGTCAGGTCGTTTGCCATAAATTATTTAATACACATAATTAACTATTTTATACTTTTGGTGAATATCTCGTTTTATAGCTTTTAACTTTATTGAACATATAACTTTATCATGTATTCAACAATGTAACATCAAAAATAAAAAATGGTTTTTAGTATTACTACATAAATACAGAAAATATTTGATAAGTGGGAAATAACTACAAATGCTAATCAACGATACCCGAAAGAAGCACCCGGTTACCTTGATAACGTTATGTATCCGGTGCTGCTGCCAGCTGTCTTCCATGAGTAGTAACGCTGTGAGCGCGTCGGAATGACGGCGTAGCTCGTGGCAGTATGCATAAGCCATCTGCCACAGTAACTCGGCCAGGGCGATGCGGGACCAACCGGCGTGTTCCCAGCACAAGAATTGCAGAAGTCTGATGCCTTCGTCGCAACCGCAACATTCTTCAGTCAACTTTTTCATATAACTTCTGAAGCATAGACAGTGCAAATTAGGTGAAAAGAGAAACGTTCAAAATGAGATATGTACGATTGGGTCGACTCCACCGGAGTGATACCACGGCCTCACAGAAAACCGTCGTGAAACAACCACAGGGTTGTGTTGCGCCGTGTGAGTGAGGTTACTTCAAATTCCCAATCCCCAAAAGGTCGGCAACGCACAAGTGCGTTGCCGACTAGCTACAAGCTAAGAGCAGTTACAAGTAACTGCTCTTAGCTGGCGTTGATTGCTTACCATCAGTAAGCTTAACACATAAAAAAAATGTAAGTAAGTGCATGCGCTGACCCAGTTCTGTTGTAGAGTATGTCTGCGGCGGCGGGCGACAGCAGCGGGCGCGCGGCGTGCGCGTGTGGCTCGGCGTAGGGGTTGGGCAGCGGCGCCGCGCCCTCCGCCGCGCCCGCGCCCTGGCAGCGACCGCTCACGTCGCAGCACCGCACCAGCGCACACACCACCTGTCGACACGCACCACGCTCACACCTACTCCACTACTTACATCCAACGCGCTAATACAATACCCTCAACGTATCTTGGCGTACACAATTTTGTTCCTAAAAGATCCATTGCGCAGACAAACGGCCCAGACTTGCCAAGATACGTCGGCCGTACTGTACCGATCTCTGTCTATATTCACCTGGTGAACTTTCGCCGACTCCGGATATTGGTACTTGCCCATTGCTGTGTTAGACTCATCCATGCACACCGATAAAACGATATCCAGCAACTTCAACTGAAATTGAAAACAATTTGTTAAATTGACTTTTGTGTATACCTTGTTTATTTACATGTAAAGTCGATTTTTAAAGTATGTTGTATTAAAAATCATATTTTTTCTAACCCTCAGCAATTGATGCTTTTCGCTGATTCCGAGGCAGGCGTAAGTGTGGAACAGATTAAAGAGTAGCGGCAGATGCCTGGCAGCATGCGAGTCCCCATGCGAGGGGGGCACGGGCGTAGTCGGGGGCGCGGCCAATGCACGCGCGCAGCATAGGACCTGGTCCGACAGGGACACCGCCTCCTCGCGGGAGCACCACGACCCGTAACCGTTGCTCACTGCGAATATACTACTGTTTACACAAACTGCATCTACCTCTCTTGTTTATTTACTATGTAGGACATAGTTGTGCAAATGCAAAGTTTGCAAACATTTATAATAGTTTCGGCACTATATATTTTTACCTGGCTGATCTTGTACTGAGAAATGCGCCAAAAACACTATAATCTTCATAAACACTATTCTTACTTCGGCTGTTGGACACGATAACAAGTAGTCGCATAATCTGCAGACAAAAGTTTAGTTTTACTTTAGTGATTGTTGTAGCTAATAAATTAAACTAACAATATTTTCAGCCCAGTCCAGTACCTGTGTGGATGTTTAAATAGATCTGTAGCGAACCATGCTCTAACAGCTTGCGAGCACCTCAAATGTTGGCACAGTATGTCGTGCCAGTCAGCGGCGGGACCGCGTAACGTCTTCTTGGTGCGGAACCCTACTTGGAACAAGAATTTTGTTGCTAACTGTACCGCTAACATTGACATTTCTTCGTGCTCGGGGCCCTGTGTGAAAGAAAATAAACACATTAAAACAACAGTAGCTAAAGAACCTAAATCACAAATAAATCTAAATTTTGCTGTGAAACATACCCAAACTGCACTTTGAGATCCTGGTAACATTTGCAGTCGCATGTAACAAAGCTTCTTCATAAAGTTAAAATGTTCAAGACTGAATTGATCCTGATTGTGTGAGAACGCAATATTACTGCGACGAACCGACAGCCAGATTGGTCTGGGTATAATGTTTTCTCTAGAAAAATAATAATATGCATATTAGGCAATGACATAAAATTGAAATACATAGTTTTAACCACATAGAAAATTACTCACTTCATGGTCAGGTTTTTCATAGATTGTTCTAGAAGCGACTGTGATTCTATCGTGTCCTTTCTTGTGTAAAACAGCATGTATGCATTCCACCATCGTTTCTGCCTTTTGTATGAGACCCTCTTTAACATTGGATCAAACACCTACAACATAACCAAAGTCACCATGTCATAAGCACAAAAGGTATCCTTACCCCCTTGTTCATAAAAATATTCAATTAAAAAGTATTTGATATAGCTAGTTATCCGATTATTAATCTTAATAATTTACAACGCGAAAATAATTTTCCGAATAAATAAACAGTTTATGAATAAGGGGGAAAGTGTGTTATTGTAATTCATGCAGTGTTGTGTCTGTCACTGAATACTTACTTCGCCCATATATTCCCCGCCGAAGCACTGTGCCTTCATTTCTTCGTCATCATGCATGCCGCACTCCGAGACATCGCCGTCGTCCAACTTCACCCACCTACCTGTCTCGCTACCATTGTCCCTGAAAATTAATTTAGCTTTCGTTATTTTTTTTTAATTGGAAGATATTTAGTACCAGTCAAGTTGAACACTGTTAAGATCTGATCTGATCTGCGATGTAAGATCTGATTTTAAGCGATCTTTTACTACAATGATGACAAATAATGTTCGATGTATCGTACTTGTTTTGAAAATAGTATTCCTATAATCTTAGTATTCCTATTATCTTATCAAGTAAAACTAACATATTTTTTAAATCAGATTTAATATATCAATATATTGTTTTGTTACCTTAGTAGGACGTATGAATAGTAGTGTCCTCCAGAGGCCTGTCCCGAGTGTACAACAATGCCACTAAGTTGGTAGTGAGTTTCCTGAGCCTTCTCCTCCCCACCCTCCCACAATGATGAATCACCCTCAGCTCGAGCTAGGCCCCAAGCTGAAATTTATATTGTATAGTAAACACATTCAACTCTCTTCTATAAAAGTGTTAGATTACATTATGGTACTTTTATTTCTTACCTGTGTAAGGCTCGACATCCAGTTCTCTCGGAAACTCAAAGTAATCATTGAATTTGATTGCACATACTTTTTCGAAATCATATTCGAACCTCTTTAACTGTATGACTAAGACGGGAGGTAATTTGTTTAAGCATAAGCGTTTAACTGTTACCACCTGAAATTCAATAATGTGTAAGTTATATATTTAAAGTGTGTATTTTCCAGTAAGTGAGAAATGTTTAGAGACTTCTAAAAATAAAGTAAGTGATATGATGAAAAGTATCAGGTGGTACAAGTCCTGTCAACCAACCTTTTTATTACACTTGTCACAGTGATAAGCATCTGCACCTTCTAGTAATTCTCCTCTAACGTAGGCTTCCAGTGATTCCTGCAAACGCGACATGTTCCTGATATCCAGTGATACTACACTGAATGGTTCTTCTTTGCAATACCTACAACAATGATTAGAAATGTTAGTACTTGTATATCCAATATATGTTATACTAAAATATCTTAATAGTATCACCTGTGAGGGCAGCCCTTGCAGATTTTTTGATCAGAATATGTGCCACCCATTGTTTTTGCCATCAATTGTTCTTGTCCTAGTGTTTTCAGAGCTTCGTCCAACGACTCCACCAAAGACATAAAGAACTCCACCGCGTCTTGTTGTTCGCGTAGATTAACGGGTTCACCTTGAAGCCTTGAATAGATAGAGTAAATTATATATAGTGTTGGAGTTTAACATACGTATTTCACGTTAAGCTAATAAAATGGTGATTCATACCTAAAATGTGCCCAAAGTCCGCGGGGTATGTAGTATTGTAATTTACTATAGTGTAGATGCGCAAATATTGCTTGTACTTGTTTTAAGATTGTGATGTTGTAATCTGTGTTGCTCTGAAAATTATAATCACATATATATTATAATACACATGTTACTTTATAAATAACAACTTAATTTAAGAACATACTTCAATATTATTTTCGACAATGCTGTGATGGTGACTTTCACCAGAGAAATCTTCATTGGGGTCAGTAGCAGCACCTGTAAAAGTATTATTTTTTGTGAGAAATCAAACTTCATAAGTTACTCCTCTGTCTCAAATCTTGAGGGCAGCGACGGCAGCAGCTTCTGACCTTGTACGGTGAGTAGTGTGTCCCGTACAGCTCGCACGCAGTACAGTTGCTGTAGCACGGAGTTCATGTAGCATGTGGCGCCCGCGTTCTTCAGCCCTACCAATCCGGCGGGGGGGCGTGGCCCGACGCACGGCATGTACTCCCACTCCGCCAATGGCATACTCTTATCTGGTAAAAGCAAACCAAATATTTAAATTCATAATGTAGGCTTAGTAAGTTGGAAAGAATGTCTGTTTTAAAAAACCATATGAAGGCGTTGGAAAGTGGTAATTTAATTTGTCTCGAGGAAGGTCGATGTTTATTTATAAATTTAATGAGAAAACGCCTTCGCTTGGCAATGGAATGAGAAAATATGAGACCGCTATAGAACATGAGGTCGAGCAGGTTGGCGAGCGCGGCCATGTTGGGCACGCAGCCGTGCACGAGCGCCAGCAAGAGGTCGGTGGCGGCGGCGGCGGCGCTGGGCGTGCGACACAACGGGGCGGCCGGCTCCGCGCCGCCCGCCGCCTCCGCCGCCCTGCCGCCGCCCGCCTCGCCCGCCCCGCCCGCCCCGCCGCCCGACACCACGCACCACGCCCACGAGTACGGCCACAGGAACTCCGTCGTCACTTCCTATGTACACAAATACACAAGGTTATGCCCCCTTTGTTGCCAGTAAATTTACTTGAATAATATTCTCATTAAACATTCTCAGTGGCAATATTGATAGCCCAGAGCTAATAATGCAGTGATGGAAGACTCGCCGTACAATAGTATAATAGTACACTACCATAAAATTCAAAACTTTGAAATCAAATTCAACAAACTCTCCTGGCAAGGAGGCATGACATGATCTTTTCGAAACCTGCTAAGTGAGGCCATGACTCTTTGGGCCGCCAAAAGCGCACGAGTTGGCAATTGTTTCAAATGACCATGGAAAATATGAACCCCAAATACAACCTTCAAGTTCTCCAAATAAATAAAATATAATAAATTGGCCTATTTACTTTGTTATTTCTAATTCTATTTACCTTGATTAGACCTGAATCTTTGTGGTCGGGATGAGCTCCATACTGGTACTTGACCTGCGCCGGCACATGTGTGAACAGCTCCTTGGTGAGATTGAGGTGTCCCTCCAGCAAAGTATCGTCTAGCGTTTGAGGGTTTGCTCGGACAGCTCGTAGCCATGCCACCTTTAATAAAAATATGTTAAATTTGGTAGGTAATGGGATATACTTAAGGTGGCAAGATTGTATGTCGGTGTACCTCCAGAGCGAGGTCCTCGAGCGTGCGCGAGGTGGGCCCGGCGAGCGCCACGAGGCGGCAGAGCAGCTGCAAGAACTGCTGCGCGTGGCGGGCGTGGCGCGCCAGGCGGGGCGCCGGCGCCCGCGGGGCCGCGCCCCCCAGCGCAGCCAGCGCGGCGCGCGCGCCCCCGCCGCCGCCCCACGCACACATGGCCAGCAACTGCTCGGCGCACGACACGCGCACCTGCAACACCACACGCCTGCACTCCACCGCTGCATCGCCGCGGGCCTCCACATCTGCCACATTCTTATACTTTCTGCTCTATCTTTATATCACGTCATAGTGGTACCGATTGACACTGTCGTAAGAATAAATTAATCGATAGGGAATTGATTGATTGAGTCAAGCTACTGTAATGTAGACAACTAGTGATCTTATATTAAAAAATAGATTACTGTGGGAGTCCGATATATGGAAACTTACAAGTATAGTACTAAAACGACAATTTTCTTTCCCATTCAAACTGCTCTAGGACATATAACACATTGACTTTGACATTTTATTTAATTTTAAGGCGATACAGAATTGGCTGGGCCAGTTAGTGGTTAATAGAATCATCACTCACCTGAGGGTTCGGGCAGTCTATCATAAGGTACAAGGCAGTGTCCTGCCACCATGGTTCATTCAACAGGTTATTCTCCAAGTGACCTCCGCTCAGTGCCATACAAATAGTCACCACCTCCATGCACTCTCTAACAACTAAAATTGACGTAACATTATTTTATGTGAACTTATTTTATTCATTTTTATTAAAACGACTTTTACATACGTCAAATACACATAAATGTACTTACGTGTAACGTCATCGGGGTGCACTATACCACTGATGTCAGAGGGTTGTGCCACAGAGTATGAGAGGCTGTATAGCGAGCGCACCGTGGCCGAGGTGGGGACGCACCACCATACTAGCGCCGACACTGAATCACTGTCTTCACCGCTTAATACAACCTGTTTTAATAATTAATACGTTATTTACAAAAGTCTGTTTACAAAGCACTTACAACCACACATCATATAGTTGCAAGGCACAATATAGTATTTACCTGTTCTCCCAACGCATTAGCTAGTTTCTCGGCAATTGCTTTGACCATTAGTTCACAAGTGTGGTTTGGCACCGTCTGCAGAGCTTCACGCAGAATTGTTACATCCCTTCTACTAACAAAAACAGAGCGACTAAAATTAAGAATTCCACAAACAAGCGTAACAATACTGTTAAGTAAATAATAGGTTAACAATATTGTAGATTAGGTATACGTAAATTGCTAACCTGAATTCCTTATCAAGATTTGCATCTGTACCATCTGGAGCAATAATTTCAAACAGATGACCAAGTGTGTATAAAGCCAGCTTAGCCAGTCTAACCAGAGCCAAATAACCAACTCTGAAAACATGAAAAAATATAATTATATTCCTGTTGAGTACATACGGGTATAAAAGAATGCTTAGATTGCCAAGTTACCTCCTGGTATGTGGAGCTGCCCCTTGCAAGAAATCGCTGTCAGACAAGCACTGCACCAGCAGTGGAGCTTTCTTCACGCAAGCGATCTGAAAGCTGCGGCAGCGTTCCAGCCTCGTGTCTGATGATGGCATCACCATGCTGTACAGCACCTACATAATACATTCACAAATATTTTACCTGTCTTAAACCAGCCTGGGAATATGTTTAGAAAAATGGGTATTGTATATAATATGTAATTACCTGTACCTAAGAAATGATAAAAAACATAGCATGACACTGATTGGAACATTGAAAGCAAAGAGATACTGAGCAAAAAATACGTACTTCTACATTATAAGCCACTGTAGGTGGAGCTGGGCCATAGAGCATGTCCCTCAGTTTTGTATCATCTCTACATAACAGCGCTTCCGTCAGCTTTTCCACCTAGAAAAAGAAATACAACAATTTTTAGTTTTTATTAATTTTTATATGTTACAAAATGTTTCATCAGTAATAAACGAGCTTACCGTCTGTTTATGCGCGGGACAGATCTGTGAGAGTAGGTGCGCCGCTTCAGTGAGCGGGCCATGTCCTTTAGTGATACCAATATGTTCTAAATCTAATATAAAGGGTAAGTACCACGATCCCTGAGCAAAAAGCTGTAACAACAAATTTAATGAAAGAACTGTTTTACGAGATATCAAACAATGTGTAATGGCAGGTATAATTTTAATACGTAATTCCGACTAGTTAGTACTTACAACGCCAGGTAATGCGTGCTCCGGTGTGGGCGACAACGGAGGCGAAGAAGTGCTGGAGTCACTGCTCGACTCATTCGACGAGCCGCAGCCACCACTGCCACATACTTGTCCGTCATACACCTGCAATGTCAGCACACTCAGACAATGTTACACTTTTTAAACTTCAAGTAGAAAGGCCCATATACTACACAAGAAAGTCTAATTACCTTAGCGACAATAACAGTTTTGTCACGAAGTGGGATTTGCGACAGAATTTTTCTATCGTGACTAGAATCCAATAGCTCCCCATTAACATACAGCTCCAACTTATTTACATACAGTTCTAACTTTATATTACTCTCTGAAGCATTCTTCAGCCTAGAACGCAAAAAAAAACTGTTAGAAAATGTATGTTCTTTTTTTTAATCATAATCATAGAGCAATAACACCTTACCTTCTTTGTATATTAGATCGCAAGGAGTGCAGTGTCTCATTAGAGTGTGAAAAAAGTTCAATATCTTCAATTTGTCTTTGGCCGGTTTGAAAATTAAATCTTACTATAATCGTACACTGCCTCCCTCGACCCGACCTATAGATTGGTAGTATCTGGCGTTCCGCGGAAAATCTTCTATCACATTCGTTAATATATTCTTGTATGGCACGAATCACTCTACACATTCTTGTACAACTCTCTGACGAATCTGTAAAACACGTGTAAGTTAGCCGGATGTAGTGGAGGAGCAAGCGTGATTGTAAAGGAGGGGAGGGGGTCACCTTCGTGCGCCTCCATGTCCTTCTGCAGGCGCTGCGTCCGCGCGCAGCAGTGCGTGAGGAAGGCCTCGTGGTGCTGCGCGGCGCCCAGCTGCGGGCCCACGCAGGTGCTGACCTCGCGCAGCAGCTCGATGCCGCGCGCCGAGATCTCGTCCTCGCACTCCGTTATCACCTGCGACACACCGTGCTTCACCATCCCACTACTTACACTCACTTGATGCCGATAACAAAGTGGTCTTACATACCCTCCATAAATAATCTAATCCTATGAGATCTGCGTCGTTAAGTAAAAAGCTTCGTCTCTTTACTTTTAGTTTGCCTTCTTTGGAGTTGACTGCTTTGAAGAATCTAGAAATATTTAGCGTATTATTTAGGACTGGATTGACAGATGAGACAGATGTGTGTTAAATTAAAATATTACCTTTCGAAACACTTGATACCAGCGTGGGTTAGTAAATTCGGTGACAATGTCATGATGTTCCGTCGAAAAAAATGTAAATTAATATTAGGATCTAAGTCGGGCTCTTCGCCCATTAGTTTGCTGAACCATCGGAAACAGGCCTCACGGTCACCCAGGTGTGCTGGCTTCTCGGCCAAACATACCCATATCTGTTTTGCCTAGAAAATATGAGCAGGAATTACACAACGAATAAAAGATTCATAAACAAATCTAATGGTAAGTAGTCCCCTCACTTGTTCTGCACACAGCCATAGTTGTCCATCCTTCAAGAGAAATCTTAAAAAACTCAATCGTTCATGTACTTGAGCCGCATGTGGGTACCTTCCATCTGGTAGCCAGTTGTCCCAATCGATATCACCCTCTTCTGTAAAATTATAAAAGTCACAGATTGTTTTGCTGTAAATAAAATAATCGTTTCGTATTAAGAGCTAATCATCTTTGATGCCTTGCTAGTAATAAAACTTACGGGCCAGTTTATTCCGCACAGCCTCCATGTAGTGTGTGAGTGAGTCTGTAACGAGTATGACAAGTGAGTGCTGGGTCTGCAGGCGGTCGATCAGTTCCTGCCGTGTGACGTGAGGCCGCAAGCCCGTGCCGCCGCCCGCCTCGTACAGGCAACAAATCTCGCGCATCATTTTCAATGCCGGTAGCACCCACTTTTCATTAGTTTTTAATTCTTCCACACACCTAAAACACAATAAATTGTCAGTAAAGTGTAAAAATGTGAGAAAAATCAGTTTCTCAATCATGAGCGATTTAAAGGCCGATGATGATATACTTAATAAAAAAAACAGCATCATTAAAAAAATCCTCTTCATTAAAAAACAGAATCTCAAACAAGCAAAAGAACGCAAAGCTTAAGTGTGTAACTTGTATAACTTACTTGTCCAACCAAAGCGTCTTCTGTGCGTCACGATCTTGGCTACAGCTGTAGTCTAATATTTTTATTAGATTAGCTAATGCCACATCCATTATTTCCGTACATACTTCGTCCGAGTGGGCCAAATTCCAAAAAAGCACTAATACCTATAAATGAACAGAACATATGTTTTAAATTACAGACATAATTATGCTTGTAAGAATTGTTACTATTGGGGAGAATTGCATAATATTACCTTGTTTGCCATTACACCATCCTTATCATCTTCTGCTAATCTTCTTATTACCTCTAGTAGTTTATCACTTTGCTTTTTGCTGGATGTAGCCCAACTTGCCTATAGAAATCTCATATTAATATCTAGATAACATATTTTTTAAAAGATGAGAGGACAATACTGAGCCATGGGCTTACCTTGAAACAGTCAAATAAATGGTCAAGTTGATCAGGAGTGAAGTCCCAAGCCAGTTTGGCTAGTAAGTCATGCAAGTTCTTGACAATCGCCTCGTGCTTGCCGTGCTGAGCCTTCCATATCGCATCCAAATCATCTCGCGTCAATGAGTTCTCTTTTATCATAAACCTAAGCATTTTCTCAAGTCTATCTACATACTGTGGCTGGTGCAGAGAGTCTCGTAAGACTATGTCTACTACTTTATTTTCACGAATCCATGTCTGAAATAAAATTGCAAAATTGTATACCTCACTCTTGAAACACCTTCATAATATAAGGACCTGTCTGAATAGCTATGATTTAGAAGATAAATTTAAACATGGAATATGAACATACTTATATTAACAATATGGTGTGTGGTGTAAAGTGGAGAACATTGAAACAGGCTTCTTATATAAATATAAAAAAAAAAATATCTTACTGTTATAACTGTCGGCGTAAGCCATTCCGGTTTGGGTTGCTGGGAGAATGTACTTATAAGTTGATTGATTTCATTTAGAGCGGACATTTTTCCGTTAAATGAAGACATTTGCAATAATCGCAATATCATTTTTAAACGAAACATTTCAAGAGCTGAAACAACACATACTCATTAACATCTTTAAAAATTGGAATTCGTCGTTTAACAACCTTTGGGAGATTCAAAGGAGGGTTTAATCAATCATTTGCCTAGACTTGTGGCTGTCATGACGATGGTGATATTCTTCCCTAAAGGACACTTGTTGATCAATCGAATATAGCAATATCTACTACTTATATGCATTAGGTATATAAATATATATGATAATATTTGAAAGGAAAGGATAATCACCATAAGTTAGCTCTTTCACAAGGAGTCCTTGATCGAAAACTATTTACTACAGTTGAAGTCATGAAAAATCTTCATCTTCAGTTGTCGCCTTCGAAGTGGTACAAGGGTCCATAACATACAATGTAGCAGCAAAGGGGAGGTACTACAACTGCGCCCCTTAGCAGCTACAGGGTATGCTACAAACCCAACTCGCAGTGGAGGACCAGCTAGGGTAACTTGGAATATTTCCTCTTCACTTGGTACTATTTTACTTGCATTATGATTTCAATAACATCTAAGTAAAGGTTCGGTGCTTTCTAATGATATCATTCTTTTTAAATTAAATTTATACTCCTAATTTGTTTATTTATAAGAATTTCAAATTTCAGGTAATATTTTGATCCTGAAGATTGGTCAGGGAAAGGATAATGTTGAAGAAGTAAATAAAAACATCACAAATTTTACTTCACATCACTGTGAAGGACAAAAACATAAAAATATTAACAGAAAAATTAAGTAATACTATATTATACTATTACATGCAGCAGAATATACTTCCCAATTATAGCATAATCAGTATGTTTCAACGTACAAACAAACACAATCAGAAGTACTTTACTTGAATCCTTAACAAAGTGTTATCCTATGTCTTTTTTATATTAAATGTAATACATAATATTAAAATGTGATACTTACATTTAAGCAAACTGTGATACTGGGGAGTTTTCACCGAGACATATTTACAGGCGCGAATTAAACAAGAAACAGTGTCAGTCTTATTTTCACTACCGCGCGCTTCTCTCTTCAGCTCTTCATCAGTCAAACTCTCAAGTAATGTGGGAATACATTCCTGAGAACAAATTTACAATTAAAGCAATAAAACCTAAAATAATTCGTAAATATTCAAATCAAAATATAATTTATGAATGTGGGTAGAAATGAGTCTACAAAAATAACTGTAAGGATTCCATTTTCAGGATACACTTACGAGTACAGGCAGCAGGTATGTGGTAACAGTGTGTGAAGTAAGGAGGTCGTGGCAGAGCCCCAGAGGTCGCAGCAGTTGCCACACCGTCGCGACTCGAGTCTCTCCACTAGTGGACTGTTCTAATGACGAGGGTTGCTCACTGCGTGCTGGTATCGAAAACTAAGGCAATAATAATACAGAGGATGTCAGAAACTCTTAAAATAAAACTTACTTTAATGCATTATTCAAAATGAAATAACATACTTCACCGCTATCAGCAATAACTGGCACTATTTCTGTGCTCTCAACTTTATCACATTTGTTTTCTTCATTCTCCTTCTCTATTATTTCAGTTGAAACTTTCTCTTCTGAAGTGATTGAAGATGTCAACTCAGTTTTTTGAAACCCCATTATTGTTTCAAACCTTTCTCGAAGTTTCACAAAGCCACCAGCTTGACCAAACCTGATAAAAATCAACATTAATTATAATGAATAGGCTAAAAATAATATGTTGATTATTTACCTAATGTTGACAAATTATCTATTTTAAATAAGATTTTAAGATATGTATGTAAACAACACTTACACATTAATAAGATGGACCAGCCATCCTCTTGGTGTGCGGTGGTCCTGTGACCTTGCAAACACTTCAGACTCTTGGGTGGTACCTTGCCCAGGTGGAGTAATAGATAGGCCTTCACAAGTTCTTGATGCATTGAATGTGTGAAATCTGTGGACATAATCAGTATTTCAGATTTTTGTTTTAGTATCTAATTATTTAAAACATCTTTCATTACACAGCAGAAAGTAAATATGTTGGTAATTGGTAAATGAAAATAAAATTACTACAGATTCATGATAATTCATAATTTAATATTGATTACATGAACTCAAGTTGTTAATTATTATGTAATTAGTTCTTACTTGTTATTGGGATTGAATGTCATAGATAATAAATGCAGGAATCTTGGATCATCTAGTTTCATTGCACAAAGTTTGACGAGTTTCTCACAATTTGAACGGACACATTGTTGTATATTATTTTTCCAGGATGAAACTGCATCATCAGTCAGTATCTTAGTAAATGACACTGTTAAGGCATCATTATAGAATCTCTGACATGCTGGGTGGGTTGCATCTTCACCTGCATAAATAATTCATTTGTCAACAAACAGCTGTTTACATCATGAATACAAAAATAAGTAAGATAACATGATAACAAAGATACTGGAAGTCTTAGATAACAACAAACATGGCCATTATTTTAGAATAACAAGAACTTTTTTTTTGGGCTGAAAATCATTAATGACTTTCTTGTCCAGAGTGAGATGAGAGGGAGTGTCAGACTCTATATTACTAAAAACCACTAAATTTGCTCTTCTGCTTTAGGCTGAGGTTGCAGTTCCTTATTGCACTTACCCGACAACCCCAGCTAGAATAACTAGTACCTAGAGTAACCTTTACACATGTTCTATCCAATAAGAAGTCCCCAAAAAATAATTTCTCACTTTTTACTGTTTATCAATGAAGCTTCTACCTCAATTGAAGATAATTTAGCACAAAATGTGTTTACACCAACCACTTAGATACAAATATTTAACATATCAAAGTTATAAGTAAAAATAGTTATAACAAACCTTTTGCTGCCAGCTCAGTGGCGGCAATCAGCAGTGCCTCTAACTCCTGTTCGGGCAACACAGGCACCACCCAACGAGGATGTGATATCTTCTCTTCCAATGCCTTTAATTTAGCCTCGGGGAATGCCATCTAACAAAATATTACATATTATTTAGATTTATCCTATACAGTAAATCTGAGAAACGGCAAGTCAGTATTAAAATTTAAACTGACAAAAATCTAAATAAGCTATTGTTATCAATAATCATTTTATTCACGGGTGCATTTATAATTTTTGACAGGTTACTAGAAATAGTTGTTAGTGTAAAACAATTAAGCAAACTTTAGCTTACCTCCCCTGGCATTTGATCTTGTTCTTTCATAGATATAGTCATTATTTTAACATGTGATTAACCATTGCACCCCCTGGAAATAACACTTTACAATGCAGTTCTTTATATACAAAATACAGTAATAAAATATCAAACTTTTTTTTATTTAACAGCAATATTTCGGCCTTTTAACAGCAGAATATATAAATAAAATGAAAGTAAAGTATTGAGATGTATACATACTACTATTAAGAGTGATAGCGATTAAAATCTTGCAAATGAGATAAAGTGAGAAATAAACATAAAATAATCAGTTCATCAAATTGAAATCTATATGACATTAAAGAATTTGAGTCACCAAAGCCCACACTTTACTTTATAAATTATTAAATTACGACGCATGACAAGTACCATTACTCAAATACCAAAATATATCGAATGAGAATAACATAGCATGTTTACTCCGAGATAATAGATACAAAAAATACTATTTTATGCAATATTGGTGAGATTCCCAAATCAATCATTTTCCTCGTAAAATTTTGAAGCTTATGTAATTGTAATCCTTTTATGGATAGTGGCTACTTGTAAATATGTCTCTAAGGAAGTATTCTATTATTAAATAATTATAACACTTGCCCTACCCACAGAAGAAAATCTACAAAATAATAATTCATAAGATCAGCCGGCGCGACAAAATGGCGTCATAATCCCAAACAAGACAAAGCAAAAAAATATAGATATGCTGCACATGAGCGCCCAAAAATTGCAAGGAAAAACAGATTTATAAAAGATTTTACCTTTGCGTTTACCATGTAATCAATTTACTGAAAAAATCTTGAAATAAACCACCAAAATTATTACACTAACACTTTTTTTGACGTAAGGTAAGTAAGAACGAAAATAGTTTTTATTTGTTTCAACTCCTATAAATTTTGCTAGGCAAAGGTAGTTACGATACAGCCTTCTTTCAGATATAGAGATGACCCATACATAGGCATACCGTACAGATGGAACAACCCTGCTAGTGAGAAAAATGTGAACTATTTTGTAGTTATATGTAACAGATGTATAAAAAGTAGCAGATAGAACAAGCGAAAACAGTGTCATGTCGCAAGCCTCTTTACTACAGCTGGGGTTGCGCGTTAAGCGCAATGAGTGACCGCAGACTAAGCCCAGAACAGGAGAAGAAGGGGGTTTTTAGTCGGTAAGAATCTGACACTCTCTCTCTCGCCTTACCCTGGGCGGGAGGGGTCATTTGATTATTTTCCCCTGACAAAAAAGCCTCTTTACTCAAAGGAGTATTAGGTATATAATTATTGCTACACTATTTATTAGCCAAAAGCCGTTCATACATACCGTAGACAGCGAATAGTATATATATATGTAGTAGTAATTCTCTGTCTACGATACATACACTTAAGTCTTAAAGTAAAAAAACTAACTGGAATATTATTATAAACTAGCTATTCTTGCGCAGTTTCACCCACTGCTCTGCTCCTACAGATCGTAGGCGTGATGTTTTATAGCCTACAGAGCCTTTTCTCGATAAATGGATTAACAAATACAAAAATAATTGTTCAATTTGAGTACTACTGGAGATTAGCGCGTTCAAACAAACAAATAAACTCTTCAGCTTTATAATATTAGTATAGGTAAAATACCGCAGACAATAAACAGCCTGCCAAGTGTAAAGATTGATTAATCTCTTCTTTTAAACTGATTTTAGAAGAGGACTCTATTCCAACAGTAGATGTACGATAAGTAAGTTGATAACAAGAAAGATGTTGATGATCATGATTATCTTTATGATAAGTAGGCTGATTAGTAGGTATCCTGCGTCTGTGCCAAATTTCGTCCAGATCTGTCCAGTCGTTTTGGTGTGATTGAGTAACAAACACCCAAACATCGTCCTTTAGCTATAAAAGCTATAGCTAAAGCTATATATTAGTAATATAAGATAAGATAGACACAAAGCAAGAGATAATTCATGTTGGTACATAATATCAACATTAATAGGTAAAGTAAGAGTATACATTAATGTAACAAATTGAATTATTAGAAGCACGTGGCGTGGCTAAAGAATTTTAGTAACAAACCGGTCAAATATTTGTGGTTTTTTTTTAATTTAAAAATTACCAACTCATTCATATGAAATATCCATCATTAGGTGATACCAATCATGCAGACAACACATACAAAAAGCCATATTTATCCTATAAACTTAACACATTTTTAAATCGATCTATTGTCTGCATCATCGACAAGTCATCAACGAATACAGACTAGATTGTAAAGTAGTCTATGGTCGTACGAAGTAAATACAAGGGTTGCATGTTTTGCCGAGTTTCCAATTAAAATTGCTGTTTTTCTTTCAATGACTGTTTTTAACCAAAATACAAAATGAGTTTTTCTAGTGATGAAGTAAATTTCCTTGTGTATCGGTATCTGCAAGAATCAGGTGTGGTTCATTGAACTTTCTGACGCTAACTTGTTACAACAACGTCTCCTTTCTCATTTTTGATTAAATTTCTACTTCTGTTATTTTACCAGTAGATTTTTTAATTTTTACATCGAGATTGATTTCTTAAATATAGTAACTATTTGCAACTTGAAAAATGAATGCAAAAGGATCGTTTACATTACACTACTTATATTTTACCGATCTCGCACTGTCCAAAACTATCCCTATCCGAAACTGTTTCTTTGTGCCTATTCACAAAACTTGCCGCTTAAAGTAATTTTGAAATCTTTTATACTATATTGTAGGCTTCCACCATTCTGCTTACACATTTGGTATCGAATCACATATCTCTCAAAGCAACATCAATGGAGCCCTGGTACCACCTGCAGCATTACTAAATATACTGCAGAAAGGATTACAATACACGGAAGCAGAAATCACGATTGGAGAAGATGGTATGTTTTATTTATCATTTACAACAACTAAAAAATCTTTGAGATTTGTTTTGCTTAGAACTGACAATGTTAAAATTTGTTCGAATGAAATAATAAATGTTACATTTACACAGGAACTGAAACACGACTCACAGAGAGTTTAAGTTTGATTGATGCGGTCACACCAGATATTGTAGCTGCAAGACAAAATGCTCATAATGCTCAAAAGCAAGCAATTAAGGCTGAACCAGGATCTGGTGGAGAGCAGAATGGAGTTGATGTATGTATAATATTAATGTGATATTTGAGTTATAATGTGTATTGGTATTGACAATGTAGAACATAGAATTTATATATTTGTTCTCAGTAGAAGAGTATTATATCAATGTATTCTAAAATAAATTATTTTGAATATTTTCTTCAGGGTACAACATGCAATGCTGCAGCAGCAGCTCCAGGAGGAGCTGCAACTCCAAGTGCTCCAGAATCCATGGATTTGGATCAATCTATAGAAATACCAGCCAGTAAAGCAACTGTGCTAAGAGGACATGAATCTGAAGTATTCATTTGTGCATGGAACCCAAGTACAGACCTATTAGCGAGTGGATCGGGTGACAGTACAGCAAGGTACACTATTTATACAACATTAAACTCAAATATTAGTAATTTTTTAACATTTACTTCACATTAGGTCAAAGGGTAAATTATTTAAAAGGAATAACATTGTTTTTTTATGAAATACAGAATATGGGACATGTCTGATAATCCAGCAACCACACCAAACCAGTTAGTGTTGAGACACTGCATACAAAAAGGTGGAGCTGAAGTACCCAGCAACAAGGATGTCACATCTCTAGACTGGAATGTAAGTAACTTAGCAAGATAATTTAATATTTGTCACTGGATTCTTATGCTTAACTGATTCAATGTTAGCAACAAAAAGCATAATAATTTTCTACTAATCTAGGCTTGTGAATAAGTGGGTAACTTCAAAAATATGAATGGCTATGAATTATAGTTTTCGTAGTTACATATTTATGCCATAGTCTGGCAGGTATAGTCAAAAAACTTAATTTCAAATATTGTACTGATGATAAAAGTTATCCCTTTAACCCCAATTTGTATTGGGGGTGCATATTCGTAAGTATTGTCATAGTTGTTTCTTTTACAGTGTGATGGAAATCTCTTAGCCACAGGTTCATATGATGGCTATGCTCGAATCTGGACCACAGATGGTACATTGGCATCAACATTAGGTCAACATAAAGGACCAATATTTGCTTTGAAGTGGAATAAACGTGGAAATTATATTTTAAGTGCAGGAGTAAGTATGGATTTGTATTTGAATGGTTATAATGGCTATAATTTTATGGCTGTAACTTGATAACATGATCAAAGAGATCCAATGAAATCTGGTAAGTAACTAATATAATTTGCAGGTTGACAAGACAACAATTATATGGGATGCATCAACAGGACAATGCACACAACAGTTTTCATTCCACTTGGCACCTGCGCTTGATGTAGATTGGCAAACCAACACTTCATTTGCGTCATGCTCCACTGACCAATGTATTCATGTCTGTAAACTTAATGCTGATAAACCAATTAAAAGCTTCCAAGGACACACTGTAAGTAATTACAAAAATATATAAATAAATGATATTAATATTATTAAACATTAAAAATGTCTTTCTAAATGTCAAATTCTCATTTATTAATATTTTATTACAGAATGAAGTGAATGCTATAAAATGGGATCCCCAAGGACAGTTGCTAGCATCATGTTCAGATGATATGACATTGAAGATTTGGTCTATGAAGCAGGACACATGCGTACATGACTTGCAAGCACATTCGAAAGAAATTTACACAATTAAATGGTCACCTACTGGGCCTGGAACTCAGAACCCAAATATGAACCTGATCTTAGCTAGTGCTTCCTTTGATAGCACTGTCCGTCTGTGGGATGTTGAGAGAGGTGTATGCATACACACCCTTACAAAACACACTGAACCAGTTTATAGTGTGGCATTTTCACCGGATGGAAAGTTCCTTGCTAGTGGTTCATTTGACAAATGTGTTCACATATGGTCCACACAAACCGGAAGCTTAGTTCACTCCTACAAAGGCACCGGAGGCATTTTCGAAGTGTGCTGGAATTCACGAGGCACGAAGGTTGGCGCAAGCGCAAGTGATGGTAGTGTTTTTGTTCTAGACTTGCGTAAACTATAACAACAAGCTTTCAGAAACACTGTATGTGTGTTTAATCATAAGAAAATCAGACGATGATTTTGAACTTTCAGATGACTGTAGGAACCAGAATGTATTTAATTTTATTGTAGCTGAATTGTCTTGAATTTATGGCAATAACTATAGATAAACATTATCCATTAGTGTTAAGGTAATTCCCTATCACACAAAATTAAGTTGTATTCATATATTATTGTTATACTAAATTAAATCTTAATATGATACTTGTGAACAATGTATAACATAATCATCCGCTGCATGTAAGATATTTGTGGTGCGAGGTGGTTTTGTAAAATAACAATGTCACCTGAATCTAATCCATAATATAATTTGACATTATTGCAAACTAGTTACTTAATTTTTGTTACTTGTGTAATAATAGGATTTTTTATAATAATAAATAAAAATCATAAGTTGTATTGGTAATGTATCTAATTTTATTATATCCTGATTGATTGAGTATTTCAAATTCAAAGATAATTATACCTATGATAATAAGTTATTGTTCCTTCTTTTTCTGTAAGTTGCTATTAAATCAAGGGAAAATAATACTAGATAAACAAAGCTATGTCATAGGTCTCTTATATGCTAATAAATCATCATGCTTATAAAGACTATGTAATTTTTCATACATAAATTTGAAGAAAAATAGCAAGTTATCATATTGTCCTGTGTAAGGTTGACACTGAGGATGGTCCTCTTCTGCCTTATGTATAGGAGAATGAATTGTCAGTGTTGACTCATAGTTTTTACCCCTACCCCATGCACATACATGTAACTCCAGTAACAGTTGATGTAAAGCTTCAATAGTTGAAAGATACCATCTAGGACTTCCGCGTTGATGGCGCCAAAATTGTGAAGCTCTACGCTGTAGCACTATTGTGGGTATCTTTCGTATTCGTTCATCAGCATAAATACCTTTACTTTGGTTCCAAGTACTATCAATCAGAACTACTCTATCAACAGGTAATTTATGAACATGATGAATTTCATCAATTTCATCAGAATTAAATATTTTTGTCATCATTGTACAAACATTGTACCCAGAGGGCAATTCTGCTAGTAAAAGATCAGAATAGGTTGGACCTTCCTTTTTCCCTGTAAATAATTCTTTGACAGTCCTAGCTGACACTCCTGGGAACAAAAGAACTGTTCTGCCATCTAGAGTATATTCTGGTACATCAGGATATGTGTAAATACTAACATCATAAGGAGCTAAAACTGCTGCATGTGCTGATGTACTTTTCCCATCGATTTCTCGTTGGTGTTTGATAATATCAACTTTGACAGGGAGCTGAAAGACAAATTACATTATGAGCAAATTTCACTTTTAAAAAGCTGCTTGTTTCACATCTTGTATACACGCTGAAACCAAAAAAGTACAACAAATCTTTCCTAAGTTTGCACCTGGTTATGCATAACCTGTCCAGTAATCAAACCAATGATAACCAACCAGTTAACTAAAAATGACTTCGACTTAAGATTACTTTATAATCTCTTACCTTACACTGTGGAATTTTACCCTGAATAGAGGGTACCGGAATGTAACACGTATAGCAGAAATACATACGAGATTTGTTACAGCGAGGACACGCACTTCTACTATTCAAATTATCTAAAAACTCTGAACTGGAGATTATCATTCCTTCAAATGGTTTGTCATCTCGACTACGAGCCTCATAACTTTTAGGATTCATTCTTTCTCAACTAAAACAAGTCTAGTAGGGGCAGCAGTTAGATACCATAAGATTGTACAATCCTGTACCTCGGATATTAAGTCGCGAAATATTTCGTAGTTTTAATTATTACGTGGGTGAATGAATCACTCCAATCTTCAAACAATAAAAGATATCAGAAGAATATAATTATCTGATAAAATTCTTTTTTTTTTTTTTTTTTTTTTTTTTGTGTTTTGGCTCGCACGGTTTGTGCATCTGCCACTACGAAGTAAAGATAGGGAAACGTATTAATTATGAAAGGAAACCGGATAGGGAAAAATTTTGCAGGATCAGAGAGAGAGGATTTCAGGATATATTAAACGGGTTACATAAATATCTTATAATTTTATATTATTATTAGAAATAAAAATAGACATACATTTATATATATTAATATCATTATAAGACAAGAGGCAGGGGATGGAAGTAGGCATAGGAACATTAAGAGATAATAAACAATGAATGAAATAACTGCAGTTGTATTTTTGGCAGGCAAAGAAAATGTGGTTCAAATCTCCTACCGCATCAGCTCCACAGTCACATATATCACTATTAATAATACCAAATTTTGCTAAGTGAGCCGGTGTACAAACATGTCCCAGTCGCATTCGTATAAGACAAGAAGTCACAACTTTGTTAAAATTCATTTTAAAAAACCAGGGTTTAACAGGAATACTCGGTTGAATCTGCTTGTATAATTTCCCTTTGACCTGACTACTACTGTTCCAGTCCTGCGTCCAAGAATCGTACAAATAAGTTTTAGGGAGGGCTGCTAAATCGTGAGCGTAATTTTTATAAGGAAAAATGTCACCACTGCACACAGCCTCATTAGCAACATGGTCAGCTTTAACATTCCCTGCGATATTAGCGTGACCAGGAATCCAAACAAGGGCTACTTGTAACCCCATGGAGATACATCTGTTTAAGAGTTTTCTACAGTCAAGAATGATTGGATAACAATTGTTTGATTTGAACGGATATTTGGCTAATGCCTGAAGGGCGCTTTTGGAATCAGAAAAAATAACAGATTTTTTAAGTTTTAGAAGAAGGATGTATTCCAAACATTTGAAGATACCGTAACATTCTCCTGTAAATACTGACGTTTCAGGAGGAAATTTGACCATCTGGATTATTTTATATTGCTTATGGAAAATACCAACGCCTACATGTCCGTTCCTCAGATGTTTAGAAGCATCAGAATACAAATGATGCCAATTCTGCCAGCGACTGTCGACGAGAAAATTGAATTTGATGTTAGTGTGTGTGTCATTTCTAGATAGCTCAATATCAAGAGTGATATCCAACGGTAAAACTAATGACTCATAGTCTGATGAGAAAATAGGGAGATAAGCTGATCGGTGCGTGGGAGCTTGAAGTGAGAGGAATTTGCGAAAACTGAGTACTAGACAGGGCGGGTTTTTTTGAGCCCAGTATGGAGAAGTATTAACATATTCAGATAAGTTAGAAAGTTTAGAATAAAGAGGGTGGTTAGCTAACTGGAGAGCTCGGAACAAAAATTTATCGCTCAAAAATTGGCGTCGGAGTCTTAAGGGAGGATCTGCGCATTCCACCTGCAATGCATTAATCGGGCTTGATTTCATGGCACCCGTCACAATACGTAGAGCTTTTGCTTGGATAGCATCTAGTTTTCGGAGTCCAGTAACATTACACGGTTCTAAGAATTGAGTTCCATAATCAAGAATGCTTCTTATTATGGCATTATACAGAAGCTTTAAACTAAAGGGGTGGGCGCCCCACCATACACCAGATAAACATCTTAAGATGTTGAGCAAACGTTCGCATCTGTTGACAATACAATAGCAGTGGGATAGTCCGGTAAGTTTAGAATCTAATATGACACCTAAAAATTTGGCTTCATTGTTGGCAGGCATAAGGGTATTATTATAAAAAACAAAGATTGGCGGGGGGCATCTCATTCTGGAAAAAAGAACTACAGAGCTTTTTGGAACCGACAGGGACATGCCATTAGCATCTAACCATAACTTTAAGGATGTAAGAGAAGTAGTAAGTATGTCGCACAACCTGTTAATATTATTTCCCGATGCATATATGAGAAGATCATCAGCATACTGCAAAATACTGATATGATTGCCTAAGGATGCTTCTAAATCATAACAGTAGAGGTTAAAAAGAAGAGGCGATAACACAGAGCCTTGTGGCAAGCCGTTCCATAACACCCTTGATTTCTTATTCAAATTTTCGTCTATGACATGAATACTTCGTCCAGATAGGATATTTATAATGAAATTTATTAAAATTTGCGGCACATTAAGAATGCGTAATTTATCAATAAGAATTGATAAAATAACGTTGTCGTACGCGGCAGAAATGTCTAAGAATGTGGCTAATAGGTGGTGATTTTCAGAAAAAGCTAGTCTAATATCTGTTGTAAAAATAGCTATGCTATCTGAAGTGCTTCTACCTTTTCTAAAACCGAACTGACTGTTGTTTACTAACCCTTTGCTTTCTATGTACCATTCAAGTCTATTCTTTACTAAATGTTCCATAATTTTGATTAAAACTGAAGAAAGAGCAATAGGACGATATGATTCTACGTTTGATGAAGGTTTGTTTGGTTTTAGAATAGGTATAACTTCTTGCACTTTCCACGACGGGGGGATACTACCCGAAAACATTATCGAATTGATCAGTGCGAGATGGTAAGACAAAAACGAATCAGGCAGATTACAAAAGAAAGAGTATGGAATGCCATCTAAACCTGGGGCAGAATCTTTCACGTAAGAGAGGATTCCCTTAAGTTCTGTAAGCTTAAAAGGAGCATTGAGGCCAGTATGTTCTACGTCAGATAAAGATTTGTACAAAGCAGTGTAATTGTGAGGGACAAAAGCAGGGGCTAATTTATCTAAAAAGACATCAGTTAGTTGTTCGGGAAGGAAAGGTGGTTTCGGTTCTTTATAAACGGATCTGAAACGTCTTATATTGGCCCAGATGACTGATGGGGGAGTATCAGGACATAAAGAAGAACAGAAGTTTCTCCAGCTTTCCCATTTTTTTTTCTTGAACAGCTTCCTAGTATCCGCAGAAATTCGAGAAAAGATTTCAAGGTTTTCTTCAGTAGAGTGAAGAATGTAGGTTCTCTCAGCCTGTTTTCTTTTTTTTATAGCCTCAGAACATTCATTGTCCCACCAAGGTGGAGATGGAATTTTATTAGAACCGTGTTTTTTTGTAGGAAAAGACTCATCAGCTGCCTCTACTAGAACACGGGCTAAAGCTTCCGCACACTCAATCTGATTACTATTATCGACTGGAGGAAGAGATGAAACCTTTTTTGTCACATTTTCTTTGAAAAGGAACCAATCAGCATTCTTTAAATTATGTTTGAGACGTGGGGATCGAATGTTCACTGCATTATTATCTGAAGGAAAAGTTACGACTATAGGATAATGGTCACTTCCATAAGTTGATGTTAGGGTTGCCCATGATAACAGGGAGGATAGGCTAGCGCTGGAGATCGTTAAATCAGGGACACTTTTCCCTTCATGGGGACCAGTGAGGCGAGTAAAGTTACCAGTGTTAAGTAAGCATAAATTATTTCTATCTAAAAATTCTAAAATCCTGCTGCCATAATGATTAGAATAAGTGCTTCCCCATGACTGATGCTGAGCATTGAAATCGCCCATTATCAGTATCGGTTTAGGTATATTTGCTAATAAGCTTTCTAACTCATCATAAACTAAAGAGGATGGATCAGGAATATATACGGAGACAAATGAAATATTATTTATAGATGCTGCTACAATGCCAATTTTATTACTATGTTCAGGAAAATTTATACGAGAGAAAGGGACATTATTTTTAATGAGTAAGGCAACACCAGCGTAGTTGTCGAATCTATCTTCTCTTAGACAGAAATATCCAAATATTTTAAAAGTATATTCAGGCCGTAGCCACGTTTCCTGTAGAGCCACCACAAAAGGCTCTAAAGAATTTAACAAATAAATTAAGTCGCTTTTCTTATTATTAATGCTCCTGCAATTCCATTGGATTACTTGAGACTTCTTTCCCATAATTAACGTTATTTGGATTCATCATAACATCATTTTTTAATATGGCAACGTTGGACGGTGACAGCAGATTATTGTGAGATAAAGAGGTTATGAGTGTGATAAGAAGATCTTTAATTGATAAGTTTGCAAGTGAATCATTAGATTGAACATTATTATCGCTATTTACCAAGATACTTTTACTAGGCGCAAATGGGGTGTTGTAATCTTTTGTCAAAGTCTCATGTTCACTACGGTTATAACCTTTACTTGGTCTATGTATAGTTTTTGGTTTTAAGAAAACTGTTTTTTTATAAGAATGAGTTGTTGTATTATTTTGCAGATTAGGTAGATTGTAACTGAAATTGTGAGAATTGTGAGAGTCTTGCTGATTAGGTTTAACAGTCATTAAAACATCGGCATAAGATTTAGAAATCGGGGGATGTAATTTTAGAGCCTCAGAATAAGTTATGCAACTCTTTGCCATTGTCTCTTTTATACTCTTTTGTCTGTTATATTCTGGACATTTTCTACTGGTTGCCATGTGGAAACCAGAACACAAGAAGCAAGTAATATTTTCTTCATCAATTTCACAGGTATCTCCTGTGTGACCGTGACCACATTTAAAGCACCTTGGCAAAGATCTACATTGGCTTTTGACGTGTCCGTATCTACAGCACTTAAAGCATTGGATTGTTGGATATATGTACAGATCAACAGGTAGAGAGTTGTAACACAAAAATATCCTTTTTGGCAAAACCTGTCCATCAAAAGTTACAACGACTGTCTCAATTGGAGTAAATTCTGATTTACCATTAACTGTTGTTTTTTTCTTTAACCGCCTAACCTTTAACACACTACCACATCCAGTAGGAACACTTATGTTCTTAATGATTTCATCATCACTCCAGCTGACAGGGACACCTCTTATCACACCCATACGAGTAATATTGGATATTGGAATAAATGTTTTGTAATTATACTGTTTTAAAATGTCATTATTAAGGAAACTGTTAGCATCTTCATAGTTAGAAAAGGAAATTGAGAGCCTATTTCGTCCTACCCTTTTAAGACTTCCGTTTATTACATTTCTGAAACAATGTTTTTTAAGAAAATAGCCAAATGACACTGGGTGCATGGTGCAATTTTCATTAGGTGTTGATTGTTCCTTCATCACATGTACAACATATGGAGACAGGTCCGTGGAAACATACCGAGGCCTAGCAACCGGGGCACTAGGCTGTTCAGTTGGTGGAGGCTGGACACGTTGAGATACATTCGACTCATTCAACAGTGGGGTGCTGCTGTGAAGTGGAGCTGGAGAGGTGAAGTTATTACCCAAACTTTGTGTAGGCACAGCCATTTCATCATCAAAAACACACTGACATTCATTCGAAGGTACAGGACCATCTACTTTCCTGTGCTTTCGCTTTTTCTTATTACATTGCTTACATATTTTCCTAACTGAAACTCGTTTACGTTTAAGTGTGGAAGTATTTGTATTTTCAGAAGCATCTGTGTCAAAAAATGAGCCATCTGACTCTTCTCTAGGGGGACAGTTTGGAGGATATGTAATAAAATTGGAGGCCTCAGGGACCTCCAGTGGCGTTAATCCACCACCAGGATCGTCAGGGGGCTCATTCATGTCATGAAGTTTACTCACCAAGAACTCGCCGAGATGAGGACTTTATATAAAATAATACGTAAATATAGATAAAAGAGAAGCAAAATATATATGCACAAAACTCCTTATCTGATCCTTATTTCAAGAAATAAAATTCGCAGCCGAAAATAGACGCCTATTCAGTTCGCAGTTTCCCGCCCTTTTCCATAAAATTCTTTAAAATGAGGGTGAGGTTATTTTCTTTTTCAGCTGGACAACTATATAGATACATAGTCTACATGAAGGAACCAAAGAGTATGTAACCACTGATAGTCTGTGGTACTTGGGGAAGTACTATTATTTCCTCCCTGGGGAAGTTACATGGAGGAATTCTACGTCTAACGTTTCTCGTTTCGATGATGATTAGTTATGCTCGGCAAAATTTAACAGTAAGTCTAGGCTAACCCCTAATTTCGTGAACTACTAATTCCCGTTTCAACCTTTCGATAGTGTCTAATACTTGAAGTTTGTACTGTGTTGTAATTTGTATTGCATAAGCATAAGTTATAAGTAAGAGAAAAAAAATATTTATCTTTTATCATCGTAATAATTATGATGACTCTCCAGAAAATTATTTGAGAATATAGGCGAATAATTGTCTCTTGCTAGTCTACCGCACGGTATGCAACACTCAAATTAACTGTCAAAAATAATTGACACTCTCAAATTTCGTTTCATTTGATCGTTTTTAATTAAATAATTCGTTTTCTTGATTCATAAAGTGATTTTGTCAAGAATGAAATTAATTATTTGAGCTTATCAATCCATTATTATCAAATTCGCAAAATAATCTGAGCGCTAAATCCTTTGGGTCTTTCATAACAGTTATTTTGTAAATATTTTGATGCTTGTTGTGATTTAGATTAAATCAAATGATTTGATTAAAATTCAATGATCTTTTGTGTATAAGGAAAATATTATAGTAAAATGGACCTATCTTCAAATAATCTCTCTGGATTACTTCAAAAATTATGTGCGGGGTTGTCACTCGATCCAGGTAAATTCGATTTTCAAAACATCATTCATTATTTTTGATAAGTTTGGATGTAAATGTCATAAAACAGACGATTTATGCATAGTTTAAAGTTTTGTATATTTTGAGAACGGTTTATTAATTATGAATAGTTTACAGGAGTACTTTAGATCTTTGATACCAAGTTTAAGAAAAGGCAAGACAGTTGTAAATGTTAACAAAATTGTATTTTTTTTTAATTGTATTTGTTCAGTGTTAAATATTAATAAATGGACCAGTATGTTCAATAATATTCTTCTCATACAGATGGTGCATATGAACTGGCTGTCTCATATTTATCGTCAACTGGTGAAAAAACTCGAACAGTTCAAGATGAAAGATTGTTATGCCAGAAGATTCAAACTAGACTTACTAGTGTATCATCCAGGGATGCAGATAAATTTAATGAATATTATTCAAAACTGAAAAGTTCTGTGAGTATTGTGAAAATAATTGATTAGCTGTTATATATTTTGTTTGTCAATTGGTTTAAGGGGTTTGTTATGTTTATTGTATTTTGTTGCAGTTTATTCTGAAGCAGCGTGTGTCGGTGTTGTCCTTACTGCTAGCTCTCTCAGAGACACCTCAGCATTCAGAATCCACTCAACAATTATTCCCAATACCACATCTAGCTGTTACTGTAAGTTAATATCTATCTCTTTACTAGCTTTAACCCGCACCTTGATTACCATCATGTGACTACCTACACTACTCAACCTAGTTACCTAGCTACACTTACCACTACCTAAACTTGATAGTAGTAGCTAAGCTACTCTGCACTACCTACCTTATGCTACCAATCCAACTCTACCTACCTACTTCACCACACTACTGTACACTAACTACCCTACAAACTCTATCCTGCACTAACTACCCTATGCTACCTACCCTAGTCTGCCTACCCTACTCTTCCTACACTACTCTGCCTACCCTACTCTTCCTACACTACTCTGCCTACCCTACTCTTCCTACACTACTCTACCTACCCTACTCTACCTACACTACGCTACCTCCCCTACAATACCCATATGTAATAGGGATTTGATTTTTTGTAAATACACTGATGGCACAGGCGAAAATCCAAGTGTTGGGTACATACATATACACATTTTTTTTTCAAACAAATGTGGTTGTTGGTATAGTATTGTCGTAACAACTGTGTAAATTAACTTTGTTTTGTTGCAGAAATCATCATCAGGAATTTGTGGATCTTCATCAAGTACTAGTAAAAGTACTATTGGGTCTGTGAGTTGGGGTAGTCATGCTCCCAAACAAGGTTCTAATCAAAGTTTCCCATCAAATAACAGCAACATGGCAGTTGTGTTGCAATCGAATGGTATGAAAATGTTTCAAGTAAAATCTTAAACCCTATTTATATTTTTTGGTTTTATACCAACATTTAAAGGGAGTGCCTGGTGTATGATGATACACTCAACTTTAATTTTTAGCTGCCTTTAACTGAAAGTAATAAATAAAAATATCTGTCTACTATACCTTTATGTTGTAGATCGATCGAACGAGCGCACATGTGTGCGAGAGGCAGTATTGGCCGCTACCGGCGTACGGTCACGCGGCGTGAGCGTAGCGCCGCGACCGCAGCAAGCTTTACATGCGCGTATAGCACATCTTGGCTTCCTACACGACCGACTCAAGGAGTTCATCGACCCTTCGTCTGGACTAATGCCACAAGGTAACTAATACTTACCATTTACTATCCATATGAAACAACTTTGCACAGTACTGGAATTGGCCCCCATTCTATGTAATACATAATTATCTATCATAATATCATTACGACTAAACAATGAAAGCCATTGAAATATCCACTAAAAAGCTTTTAGGCGATTTAGGTTAATAGTATTTTTGGGAGCTAAACACTTTTGGCGAATCGAAACGACATAGTGTCGTAATAAAACCGGTTGCACAGTTATTCGCACGGGCAGTAAGTCAATTTTGCATGCACCTTCTTAAAACTATATTTCGCCGACGTACTTGGGATTCCTTTGGTGATGCCCACCTAAGGTATCATATATGATACGTCGTACGTGATACGTCTGCCATACTGCCTCTTAATCCATAAAATAAGTAATAATAATGTAACCACTGGGTTCTACTTAAAGCTGGTTATTTTTTAGGTTTAATGGGTGAAGGACTTGTGGCATCAATCAGAGATGAACTAACTGAATATTATCGTAGTGTGGCCCTACTACAATCTCAGGTATGTACCTACAATCTATCTATCAATAGCTTTCCTGCCTGCCTGGAAGCTCCAGGTTAATTAAAAAACTAGCTTCCACCCGCGTGCTATGTTAATAAAAAGATATAGCCTATGTCCTATCCCAGAGTGTATCCTATGCCCATGCCTAGTATATGCTTTGTTGATAAAAACGTTTAGATCCGTCCAACTGTTTTGGCGTGATTGAGTAAAAAACTTCCAAACATCGGAACTTTCGCATTTATAATAAGTATTATAGTAAGATGTTTCTGATATTGCAGGCGTGTGAAGGAGATGGTGGTGGTGGCACGCTGCGCCGAGTTTGTGTTTGGGCTCAGGAGCCTCTGCACAGACTCACCTGGCTCGCCAATATCGCGCATGCAGCGCATCACAAGAAAGGTTTGTCTTGACTTACTAACAATTTGGGCGTCTTTAATTACTGTCACGAGTGAGTAGATTGCTTGTAGACTATGTTATCTCTTATTACCAAGCGAAGGTCTGTACAAATAACTGTGGTACCGGAGTGGTCTCGTGGAACACGGCCTCACAGAAAACCGGCGGCAAACGCTGATTGCTTATCATCACGTAATATGTCTGCTCGTTTGCTGACCTATCACATAAAAAGGACTAGAATAAGTGGTAATGACAAAATACAATTAAACTGATGTTTCCCAATGTAATGAAGAGTTATGAAAGCTTACAAGATACTGTGCACGATGACGCAGGCGGCGAGCTGGCGTCGTGCGTGCACCGGTTCGTGCGGCACGGGGACGAGCGCGTGGCCATGCTGGCGCGCCGACTGCTCACTGCGCTCACCTACCCATTGCTACTCATGCTCACACGCTGGCTCATACATGGTAACTCTAGCTGTACTTAATATTTGATGGCTACACCTTTTCTACCTTATTTAGGTATTCTGTGATTATTTTTAAGCTGTGTACTTCTTTAAGTGACAAATTCACCATGATACTATGTACTGGGCGCATTGAGCGTTCGTTGTATATTGCTGCGCCCGCGGCTTCGCTTACGTGGATGTCGATTTTACACTTTCTCAAGATGGTTTTTTGATGGAAGCTTCTCTGGACATCCACGAATAAATCAAGACCAAAATTAGCCAAATCGGTAAAGGCATTGTTGAGTTATAACATTACAACGAAAAATTGCATTGATTTTTATACAGGGTGTAAGGGACAGCCCTCCACAAATTAACAGGGTGCATTCAGCTCCTTATTCTGAATCATATTCCAGTGAAAATTCTTTCAGGAAAATTTTCAATGTATAATTACATTCTATGTATGAAGAATAACATTAATGTAAATAACACAGCTAAAACAAAAAAATACGCAATGGTTGTGTGAATTCTCTAAAGAACTACGCATGAAATCAGCTGTTCAATTTCTACCTAGCGCGAGTCGTTTGAACTCACCGCACCGCGGTCACGGCGCAGCGGCTCGGCGCCCCACCGCGCCGATCGCCGCGCCGTAGGTATACCTACGATCCCGTCCAACGTACAGAATAGCTGCGTCCCTTTCTGTCGATTGAACCAGTGTTGCCAACTTTTAACTTTTGTTACCTCTTCTATCTTTCTCTCTTTCTACCTTTGTAAACGAAAATGATAGAACTATCGAAATTTATCTAAAACTTGAGAACTCCTTTGCATTCATAATCACATTGATGAGATTTTCATTAATCAATTAATGAATAAAATCACATTGATGAGATTTTCATAATCAATTAATGAATGTGTCGCGCACATAAATTGAATAAAAAATAAATAAAGATTAGTCTAGTTTTAATTTTAAAGCATTTAAAAATACTACCTAATTTATTAATTGATTGTTCTTTTTAAGCGATTACTGGCTAGTTTTTAAACTACTTAAGATTTACATGGCTTCACAATAGCCATGAATTGATAGTCGAGCCAGAAATTAAACATAATCTCCCTGGAATGGAAGCACAGCTTTCTATCACACTGCACTTTTATTATTCTAAATTAACTAAACAATGAAATTAGAATTAAATTGATTTAATCAATTCATTTCTCCACAAAAAATAACAGAATGATAAATTACGACCATGCATAATTTTTTATTTTTTACCCCAGATATTTTTATAACAGATTTATGTTTGTGTGTGTCTCATCACATGCAGTCGCCATTGTGCCTTGCTGCGATGTTACTGTTTGTGTACCGCGAGCGTGTGTCGGTACGGATCGCTCGCGCATTCGGCTTAAAAGTTTTGTTATAAGTAGTGTTGTTAAGTTTTATTAGTTATGTAGTGTGTGAAGTGTAGTGAAGTTTTGTTGTAGAAATTGTGCGAAATTACTACCTAGGTACGTTTAGCGCGCGTGATTATGGGGAGATGATAATGTGTTGTAGTAGTGTAGGTATCCTGACCGTCGGCATCCATCAGACTCCAGGATAATTACTGGTGACTATCAACGCTTGCTAGAAAACCAGCCCATTGTTCCCAGACAAAAAGGCGCCGGAAGACCAATACCTACGTGGATTTTGGAATTGGTTCGCTAACGTAACGAGACGCTACCACTTACCAGTGCTTTCCTATTTAAACGTAGTTTAGGTAGGTTTGGACCGCAACCGTGGCCAGCACGATCCCCAGACCTAACCCATTTGGACCCCTTTTTGTGGGGTTACGTAAAAGAAAAAGTGTTTGTGAGTGCGTGTGCAAGTGAGTACGAAATGCGAGACCGCATCACAAATGCTTTCCAGAGCCGGAAACCGGAGCGATTCTAAGGTACCTACGCATTTTTCTTTTTTTATCATTTATCAGTTACCATGTTATGATTGTTAGATTTTCTTTTGTTAGTAATGCGGCTATCTTTTAAATAATAATTTATTGTTATTAAAACGTGGCGCGAGCGCGATTATTAAATTGTCTTTTGTAAGTAATGCGGCTATCTTGTAAATAATAATTTATTGTTATTAAAACGAGGCGCGAGCGCGACCGTTTGTCCGAAAGGTAAGGTCGCGGCGCTGCCCATAGTGTAAAGTAATAATACTAAAAGCGCTGCCGTTCGCTGCGTGCGTTTGCGGTGGTAGCGATACATTGCGTGTAAGGTAATGAAACAAATCGGTTTAATTGGATTCCCATAACGTTCCTGAAATAATTTCATGTACCGGTCAACTTAAGACGATATACTGAATCCACCCTATCAGTTTGCGGAAGGCTGTCCCTTACACCCTGTATATGTATACTTATAAATGTTTGATAGACTGCACGCCGTTTACGTAAATAAACCCTAATAGTAAGTTCACATAGAGACGTGATGCGTCTCTGTGCGTAGGTACACTTTGAAAGAGCGACTGAAAAAAATAATTTTATTTGCTACACGATGTAGATTTCAAACGATGTGTCTAGCGGCGAGTCGCGACGCCTGTGATTGTGATCTCTTACAGTCTCGGTGCAAATCTAACCTTAGCTATAAAGGGAAAATAAATATACAGAAAATGCGTGTTATATGGATCGACTTTGTTTATTTTATTAATGCTTCCTTACAGGTGAGATTGACGACCGATTCAACGAGTTCTTCATTGAAAGCAGAAGTGGAGTGCCCATTGATAGGATGTGGCATGACAAGTACAGAGTGAGGTAAGTAACTAGGTACTATAACTACAATACATAAAATTATACGGTCCTCCAACGAAGACGTCTAGACAGAACAATCGTGTGGGGTGCGAATTGCGAGTAGCAAGTTGTCAGTGGTTCGGGGAACAACATTCAGGGCTAACACACGTTTTGGACATCCAAAGGAAACATAAGATATTATGAGGCTATTCTTTGTAAGAAGTTTTCGAAGTCTACAGCCTTTTATTTATTTATAGTCCAATCGGATTCAAAATTGATATTCATATTTCACTAATGTTAATGTCAGGGAATGGATGGTGCCTTCGTTCATGTCCCGTGAGCAGGCTGCGCAGATCCTGGCGACGGGTAAGAGCGTGGTGTTTATGCGGGAGGCGTGCCAGGACGAGCCCGCGGGACCTAGCGACCACGCGCAACATCTGCAGGCTTTGTTGAAACCTCACACAAGTGAGTTATTTATACTTCCATTTTGCAATTACTTACAATATTTCTTGTGTGTATGAGTATCAGGATATAGTATCTATTGCTGAGACCAAAAGAGGACATTGTTATACACTATTCTAGACTCTGTGCTGTTGTTGATAACTTTAATAGATCGTAGCGACTTTTGCGACGCTTGCGAGCAGTCTAGTAGAAGAGAGCAATAATGAAATAAATGGAGAAAATGTAATTTTTTAAAGAGTAACGATGGAGTTTCTCGCTTATTCTTCTCCATTCTCAACACCTAGCTCACTGACGAACAGACTGACAGACTACTATTTTATTTTGACGTTTAAAAAGTACCTATTTATGGTTTAGTTGGATTAAATGATTTTGACTTCGACTTTGATTTTGAAACGAAGCAAATTATGATGTGGAAGACTCGGGAATGATTAGCAACATACCTACATTGCTTTATGTAAGGTATGCGGATAGCGCGTGTCGGTGATCGAGGTGTTAATATGGTGCAATGTCGGTAGCGGCGTCAGGGCGCGCGGAGTGCGGCGCGTGGTGGGAGGCGGGCGGGCTGCGCGAGGGCGTGGCGGGCGCGCACGGCGCGGCGTCGGCGCGCCTGCTGGCCGCGCTCACCGAGCACCACCACCTGCTCGACCATCTCGCCGCGCACCGCCGGTACCTGCTGCTGGCGCAGGGCGACTTCGTGCACCATCTCATGACTCTGCTGCAGTACGTACCGACACTTGTTCTTATAAGGCATATGGGAAAATGGATTACCTGATGGTAAGCAATCGGCGCTGCCTATGGGTACTTTGCCAGACTTCGTGGCAAGGTAAATAATGAGACTGTAGATGGTTAAGGTCTGTTTATTACTTTAATTGCTGGTGCTTATATACTAAGAAGATGCGTGAGATTTTCAGATTTAGCTATCCTAACAAACGTGCAACAATTAACATGTATGTCTTATCTCTATCGTATCTAAGTAATGTAGCGACGTGATAGTGCCGCTACATATACTCCCCCCTTTTTAAAAATAATTAACATATAAATTCTTGTTATTACGAAGTCGTAATAATTCTTGGTCATCATGCTGACATCTTGCTAAATCAGCATAATTAATCGGTGATGGCACATCAATTTGTTCTATCCGTGACAATGCGTCTGCTACAATATTGTCACGTCCTTCTATATGTTGAATGTTGGTACAATATTGTGAAATAAAATCCAGTTGTCGTATTCGCCGTGGCGTATCATTAGATGACGGTTTTTGGGAAAATGCGTAAGTCAAAGGTCGATGATCTGTAAAGATAGTAAATTCTCTTCCTTCGACTAACCTTTGAAAATGTTTGACTGCCATATATATTCCGAGCAACTCTCTGTCGAATGTCGAGTATTTTTGTTGAGTATCACTTAATTTCTTTGAAAAGAATCCTAATGGTTCCCAATTACGTCCTGACTTCTGCTGCAGAACTGCGCCAACACAGGTCGAACTGGCGTCCGTCATAAGTGCCAAAGGGGCGGTGCGAGAGGGGTGAACTGTTAATACTGCGTTCATTATATTTTCCTTGCATTTATCAAAAGCTTTTTCGGCCTCTGTTGTCCAAGAAATTGGAGAATTATCATTCTTTTTAGAGTCGTGCAGGTAGTTGTTTAAGATAGTTTGATATTCAGCGGCATGAGGGAGATTGTTTCTGTAAAAGTTGATCATTCCTAAAAATCTTCTTAGCTCCTTGATTGTCGTAGGTTTAGGAAATTCCATAATTGCTTTGTACTTTTCCTCCGTTGGTCGTATTCCTCGTATTCATTTAATAGTTGAGTAATGCGTGGATTCGTCTCAATGTTAATAGTGCGGATTGTTTGCTGCGTCGATTTGATCAGGGTTGCGGGCGTTGTCAGCTCAGTTACCCTATCTATGAGTTTTCGACCAGCTATATCGACTAATAGCTTATAATGCTCTAAAAAATCTGCTCCAATAATCGGTTGTGTTACATCGGCGATGACAAAGTTCCATACAAAGTTTCTTCGTAGCCCGAAGTTTAAAGAGAGTGTTTTTTCACCATATGTCTTAATTTTTGTACCATTGGCGGCATAAAGTATACATTGTTCATCTTGTATTAGTGAATGTCTCTGTGGCTTGCTAATAACTGAAATATTTGCTCCCGTGTCAATCAAAAATCTCATACCACTTTTTCGGTCGGTAATAGTGAGGCGGTTGGACGGGTGAATAGCACAGAGTTCCGCCGTTGTCCGTGCTTCAATTAGTTTCCCTGTTTCCTTGAGTTGAGATCCTGTTTCCAATCACAAGGTTGAACACACTTTTGTGCATATTTTTTAAATCTTCCATGGTAAAAACAAAAGTGCCTTCTTTCTCTTGAACTTGACTGTGGTAGGAAATGCCGACGATTGGAATAACTTTGAGTGCTGCGTCGATAGTTTTTTTGACCTTGCTGAATTGCATTTAGTTCCAATTGCATTTCTGCTAACTGTGCTAGTATGCATGACATTGTATCGTCGCCAGATTTGTTTCCGTTTACAGCTGACACCTCTGTACGTGTTGAATTTATTAATATCTTGTCCGCGATCTGGCTCATCTTGTTCACATCTATGTCTTCTGTGACTGCTAGAACCGAAGTCACTGATGGTGGCACAAGCCTCAACCATAGAAGTTTGATGGTTTCGTCGCTGATATTTCCGTTACTCAGGGTCCGCATCTTGCGCAGAAGATGTGCTGGTTTCTGGTCGCCGAGATCCATTTCAGACAATAATTTTTGGAGCTGACGTTGGTCTGATTCCTCATAGCAACTGATTAGGCGTTCTTTGATAGCCTTGTACTTTTCTATTGGCGGTGGGCAAGTAATGAGGTCACTAACCTGTATTATTTCTTTTTTTGGCAGTTTTGCAATGACCGTATAGTACTTGTAATCGTCTCCTTGCTTCTGTGGTGCTACTATGGCTTCTAGTTGCTTAAACCATAATCTGGGTTGGTCCCTCCAAAATTCCGGTTCCGGCTGATATCTCCAAGGCTTCTTGTTGGCTGCTGCTTGATTTGCAGGGTGAATGAGTCATGTTGATTGTTCTTCGTCGGGTCACCAATTTGCCGGACTTCGTGGCAAGGTAAATAATGAGACTGTAGATGGTTAAGGTCTGTTTATTACTTTAATTGCTGGTGCTTATATACTAAGAAGATGCGTGAGATTTTCAGATTTAGCTATCCTAACAAACGTGCAACAATTAACATGTATGTCTTATCTCTATCGTATCTAAGTAATGTAGCGACGTGATAGTGCCGCTACAGGTACCACATGATGCAACACAAAAAGAGTTACGAGTGCGTTGCCGGCCTTTTAGGGATAAGGGCTTCGGAAATCGGAGTGGGAAGCAATGGGGGCCTCCCCCCATCCCTTGTGGGATTGGGCTTCCGATTACCTCATTCATTCGTTGAAATACAACGCTGTGGTTGTTCCACACTGGATTCCTGTGAAGCCGTGCTATCAATCTGGTCGAACCGGCCTAAGCCGTGCTCAAAGGCTCTTCCACAGTTAATATATAAAATAACAATAACAAAGTTAATATGTGTAACACGCAACAATATTCATACACATATTTTGAAAAACGAAAGGGGTCGAGTTTTTAACACAAAACACTACAAAATAAAGATTCCATATAAAACACGTGTTTGTGCGCAGGGACGAGCTGAACAAGCCCGCGACGTCTCTGTACGTGCACAACCTGACGTGCACGCTGGAGGCGGCCGTGCGCGCCACCAACGCGCAGTTCGAGCCGCCACACGTACTCGCGCGACTGCACGTCAACCTCTACCCTAACTGTAAGCATTACATACCTACTTAGCATTGCCATATGTTTTATACAAAAACCGAATTACAGAAATCTTTAGTGATCACGCCACGCCCTGGGATCTGCCGTTTACGAGATTTGGAAATTTTTCTTTAGTTTTTTCCTTAAGGAAATGTTACCCTACACTAAGATTTTCTCCTGTGTCGTAGGTGCGTTTACAAACATACAATGTCATATGCACATCACACCCTGACTCAGAACAACAATTTGTGGATCACACAAATAATTTTTCCGTGCTAAAATCGAAATTATCGAACCCTCAATACGTTGCGTGGCAGCCAGTTGCCCAGCCACTGCGCCAACCGTACAGCCAATTGAATGCGTCCAGAGTAGGGCATCGAGAACCGGTCCTATTTTAGGAACCGGTTCTTTCAGTTCTAAATATTAGACGGCGCCGGGTACCCGGTTCTTTCGGTTCATCCGGGTTTTTTTCATAATTTCCATTTGAAAAGTGTCTAAATAAAATACATTTTATTATTACTCAATTTTATAAATTTTTTGAATTACACTCAAATTAAAACATATTTTTTTACTATTTTGTAACTTATTTTATGTCCAAAATTTGAATTTTGCGGGGTGTCATGGAGGATTTACTTCAATGTCCCTTGTTAGTTTCTTAAAGATTTATCATTAATAATAAATTATATCGTTATTGGTTTAACAGTGAAATAACTGCATATATTCTGTCTTATAAGTTTGGATAAATCCGCAAGGTAGCTTGTGGCGAGCTGTTGGGCAGTGGCGACCCCACCGCCCTGACTCCCGGGAAGTGTCTTGTTCTTCATCTTCGGTAGGCTCGTGACGAGCTAGAGTGAAAACTAATGAAGAACAAGCCCTCCTACCTCATTCGTGCCTTAATTGGCTGGCTTGAGTGGAGATTCGCAAGAGTAGGAGTTGAAGGAAACTCGGGGGAAGGATGTATCTCAGTAAAGTGCTGGTAGGGGTCTTGACCGTACTTCCGGGAGTGCTCTGATAGCCGTGGGATGCCTCTCTTTCCCCAAGCAGCTCAATGTATGTTGCCTCCATGTCGCAACATGCTAGCGGGGCCGTTTCCGGGGACCCATTAATTGAGTTTGCCAGTCACCCTACTGCCTATTTATCCGTATGTATCAATATTGGTCAGGGGCAGGGGCCATAGTAAGTCCATAGTTATCATATCCACCAGTCCATAGCAACCCATACCCATAACCCTTTCAATTATTACCACATTTCGCAACAGTCCTGCATCAACTGGGGATTATCGTTGGGTGCACTTTCTTTCTTTGTGCATACAGGGATAATTTCCGGCTGATTTCACTTAAAGTTGTTCAACGGGCCTCTGCGAGTTGGTTTCGGCCCCTCGTACGCCTTTCAAAGGTCCGGGATCCTAAGATCCCGTGAACGGAAGAGTATAGAGATATTATTTATAAAATTTTAAGAGAGACCCGTAAGAACCAAAAAAAACCGATTTCTCGTTTGACAGAACCGGTTCTATCAGTATCTTCCAGAACCGGGAATTCCCGGTTCTTTTGGAACCGGGAAAAACCGGTTCTCATGCCCTAGTCCAGAGAATTGGAAATGTTTTAGGGAACAGGATCTCAATGTCTTTTTCTTTTAGGTGACGGTCGCGACGATTGTGGTTGGGACGTATTCGCGCTGCAGTACCGCGTGGACGGCCCGCTGGGCACGCTGTTCCCGGCCACGTGCGCCGCGCGGTACCGGGCGCTGTTCACGCAGCTGTGGCGGGTCAAGCGCATCGAGTACGGCCTGCACGACGCCTGGCGTGAACACGCCATCCTGCAGAAGAGACTGAAGCATATGCCAGGTACAAATGTTTACATCTTTTTATTACATATTTGTTAAATATTTATAGTATAAGCGTGACTTTTTAGTTCGTGGACGTATTGATTTTCAATGCCAAAGATCAGTTATTGGATTACTAATATTATTATTTATACTAATTATAACATAATATGGTATTGGAGTCAGATTTCAGTAGGTACTGCCCTTATATAGGCCTAATCACTGATTAATAGTGGATGTTAGTTTCCCGGTCTGTTTGAAAGAAACAATGTGCAATCATGCATTCGGTATCGGGCACGGCGAACTTAGAAATAATAGTAATGAAAAAAAAATTACATAACTAAAAGCAATTATGAAAGAAACAAAAGAATCTTTTACTAGTTAAATAAGTAAGTTAAAAGTGCCATACAAAAATAAAAGTAAGTACAACTAAACAATTTGCTGTTTTGGCATGTCTAAAATACATAATATATAAAGCATAATTTGTATGACTTACTACATAGAGTCATCAGGAAGTTATAGGATGCATCCCAAAAAACCTTTTTTTGGGATGCATCCTATTATTAAATTTTTCACTTTGTGGGATGAAAAAGTGAAGCGGGCGCTAAAAATAACATGTCGTGAATATTTAAAAACGAAACGTGTTGTTTTACGTAAAATTTTTTAATAGTAACTATCGTGAGACAATAAAATTATTGAAAACTAGCTTTTGCGCGCGACTCCGTTCACGTGGAATATTGAGTTCCTGTAGATATTTGGTATAAAAACTACCCTATGTCCTCTTTCGAATTTTAAACTATGTCTGTACCAAATTTCACAGAAATCGGTTCAGTGGTTAAGGCGTGAAGAAAAGACAGACAGACAGAGTTACTTTCTCATTGGTTTTCTCATTAGTTTGGATTACAACTTACTCACATGTGTTAACTGATAAAAGCTCAAAGCAGTTGATTCACGTGAAAGTCGAAAGTCGTTATTACCAAGAAAAAAAATACGCGTCGAATTGAGAACCTCCTCCTTTTTTGAAGTCGGTTAAAAATTGAGTAGGTGTTGTATGTGATATAGTGGTAGCGGAGAGGTTGATGTAGCGTGTGTGTGTGTGTGTGTGTGTAGAGGTGTGGAGCGTGATGCGGCGCGTGTCGTGCCTGCGGCTGGAGGCGCTGCGGCTGATGGGCGCGCTGCAGGAGGCCGGAGGCGTGGGCGCCGAGCCCGCCTGGCGCGCCCTGCTCGCCGCCGCCGCCGCGCGCGCAGACCTCGACGCGCTGCTGGCGCTGCACCACCACGCGCTCGACCGCCACTCCATACACGCCATGATACACCACACCACGCAGGTACCTCCCTTACACAGCACAGCGATTATTATTACTCATTACGTTTATGATTCAAAAAATCTAAAAGTATATTTCCTCTACAGCCAGAATGTTATCCAAACTTAAAATATAAAATATATACATGTAAAGTTTATGTTGCGACTATTTTTGTATGGTTATATTACCATTATACACCTAGTATTAATATTAACTATGTTGGAAAGCATATTATTGTATTATTCTGTTTTGTGTTATTGAGGAAAATATAGTATTGATACAGTAGGTTACTGCATATGTATAAACTAGTAACAAAGTTGTACCCTCTCGTTATAAGAAAGCTTTTCAGATTTTATTATTATTTGGTAGGAGCTGCAGTCGTACTTAGGTAACGTTTTGAACGAGACCCTGGCGCTGCGCAGCTTTGAGGCGACCCTTCACGCTGGTATTAATGCAGAACTCGAGCGACGAGAGAGGATCGAGCAGATGAAGGCGGACAGAGTGATGCGCGGTGAGTTCCGCTTGTATACTGAATACAGAGAAGAAACGAGGTGATCTTAATATCGGTCTGACACTTCCCCCTGCCAAAAATACAATTCCACATAAAGGGAATATGGAGTTTTAGAGAGATAGGGAGTTCTCACAAACGTGGAAAGCTGTAACATGGTGAGTCGGCCCCTTTAATTATATTCATCGATTGAATTGAAATTTTGTATACAGGTGAATACGCTTTCACGGCGGCAGACGAGGCTCAGGACAAAGAGAAGAGGAAAATCTTCCACCAGTTCCTGGCCAGCCGTAGGGCGGACCTGAATGTTTGGGCGCGCACGTACAGGTACCGTTACTGAGTCGTGCACGGTCACTGCGACACGACATCGTGACCAATTACGTCACGTGTCCTAAGCTGGATTTACTGCTTCGTTGCGCATGATTCAAAAATTGTATTCAAAATGATATTCTTTATGGTAGTTTAATTTGTCTTCATTATAGTCTACGTTTAGCTGCCATAAGATAGTATTTTTGAATGAAATTGTGGGTAAACGTTTCGATTTTCTTATACATAAACTTCATTCGTGACCATTCATATTTTTTCGGGACCATCTGCAGTGGTCACATTAGCAAATTGAGGAGGATTGAACATCGCTTGTTATATTGTTACTCGTTTATTTGCTTACATTGTCATTTAGAAACCATTAGTTAATCTAAACTGTTTCTTAAACAGGAGGAAAATGTTGTTTATCTAATAAATAAATGATGAACACACTTTCTGTCATGGTTGTACACAGTTTGTTTTTTTTCGATGATCCATGTTTTTAAATACTTCTTTAATATTTTATTTTATAACCTCGTTTACGCTATAAATGACACCCATTCATACTGCACCATCAGGTCACCCTAGTTGCGATAAGATTTTACTGACGTTCATTCAATTCAAACACTAACTTTTTGCCTGATTCTAAACTTGTTGATACAGAGATAAATAAATATAGGTATCACAATTGCCTAACACTGGATTTAAACTGAACCTAAATCTTCATTGCTCCCAAATTGTGTCCAAGCCTATTATATTACAAAAGGTACTACAACTTCTATAGCTTAGGTCAGAGTTCAACGACACTTTTAATTTCATGTTCAACACTCACTCATCGCTGTTTAAGGTTCCCATCATCATCATCATCATCATCAGCCTATAAGTGCCCACTGCTGAGCAAGGCCTCTTCTCACAAGGAGAAGGTTTAAGCATTAATCACCACGCTGGCTCAATGCGGGTTGGCGATTTCAAACTTACAATTAGAAATTATAAGTCCAGGTTTCCTCACGATGTTTACCTTCACCGTATGTCAGTGGTATATAAATAATCATAGAAAGTACATATAACTCGGAAAAAGTCACATTGGTACTTGCCAGGTTTCGAACCCACACCCTCATGCATGAGAAGCGGGCTCCTTAACCTCCGGGCCACCACGACAGTGAAAAGGTTCCCATATCTTAACTTTATCCAAGAAGGTTCAAAAAGGTTTCAATCAACGTCATCCTTGCCCCGACAAAGCCGTCATGTATACAATACAATATTTTTCTTTTCATAAAATAAACAAAATGGCAACTGATTTTGACTTTGACTTGAGTAAAGTTCCATTCAATAGTTTAATATTGATCGGTTTTATAACCGAGCGTAAAATAAGGATAGTGAAAAAGAAAAAATAACTCATTCTTGTAAAAAAAGAAGATGCTTATTCCTAAATCATTGCCTCAAATATTCTTGATGAACTTGGACTTTAATTTACATCAGTTATCATTTAGCTTTGTTTCTTCCACACTAAGCCGACAGCGCCTGTGTAGAAATACTTCAGCCATTATTTTTGGGACTTTAAGATTTGTAGATCTCGATAATGGAGGTGTAGAACCGTAATATTATTAAATGTGTTTACTTCAGGGGCCACGTGACCACGCTGATACTGAAGCTGGCGCTGCACTCGGAGGTATCGCTGCAGACGCTAGCGTTCCGCCTCGACTACAGCGACTTCTATAAGCGAGGCGATGCCAAGCTGCATGAGCCGCTCACCTATCAACACAAACGTCTCTCCGAGATCGGACTCAATTTAGCTAAGGTACCTACTCTCTACGTTCTATCTTGTTAACATACCTACTATTCGCACAATCAATTCAAAATATTAATCGGGTAATTCTCAATTTTTTTTTATTTTACTATGCTTTATTGTCCCACTGTTGGGCAAAGGCGTCCCCATATCGGTTCCACACCTCCTGATATTTTGACCGTCTACCAGTCTCGACGATAGGCGTCTAGATCGTCACGCCATCTTTTCCGGGGCCTACCCCGACTGCGGCGTCCATCCTGAGGTGTCCACTGGGTGACAATAGTGGCAATTAGAAAATTTTAATTGTTATAATCATTATTTTGTAATCTTCAACTATGAAACAACCTTCAATCAATTCAACAACAAGGTAACCTTCACACACATTCTTAGACGATACTCTATAATAATAGCAGTTATTAAAAACGGATAAAGGATTATTATTTGCATAAAACCTATGTAAAGTACCGGAAATGATTCAATAGCACGCCTTACGATGCTGGGTTCGACGAGGCCGGACGTGACACGCTCGAAAGTCACCCAGTGATGCCAATGATTAGATTAAATAAACGAAAATGCATTTTTTATGTATTATGAAACGTGTTTGTATTGGGGTTTTCCATGATACGAACGATCAGGAACATTTTACTGATCGTTTCATATCTTCTTTATTATTTCATGCCTTCATTATTCTTCACAAAAAATAAATAAATATGGAATGTAATTAATTTGTTTTATGTTTATTTTCCCGGTTCTTGCCCCGACGGAATGATTTCAAGATAAAAGAATAGTAAGGTAATACGTCGCGTTAAAGACTTCAAGCTTTTTATTTTCATGCGAAAGTAGAGTATGGTATTCTCACTCTCACCTGGTATTTATTCGTGTTAATACTTCTGTTTTCGTATTAATTGATATTGGAGTACTAATTTTGTTTTGTTTCAGAACAAACTCATCGACCGAACAAAGAAGAAATGACATGTGGATAAATCGGAATGTTTCGCGCCCAAAGCGTTCTGCTCGCCGTGTCTTGGCTTTGCGTGCGTCTGGACGCCCATGCCGTGAAAACTATTCAAGGGGCTTGTTCCACGTGATATCTTGCAAGTCACTTAATTCATAACAATTTTATACTGTAATTGAGTACTGTGTCCTAAATTTAACTTTAAGTAAAACTTGACACTTTTATTGTTGTGCACTGAAGAATATCGAGGCAGTCGTTCTGTGGAAGAGTATCTCCGTATATTAGAGTGAAGGCGATTTTACTGATTATGACAGTCATTTAAACAACCATTGCTTAAAAGCAATGGCATTGTTTTAAAAGAATATCGCCTAATATTCGTTGGGCAGGGATGTGTAGAGCGAAATCTTTTTTCCAAGACTACCCAAAGTGCAAAGTTTTAATTCGATTTTTATTCTTGGTACATTCACCTAGTTTTTGCCAGTTTGAAATGAAAACACCCGGCAGAATTCCAAACAGAAAATATCGAAAGTACGTTTTTTGACGGAAAAATCGAATCGAAAACTCCTTGCTCCACAATCGCTCTTATAACAACACCAATAAAACTCGCTTTTCATAAATGTAACTTCCATAGCTCGGAGCCTGTCTGACGAACGCGTTTTCGTCTCGAATCTCTGATTTGTTTGTCAAATATCAAGCGTTTATTCGTCGTAGCTAGTAACTCGTCGACTGCCTCATAAAACTTCCCTTCATTGTAAACCTATTTTAAACTAACGCTCTCTATAAGTCAGTTGGTGCCATTAATGCCACATTATACATTTTTTATTACATTACATTTTCTTTTATTTATTTCATCAATTCCAATTTTGTTTTCAGTTCAGTACGAAAAGTTGCGTTTTTGTGTAATGACTCAATTTAAAATAAGAATTACATGGGTGTGAAATAACCAAATGTCAATTGATCTTGTACAAATTGTAAATGAAATATGATAAGCGCCAACTAATATCTTCTTGTTTTCTTTAAAGCTAAGGCCCCACGGCGGTTTTATCCCACGTCTAACCGCAAAATAATGTGACGGAAAAGTGGTTCAAACTCTTTGACATCATGACGTCAATGGATGGTTGTCAAACGTTGCCTAGAGATTGTAAATTTCATCGTGAATTGTCAACACGAGTTGGTGTAATCGGTAAGGCGTGTGGATTACACCACAGAGACCCCGAGTTCGAGTCCCGCCGTAAACATGAAGTTTTTTAGTTTATAGAAGTTTTGTCGAACTTTCTGGAATTATTTGTGTGAAAGAAATGAAAAATTAAAGAGCGAGAAGGAGAATAAATAAAAATGAATAACGAAATTATTGGAAGGTTCTGGAGGCATGACGATCAAAAAGAATAACGAAATTGAATGTTCCAGAACCTGACCGGGGGTATATAAGCGGAACTGCGGCTCACCGCTGGCAGTTGAGTTCTAAGTCTAAAGCGATTCGGAAGAAAAGGAAGAAGTGAGAAAGAAGAAAAGTGAGTGAAATAGTGAAGTGCAGTGAAATAGTGAAGTGCAGTCAGTTAAGTGAGTTAAGTCAGCGTGAACGGCAAAGTTGTGTCAGACGGCCGGACTCTGCTGGAGAGGAACGCCGATAACTTAACTCCGTGGACGCTGTAACTTAAGTGCAATAGAAAGTCTGAAAACCGGTATTAGTGTTTCATTTCATCCAATCCCGTAACCCAAGCCCGCATAGTCAGGAACGTGACGTCAGGCACGTAACATTTGGTGTCAGAAGTGGGATTGGAGAAAAATGCCGCTAGTGCCGCAGGACGTAAGAGGAGTGAGTACCCGTTCAATGTCAGAAGCGCAGCGTGTGAGGGAAGAGGGTGCTGCAGCTCAAACCAGCGATGCAGAAGCCAAGCCTGTGCAGGTGGATCTTCTGCTACAGCTGCAGCAAATGATGGCAGAGCAAGCGCGCCGCCAAGAAGAGCAAGCGCGCCGCCAAGAAGAGCAAGCGCGCCGCCAAGAAGAGCAAGCGCGCTGTCAGGCAGAACAGCTGCGGGAGCTGAAAGAAGAGCAAGCGCGCCGCCAAGAAGAGCAAGCGCGCCGCCAAGAGGAGCAAGCACGCTGTCAGGCAGAACAGCTACGGGAGCAAGCACACTGTCAGGCGGAGCAGCTACGGGAGCTGAAAGAGATGCATAAGGATTTCACGAAGGGACTGCAAAAGGCTGTCGAACGGGTACAAGAAGTGGAGGAAGGGTTAGGCAAGTTGGAACATCGCGTCAAGGCGATAGAGGAGAGAGTGGAAGAAGAGATCTCCAAAATCAAGCAGGAAGTGACAAGCCCAAGCCCTTTGAAGAGCCGAAGCCGTCTTGCAGCCGTTTTTGAAGCCCCAAATGCGGCTTCAAGTGCAACGAAAGGGCTTAAGATTCCCCATTACGACGGAACAACATCCTGGACTGCGTTCAAGCTACAGTTTGAGACACTTATGGAGGCTTATGGTTGGACTCAGAAGGAAGCACAGTCAGCCCTTACCCTGGCCCTCCGTGATCAAGCGCTCTCAGTGCTGGAAGCTATCGGCGCAAGTGGGGATCTCAGCTTTAGTGCCCTCCTCGACGCACTTGAGGCACGTTTTGGAGACAGCCACCTCGAGCACGTGTACAGAGCGCAATTAAAAGAGCGTACTCAGCGTGCTAATGAGGGCCTACAGCAATGGTCCGTGGAAATCGAGAAACTTGTGCGTCGAGCTTTCCAGTCGACTCCGTCAATGATTGAAGGCACGCTTCTCCAAGCGTTCATTGACGGTATTCGGGACCCCGAAGTACGAGCCGCTGTTCATCTGGGCCATCACAAGAACATGAAAGAAGCTCTGGCCCATGCATTGGAAGTGGAAGCCGTGCGTGGTAACTCCCGTACCTTACGTCTGCGGGAAATGACGACAACGGAGCAGGTACCTTCACGCCGTCGGAACTTCATGTGCTATGGATGCGGAGAGCGTGGGCACATGCGGAGCGACTGCCCGAAGAAGGTGAACCGCCAGGACGCGGCGGTCTCAACTTCTGACCAGCAGGAAAACTAAATCCAGCCAGGGCTGCGGGGTGGGCGCTGGCCGGTAGTGGAATAACCCCAACAATCTACATCAAGCAAACTAACGATGGAAATACTCTGGTGATAGACGGTCAAGTAAATGGGAAAAACAGTCAGCTAACATTAGATACTGGAGCTTCAAGGACGGTGATGAATGTTCGGCTGCTCGAGCAAAACATCAGGAAACACCTTAAACCAATTGTTGGCCTACAAATGAAATCAGCTACCGGCCAGTGCATACCGATAAGTGGAAAATTGCATGTAACAATCAAAATTGGGGAACGTGTTTATCGACATGAGGTTATTGTGGCCAAAATTCTGGATGACTGCATCCTAGGACTTGACTTCCTGCGAGGGCACCAGTGTAATATCGACTTAAAATCTGGAGTATTACTATGTGGAACTGAGGAAATTCCGATGAAGGGTGGAACCCTAGGAAAAGTTTGTTGTTTAAGAAGAACTGTTCTTGCACCAAAATCACAGACACTCGTACCAATCGCATTACCTAGGAGGAGGGAAGGAAGTTTACCTCGAAGGTGCGCTGTGATTGATAAATCGGAACACGTAAACTCATGGCTACCGGCAAGAACTGTCGTGGGGTCATCTGATGTCAACCGCATTCCGGTATTCAACTTCAGTGATTCAAAAATTACGATTGAAGAAGGAGAGCCTGTGGGCGTATTGGAAGAAGTGGCCTGGATAAGAAAATGCTCGGAAAATCTTGTGAAGAAGGACAGTACGGGAATAGACTTTGTAACGAAAATCTTAGACGAAAACAAAAGTCTGACAAAAGTGGAGACTATGAAAGCTAGAAATTTACTTCTTCGATTCTCTGATGTGTTTTCAAGAAGCGATGGTGATATTGGCCGAACTGGTTTGGTGAAGCATAAAATAAACACAGGTGATACAATGCCAATTCGTCAAAGGCCCAGACGTATACCATTCGCTCGTGAGAAAGAGGTGGAACAAATGATTGACGATATGAGGAAAAATGACGTGATAGAGCCCTCTTCTAGCCCTTGGTGTTCACCTGTCGTGCTTGTCAAGAAGAAAGATGGTTCAACGAGGTTTTGCGTAGACTATCGACGATTGAATGATGTAACCAAGAAGGATAGCTACCCGTTACCAAGAATCGATGACACACTTGACACACTGAGTGGCATGAAATGGTTTTCAACGATCGATCTGAAAAGTGGCTATTGGCAGGTGGATTTGGATCCCAAGGACAAGGAAAAGACCGCATTCTCAACTGGGAAGGGACTCTGGCAATTTAAGGTGATGCCATTTGGATTATGCAATGCACCGGCAACCTTTGAGCGTTTGATGGAACAGGTGCTGGCGGGACTACTGGGCGAAACCTGCCTAGTTTACCTCGATGACATCATCATTGTTGGACGGGATTTTGACGATCATCTAAGAAAATTGGAAAAGGTACTCGACAAGCTGCGTGGAGCAAATTTAAAGTTGAGTCCAAAGAAATGCTCTTTCTTCAAGCGCGAAGTGAATTATCTAGGACATGTTATTTCTGAGAGAGGAATTGAGACTGATCCAGCCAAGACTGTCGCTGTTAAGGAATGGCCAACACCTAAAGATAAAACGCAAGTTCGGGCATTTCTTGGATTGTGCTCGTATTATCGGCGGTTTGTGAAAGGATTCTCGGACATTGCCAAGCCTTTGCATCGATTGACAGAGGAGAAACGTGCCTTTATCTGGGACGAGGATTGTGAGCAAGCCTTTCGAAAACTAAAAGAACGGCTTTGTAACACACCAATTCTCGGATACCCCAGCGCGAAAGGAATATTCGTAGTTGATACGGATGCCAGCAATATTGGAATAGGAGGTGTCCTTTCACAACGCGATGGAGAGCAGGAGAAGGTTATTGCTTACTTCAGCAAGTCACTATCTAAGCCGGAGAGGAATTATTGCGTGACCAGGAGGGAATTGCTGGCCGTAGTCAAAACTCTGCACCATTTCAAGAAGTATTTACTGGGACGGAAATTTTTGATCAGAACTGATCACGCTGCTTTGAAATGGCTGCTTCAGTTTAAGGATCCCGAAGGCCAAGTAGCCAGATGGCTGGAACAACTTCAGGAATTTGACTTTGAAATCGAACATCGCGGCGGAAGAATTCATGGCAACGCAGATGCATTATCGAGACGCCCATGCGTGGAAGATTGCAAGCATTGTGCCAAGAAGGAAACTGCTTTTCTTAAGGTGATAAGGACTGATACTGTTGACGAGGCATGGGGAGATGATGCGATGAAATTAGAACAGGAAAGAGATGCAGATATTAAACCAATACTGGAGTGGCTACGAAGTGGTAACAAGCCAAGTTGGAGTGACGTCGCCCAATATAGCGCGGTAACGAAAGGCACAGTGGAAAAGCCTTACGCTGCATAACGGACTTCTGTGCAGGAAATGGGAATCAACAAACGGCAAGGACGAGCATTTGCAATTGGTGGTGCCTCGTTCAAAAATAAGGGATGTATTAAAAGCGTTCCATGATGGATCTTCTGGAGGACATTTGGGAATTAGGAGGACTTCGGTGAAAATCAAGGAGAGGTTTTATTGGTTGCATTGCAAATATGACGTCGAAGATTGGTGCCGGAAATGCACTAGTTGTGCAGCTGTCAAGGGTCCACAAACAAGAAGCAGAGGGGCGATGAAAATCTACAATGTTGGTATGCCTTGGGAGAGAATAGCCTTAGACATCGCTGGACCATTTCCAATCACTGATTCGGGCAATCGCTACGTTTTAGTGGTTATGGATTATTTTACAAAATGGCCGGAGGTCTTTGCCATACCGAATCAAGAGGCAGTAACTGTAGCCACGAAGTTGGTAAACGAGGTATTCACCCGATTCGGAGTGCCCTTGGAGATGCACAGTGATCAAGGACGGAATTTTGAATCCCAAGTTTTTCAGGAAACTTGTAAACTTTTGGGAATCCATAAGACTCGAACGACCCCTTATCATCCACAGTCAGATGGAATGGTCGAACGCTTCAACCAAACATTGGAGCGACACTTAGCAAAGGTGGTTGACAGCCATCAGAGAGATTGGGACACTTACATACCTCTCTTCTTGCTTGCCTATCGGACTGCTGTACATGAAAGTACCGCAAAGACGCCTGCATTTGCAAATTTTGGAAGGGAATTGAGATTACCGGCAGATCTTGTATCGGGCTGTCCACCTGGCGACACTCGCACCGAGTTTAGCGATTACATAAACGAGTTAAGGGCAAAAATGTTGGACATTTATGAGCAGATCAGGGGGGCCGGTCTTCAAGCTAGTGATCGCGCAAAGACGCGCTATGATCGACGAGCCAATTCTGTTGGGTTTGAAGAGGGGTCATTGGTCTGGCTTCATAATCCAGTCAGAAGGAAGGGAAAATCTCCGAAGCTTCAACCGAGTTGGGAAGGTCCTTATGAGATAGTCACGAAGATCAATGACATTACTTACAGAATTCGGAAGACTTCAAGGAGCCCTTTGAAAGTTGTCCATATAGACAGGTTGGCGAGGTATTACGGCAGCAACGATGCTCGGGACGAGCGAATCTAAGAGGGGGGCAGTGTGACGGAAAAGTGGTTCAAACTCTTTGACATCATGACGTCAATGGATGGTTGTCAAACGTTGCCTAGAGATTGTAAATTTCATCGTGAATTGTCAACACGAGTTGGTGTAATCGGTAAGGCGTGTGGATTACACCACAGAGACCCCGAGTTCGAGTCCCGCCGTAAACATGAAGTTTTTTAGTTTATAGAAGTTTTGTCGAACTTTCTGGAATTATTTGTGTGAAAGAAATGAAAAATTAAAGAGCGAGAAGGAGAATAAATAAAAATGAATAACGAAATTATTGGAAGGTTCTGGAGGCATGACGATCAAAAAGAATAACGAAATTGAATGTTCCAGAACCTGACCGGGGGTATATAAGCGGAACTGCGGCTCACCGCTGGCAGTTGAGTTCTAAGTCTAAAGCGATTCGGAAGAAAAGGAAGAAGTGAGAAAGAAGAAAAGTGAGTGAAATAGTGAAGTGCAGTGAAATAGTGAAGTGCAGTCAGTTAAGTGAGTTAAGTCAGCGTGAACGGCAAAGTTGTGTCAGACGGCCGGACTCTGCTGGAGAGGAACGCCGATAACTTAACTCCGTGGACGCTGTAACTTAAGTGCAATAGAAAGTCTGAAAACCGGTATTAGTGTTTCATTTCATCCAATCCCGTAACCCAAGCCCGCATAGTCAGGAACGTGACGTCAGGCACGTAACAATAATATTTCTTATTACACAAATACACGGTTTAAAACAGCGCCTGTTTTTATTGTACCGTACAGCTGAACCTTAGTGCGGCCTAAGTCAAACTATAATACCAGCCGCCAGGGTAAGCGTTTCAAAGTAACATTTACATACAGGGTAGATTATCATTATCATTTACCATAAAAGAATAAAACAGTTAACAATAATTTAATATGGATCCCATGTCTAACTGCGAAATAATATTTCTTATTACACAAATATAACGCGGTTTTAAAACAGCGCCTGTTTTTATTGTACCGTAAAGCTGAACCTTAGTCAAACCATAATACCAGCCGCCAGGGTAAGCGTTCAAAGTAACATTTACATAAAGAGTAGATTATCATTTACCATAAAATAATAAAACAGTAAAAATAATTTAATTTGGTATATTTACTTACAATCAAAGAGTTTTTTTTTGGTAATCTTTAACACTTGTAAATTCATTATTATAAATTGGCCTGCTTGATGTTCGGTGGTCGATTATATAATACTTGCCACCAGAAAACCCAATATGATAAGACTTCAAAATGACTTTAGATAAACACGTTTAACAAGTTGTATAATGTAAACACAATATATATTTCCTTGCATTTTCCTGTTGTAACACAAGTTACAATACAGCATGCAATAACGTGAGTAACAATTTGTTTGTGTAAGTTTCCTGAGCTACGAAAATACTGATTCAGTCAATTTAAAGTAAAATATAATACAACTTATACACATATTGTATATTAATGACGTCACCCCACTTGCGTTCCGGAAAATCCTTATTAGCCAGTCGGTGAGTAACGGTAGCTGTGTGTCAGCCTAAGTCTGGATGACTGAGGTTAGTGTCTAAGTACATCTGCCATGCGTTGTTAGACTAGGTGAATATTACAAGTAGGACGAGGTGAACCTACGCGTGGCGCGGCGCGGGCTACCTGTGGCAGTGTCGACAGCTATCTTATTATCATACACGTTCACCGCTCAATGAGTAAATCTCTGTTCCAAGACACGCTAACATATTCAACGATGGTATAGGAATACCATTTTCATATCAAACAATTAAGCAGTTTTAATGAATTCAGTGAAATACATTAGATTTAATCTAAGTCTAAACTTTTTATTTACATTAATTAATTAAATGAAATATACATCTCTCAAGTTTATTTAACTTAACGCCAAAAATAAAATTATGTTTGTACAAAAGCATCATAAATAGCACATACAATTGTTACACCTAACTAAAATCTCAACGTGATACTAATCTGACTACCCCGTGTTTGGTATGATGCAAACTTTGACATTACAAAAAATAATACTTGATATTAAGTGGACTCTTACATGTATATAGCTAATTCTAATCCAAGGCACGTGCAGTTTTAATTCAGCCCTGAGTAATAAGAAGCAACTTGCTCATTGTGGAATCGCGATGAGTACCTACATATCGTAAGCTTCAATAGATTCCTACAGAGGAAGTTGAAATCAAGTATGTCCAGATGTACCGGGAACACGGTCAAAGGTACTGGCAGGTGCGCTTGTGTACTGGGGTCTTCCGTAGGGCGGCGCGCACCGCCTCTTCGAACACCTCGTGTATGTTGACTCTCTCCAGCGCCGAGCACTCGACCAGCTGCACCGCCCTGAAACAAGTGCAAGCGCACCACTTGTAACACCAACCTCGACTTTATCTGCTCTACCACTCCGATTGATAAGCCTCATAGAAACTCTACTATCTGATAGGTACCTAGGTATTATTTATCAATGTAGGTACGTGTTATACGAAGATGTGAAATGTCAAAAAAATACTTCTTATATACCGAACGCTTGTATTTGAAATCTGCATTCGCACATTTGCGAATTAATGCAAAATGGATACGTTGACACTCTTTTTACCAATAAAATGGACGCTAATTTATTTGTTGCCTTTTTTGAAAGAACTCTTAGGTTGCGTTTCGCCGTGAGAGTAATGTTACAAGGATGGACATCCTTCACCTTATTCTCAATCCCAAAATCACCTTTCTGTAAATCCCTAATAATCCACAAAAGATCGGCAGCGTACCTACTTAAAGTCCTTTGGTATTGAAATTGTGCATGGGCGGCGCCGATTGCTTACCTAAACCTAGCGGATTACCTTACCAATAGACAATCCCCTCGATTGCCAATAAAATATGGACAATAATACTAAAAACTGATTTTTTTTATTTAAAAAATCTACTAATTGCTCACTCAAACTTTATAACCAACCTTGCATATTATGTGAGTATGGGTATCTACATAGTACTTTTTGTGTAAAATGTTAAATATAATGCAAATAGTTTTAACAAATTGTAGTGTGGTTAAATCGGCTGATTTATTTAACAATTGTTCCTGTGTCGTTATATCACAATACTGGTGTCACTATCAGCGGGTGATAAGAGGCGATAGCACAGCTGCCGGCGCTCGCGCACGATAACCCTTGTCACTTTTCACTTTTGTGTTGTTTTAAAAATTATTCAGTTTCAATACTATCTTTCACAGTAATTCAACTTGTTAGTAGATATGGTTTTACCAGAAAAAACAACCCTACCTAATTTTCTTTTTTAATTTCTTTCCTTCCTGTGTAGTGACGACTGCGTTGCCTGATGCTCGCAGATCGGTTTTAGTAGCTGAAATTTAAATTTTTGACTCATTATAGAAAGATACGATTATTTTATAATAAGTACCTACTTAGATAACTATAAAGTGCGATGTTTTAAAATATTTATACACACACATTGCACTTGAAGTGTGAAGAATGCTCCTTTTGTCAGATTGTTTATTTTAATTGAACAGAGTAAACATAGTTTCGTAGTTTGACGTTGCTTGGTGCCTCTTTATGAGTCGCTGCACATGTTTGAATCGTATGGTATGGCTATTCTATGCATTCGATGGGACTACGTGCGAATTCCATTGGAAATTCTATAACTATTGTTATTTTAATTGTACTATTATCTTTATCTATGTAATTTACAAATCACCAATTTTAAGCAATTAACTACATATGTCTATTTAGCTTAGCAGTTAAATTCAGGGTGAATAAGCAAAGCTTGCTTTGTGTTGTATTAACAAAGCAGTAATTAAGTTCTTCCTCTTTAGCACTCATTCAGCTAATAGCCACAAATTGCTGTGCACATAATTAGCAAATTTACAAAAAATATATTACGGACGATCGTATAACTAACGGGTTGGTTGACCACTTAGAAATTGTGGAACAAATTATGAGTATGTTCAGGCATGAGTGGCCAGTGGCAGCAGATAGGTACTACAATACTTGAACTTAGTGATTAGAATGTAAGTAACCACTTGATACTTAGACTGATATCTTCATGCATGAGACAATAGAAAATGCATTATGTCTCGATTAGATCCATGTCCCAGCAGCAGGCGGGTTTGTGTTAATTAACTGCACAGGGCAATGAGCTTCGCAAACCGCATTAAGTACAATTTACATGCAAGCCCAAATAATTGATTTGTCGAAACTTACCAACTAATACAATGGGTACTTTTTCATTGAAGTGTTTTAGCTCTGGATACCATTTGTGGATCACGTTTTCGAATGACGAACGAGTGCCTACTGAATAGCACACGAGGAAGCAGTTTGTCTGAAACAGAACAATAACATTTGAATTATTTATTCCATCATGTAAACAATAATAACGTTTGAATTATTTAAAAGCAATCTAAAATTGGAAACGTTTGTCATAGCTGGGGACAACATTATTATCGCTTTAAGCCTACCTACTGTTGTTTATTTTGGTGCACAGACACAACACCACGCTTTTTATTCCCAAACGAGTAATAAGTAGTTATAGGTGTGCTTACATATTCCAATTTCAATTATTACAAATGTGGGAGAGCCAAGTTTCGGCGTGAATACAGTGATAACACGGCTTAAAATCGGCATTAAATGTTAGGGAAAATATTTAGTTTTAATTCCGCGACAAAAATCCAGGCTTGTTGCAGGATGCAATCCCACTCCTATGCAATCATGCATATGCACATGCAGCAAGGGTCCCACCCTCCCGCCCACATGCATATGCACACATACACAAAACGGAAAAACATGCCACGCAATCAAACCTATACTCGACACGTGTTTCGCCCCTCCACAGGGCATCCTCAGGAGATGTTGACTCGACGACTCGTCGAGTCAACATCTCCTCTCTCCGAGGTTTGATTGCGTGGCATGTTTTTCCGTTTTGTGTATGTGTGCATATGCATGTGGGCGGGAGGGTGGGACCCTTGCTGCATGTGCATATGCATGATTGCATAGGAGTGGGATTGCATCCTGCAACAAGCCTGGATTTTTGTCGCGGAATTAAAACTAAATATTTTCCCTAACATTTAATGTCATGGATTTCCGCAAAGTAACGCCTGATTCTATAAATTAAAATCGGCGTAAAATGACCGAACCGAACCCCTAAATGCCCGAAACCCTAAATCCTCAAAAGGGCAGCAACGTACTCGAAACACCGGGTGTTGCTGGTATGTAGGTACCTACGGACGGCGCCAATTGCTTACTATCAGATAATCAGTCTCCTCGTTTGTAGGCCTACACATAAAAAATACCCACATCAAAAATACCTAGATGGTACCTTAACTTCAAAGAATAGGTATCTTAAAGCCCTCTTATTCTCGTAGAGATAGGAGGGGCCCTCTATTTCTAGGCAGAGTGAAATACAATTGCCATTCAAGCAAAAAAAATTGCGCCAGGAGGCCGCTAGATGAAAGTCCCTTTGAACCGGCCGATATGAGAGTCCTTGGAAAGGCCCATGTGTAGATACATCTACACAGCTGGTATGATATAGTGATGAAAAGTTGAACTGAACTCCGTATTCGAATAGAAGATAAACCTTGTTATGTACAAATATTAAGAACCTACAAATGTTAAGAAAGTAAAAACTTACGTGTGTGTAAGATAGTGGCCTTAACCGTTCATAGTCTTCTTGGCCGGCAGTATCCCAAAGTGCAATCTCCACCTCTTCTCCGTCCACTGTGATGTGACCGACATAATTGTCGAACCTGTGATAAAATTGTAAGTTTAAATTTGGCCATGGTGTAAGATAGAAGGTTTTTCTTAGGATCTCCGACTTATGTAAAGTCTGTTAGTATTGTAATATTGGTACACATGCTATCCAGGGAAATGAGTGGATAAATGCAACTAAATCTAAAAACGTTGATTTATAACTTATGAGAGACATTTACAAGGTTATGGAGGGTATCTTAGTGATTGGTAACAGTAGTAGATGGGTATAGAAGTACACACTTTCTTTTCAGGTGTAGGTACAACCGTACCATTAACTCATTTCAGTCTAATCTAGGTAGGAACATAGCGCTTGTAGGTAAAAAATGGCTATGGTTTGAGGTGGTAGACCTGGTGGTTTACCCACTATTGTATTTAACAGGAGAATTTAGACAAATAAATATCATTGACTGTCATTGGTTTTTTCCTGGTTTAATTTGACGAACACACACCAAAGTATACTTAAACATAGGTACCTATTAAATTCTAACTGCCAGGCAGTTCATTTTTCCTTTTAAACATGTCACAGTCATACGCAAGACTAAACGATTGACTTGTCCATTTTGTCAGACGAGCCATTCTCGTTTTTTGCTGTTTGTACATAGGTGAGATATTTTGCAGAGAGGAAGATGTAATAACAAGTTGTATCACGTAAATACAAAGGACAGCGATGTTTACGTTAAGTACTTAATGAACGTAATGGGCCAGAAAATGTGTCAACGTAGAGATGGATCGCAAGGAAATCAAAGTTGCTGTAGGCGTGCGTCCAGTTTCATAAGGAGGAAGCGACGACGTGTAGATACAATACAACAATGCCACGACGTATTTGACTTTATAAATAGTGCAGCTCGCAATGCTAAGTAGGTAGGTACCTGTTCAATAATATTGGCCCATTGGTAGCGAATACTTCTTGCAAATTTAATGTTCAAGCGTTGGGCAGTTTGCGTATACTTGTTTTCAGTGGGGGAGTCCTATTCGCAAGTTCCTATTCTATCCTATTGACAGATTTAAAAGATAGGAATGGGGGATAAGATATAAGTGATTAAAGTTAAGATAACTACCGTTTAGTACCAAGAATCAATTATGGGTCGAAAGGCTCCTACATTGGAAACCTGCCTTCAAGTATGTTACTTATAAGTAGAGCCAGAGGGATTAAATATAGGAAAGTAGTTTCATAAGTGCCTCAATGCTCAATAATAACTTTTATCAGTTGTACCTACACATTACAAAGTTGATTCAGTTTAAGTTCAGATTAGCAGAAAACTTTAAAAAATAGCACTATGGAACTGGAAATCAAAACAAAACGTACCTACCTATAAACTCATAATGTGCAAGTCGCTTATCGCCAAATGATTAACAGTACTCAAATGATTATGTATCTTGTTTAGCACCTTACAGCGTATGATTAGTCATCATGTATAATTCTACGGTATTGTACAAATTTTAATGACGTAAGACAAATCAATTTCCTGTTTTATACTAAAACTGTTAAATGGTTTTATACTACTGCTTATACTGTACTATTTCTTTAGTCATGATTTTTATATTTATGTTGAAAGTAGATACCTACTTATGTTTTGTCAGTAGATAAGTAGGTATGTAACAGTCACTATAGTAAACCATATTTAGGGATTTTAACTAACTTTATTTAAGTAAGTATAATGTTATGAGTTATGAGTCAATCGCGGTAAATTACCATGGATATGTACAAATGATGTAAGTGTATTATACTATACTATAATAAATACTGTAGGTACGTAAAAGGAAAAATCAATAAAATCCTCATCTGACCATTGTCAATGTGTAATGAATCCTATTGCTATTGTGTGTAACTGTGTAATTATATAGATAGATATCTGAACGATGATAACGATGTTACGTCGCCGACTCGCTAATTCAGAGGCTCGAACTCGCTTCGTACTTACCTACTTTGTCGCAATCGCCCTATTGACCTAGCAGACGCCGCACCTGCCATCTCAAAACATTACCGGAACAAATTAAAATAAAATTAAGTAAAACGTTACTTACACTGTGGGCACATATTCTTCTGGAAACTCGTCTTTCGTGAACACGTAAAGCAGGCACGTCTTGCCTACCATACCATCGCCAACCACTGTTATCTTCAGTCTTTTCGTCGTCCCCATGGTACGTGCCGCGACATCCGACAAAGTCTAGCACAATATTCACACTAACCGACAGTAAAATCTATAATTTTACACTTAACTCAATCACAGCTTCGGCATACAGCAGTCGCGCTCTACTGTTCGTCTGTAACTTGGTCCTTGAATCTTATCAGTCAGTGATGTAATGATCTTATCAATCTTATAGAAATATTAATGATAACGATATGATTGCGGTTGAAACAAGGCGCGCGCGCACAGTTTCGCGGTCGAATGTAGAATGTTCACTGAACACGAATCACGAAGAATGAATCAGTTTAGCGCACAGCGAGTGGTCGCTTGCACGCCAAGCATCGCGGTTTCGATATTATTGTCTCGCTTGTTTGTCCGCGCCCGCGCGACACTCGCAAATGCCCGGACAAAACTGTTTAATTAATTCTATGAACGTATTACGTACAAACGAAACCCCAGCCGTAAATAAGTGGACGTCACGCTTCTCATAATGATGTTTACGTACAATTATTTGTCGTCATTAAGTTGAACACCTATCGCAGATACTACGTAATCTAGCACTAATTGTGGACTTATTTTTATTTGAAATCTTTCATTTATAATGGCCTTACCTTCATTAAAAAGCCATAATAATATAAACTTAAAGATCTAGGTGTACTTACCTACAAGTGGGTACCTACCTCTGCTCAGTCTGCTCAGAAGTAATCAAGAGTGTAATCGAAGGTATTGTTTTAATTAACTCGAAAAAATCGTCTCATGTGCAAAGCCGAATAACGAGGCTAAAGACCGACAATGGTAGCATCATTTCGTCGAAATCGGAGATTCTGAGAGAGCTCTTCTACGGACAGTTATACATCTCAACACGGCAACCCATTGTACTGACAACAGCTCGGGACTCAAGAGCTAAACTGACACGACACTCCACTGAAGATATCCCAGACATCAATCTGTATGAAATTAAGAACAACAAGGCACCGGGCTATGATGGAAGCACAACAGAACTTCTGTGAGCGGGTGGAAAGAACTTTTAATCCTCCAAAAGTTATAAATTTCCGTCATACTCGAAGGAACTATGCCGGGATCATGGCTAAGGAGTGTGGTAGATCTGTTGTTCAAAAAGGAAGGTAACACATTTTTGAAAAACTATACAGGCCTATCCCACTTCTGAGACATGTGTATAGGCTGTTATCGAGGGTCAATGATCACGAACCGTCTCGAACGCAGGCTTGATGACTCCAGCCTCCCAAACAAGCCGGGTTCCGAAAAGGCTTTAGTACCATAGACCACATAATTACGCTTCGCCAGATTATATAAAAGACAGAGGAGTATAATCAGACATTGTGTCTAGTGTTTGTGGATTATGAGAAAGCCTTCGATTCAATCGAGACCTGGGCAGTGGTGCGGTCTCTACAGCGGTGCCATATCGATAATAGATACACCAACGTGCTGAAGGGTTTGTATAGAAACGCTCCACTGCTCATCCGACTCCAGAAAGACACCACAAAACCAATCCAATTTCAGAAAGGCGTGAGGCAGGGAGACGTAATTTCTCCGAAGCTGTTCACGAACGCATTGGAGGACGTTTTCAAGCTCTTGAACTGGAGTGGCTTTGGCACCAATATTAATGGCGAATACATAACTCTCCTGCGCTTCGCCGATGATATAGACATTATGGCAGAGTCGTTGGAGGAGCTGAACACCATCCTCAGCAACCTCGATGTCGTTTCTCAACAGGTGGGTCTAAGTCATCTGAGTATTTACATAAACCGCATACAGATTCCCTTTAGCCGAACCGCCACGGTATTGGGGGTGATCACCGACGACAACCTTCACTTCACACAAAACGGTCGACACACAGACTTCATCACACACAAAGCAATTAAACTAAACAATAAGCGATCGGGAAGTTACGCAATGTCTTTTCAACGGAAATCCCAACTGTGTCTGAAGACCAGGATGTTTAATAAGTGAGTGTTGCCGGTCATGACTATGGTACTGAGATATGGTCCCTTACTTCTGGTCTTTTAGAAAAACTCTGAGTTGGTTGCAGGTGGCAACTTGTCGTTCGACGTGGAGGACTAAGCACGTTCGTACGTGTTCCAGTTGACGATGACGATTGAACTAGATTTGTAACGACAGAACAGATGTTTAAGTATTTCTATGAGCTAATGGCTATTTAAAACCAAAAACTGAAAAATAGCTAGGCAAGTATCCCAGGAATCAAATCCGACATGCCTCTACTCGATAGCCTTGCTCGCGACCACATGGCCATTAAAGAAAGAGGTGTTTTAAAGTAAATAAGAGATTGGCGCTCCCACTTTCTTATCCAAGGTGAGAGAACTCATGGGACGATTTCGCATCTTCAAAAAAGAAAGTGACAATAATAGGGTGATTCTCTAAAAAACCTTAACTTTTATTTAACAAGTCATTATCCTCCCAGGTTTTTAAGCATCTTAGTAATTTATTTTATACAATATTTTTAATCGGTTACTTGTAAGCAGTGGTGAGATTTAATTTAATAAAATAATTATCTGTGTTTTAAACAGCAGACTCGTTAATTTTCGGTTGAGGATAATGACATTATAAATTTTTTTTAATTGATGTGAGGAATCACCCAATACCTAACTACCCACATCTAGTCACATCATCGCAAGTTAAAATTTCCGAAATCAAATTAGGAAAATGTGTTATTTTCATTTGTTTTTAAGACAAGATGAATTAATGTAGTGAAGAAATCAGACCCTACATTTTAGAATTTTACCACATAAAAGGCAAAAATGTGACGCAAGTCGCGAAAAAAAAATGTCACTTTTCTAACTGCACGAGGTCCATGCCTAGTGTAGTTTCTGAGAGAGTAGCACAAAGAAGAATGACAGTTTTGGTTTAAGCGTTTTCAATCTGGAAATTTTGATGTCAAAGATGCATGTGGCCCTGGCCCTTTGTATACCTACTAATATTATAAAGCTGAAGAGTTTGTTTGTTTGAACGTTAGGTATATCAGGAAACACTGGTTCGAATTGAAAAAAAAATGTTGTATTCTGGTCAGCATACAACATTAATTTGAATATACCATTGAGTATAAAATTTATTGTGGGAGGCTTTAGGCTGTAAAGCATCACGCCACGATCCATAGGAGCTGACCAGCAAACCGCGCAAAAGTAGCTACTTACAGATAAAATGTATGCTATTTGGAAGTGGAGCAAGATCGGCATATCAGTAGTTACGACGTAGCTGACAAACTGGGAATAGACAAGAAAACAGTACAGGTACATTTAAAATAAACTGGGTACACAAAAAACCTTTAGGTCGAAAAATATTTGGGTAGGTACCTCACGCGCTCGGTAAGTAACCTGATGAACTGCGTCCTCATTTGTGATTCTTTATTACGACGTAATGAAACCGAACCACTTTTGAAGAAGGAGATAACTTTTGATGAAAGTTGGATCATATACAACAAGACCGAGCGAAAAAGATCGTGGTCAAAGACAACGCTACAAGGTGAGGCTGTCTGTGGCGTGATTAGAAGGGCATTTTTCATTCTGAGCTGATCCACCAGGCCGGACCATCGATTCTGAACTATACCCCGAACAAGGAGAATCCGATGAGATCGAAGCATGAAGTTTAGAGAAGGCGACCGAAATTAATTAACAGAAGGGGTGTGTTTTTCCATCATACTAGACTTATCACATCTTAAGCCACTCAGCATAAATTAAGAGTGGCTGGGAGTTTTAACGATTTCGCCGTATAGTCCTGACATTGCCCTTTCAGATTTCTACCTGTTTCCGTCGCTTCAGTTTTTTTTTCAGGCAGTGTCCGGTTATTAACACGAGAGGACAGCCATAACTACTTGTCGCGGTATTTAGATCAGAAGTCCCAAAATTTATATAGCAATTATTTTATCGATAATCCTGTCCCTATCTACAAGATGGTCAAAATTTATGGGACAAAATGGGACCTACATACTTTATTTTAATGTTAATAAAACTATATAAAAAAATGTTATGATAGAAAAAGTTTCATCACAAAGCATACAAACTTTTTCCCCAACCTGTTATTTTAAATGTATGTAAAAAAATACATCAATATGTGTGAGTGTCAAAATAACTATGAAATTAAAAAAAACTCCTTTCTATATTAACTTTTATTTGAGATTCAACCTTATAAAATTAGTAACATTTTAAATAACACTTCGGAGCTCAGCTCTAATGTAACAATGATCACTTAGCCATGTTTAGTTTGTACATAATTATCATTAGTTAAATGCTATAATACTGATCATTAAAACCTACTAATCAGTCAGTTAGGTGATAACATTATTAAATTAAAAAGATTAGTCACAGCTCACTTAGGTAACTTTAGACATGAAATATGTAGGAAAGTTATTTATTTTTTCCATTGTCTAAGGTAAATTGATCCATTCCTCTGAAAAGGAGTTCTTCTTTAAGTTTCAGAACTTCTTGTAGTAACATTTGATTGTTTTTTTCCAGATTACTTATAACTTTCTTCAAATGTTGGGTGTAGTCTTCTTGTTCCGATTTCAAACTTTTACATGCAGCATGAGATGCATTGTTAGGGTGGCTATGAACATCTGTAAATAAGTTTAAGTTTCAAAATAAAACATAACTTTTTTCCATATTCAAAATAAAACTAAACAAAATGCTGTTTAAAAAGCAAAATATGAGCCTATCTTTTTTTACCTTTATTCCTCAGTCTATCCATAAGCTTTTCATTTTGTAACTTAAGCCTGGTGATTTCGTTTTGTAATTGTCGTTCTTCGGCTTCCTTCTGTTTAGTGACTTGTAACAACTTAGCACGCATGTCATTCATCTTGTGCAACATGGTATCAGACTGGTCCGAAATCCTTTGTGCTGATGCAACACATGCTTTTGATTCATTTTTCTCCAAACTTATCTTCTCTTTCAACCTTCCAACTAATCCCTGTAACAGTACATTATATATTTGTAATACTTTGCCTTTACAATTAAAGTTTACATAACTTTTATTGTCTTATACATACATTCAGTTGTTTATTATTATGATCCAGTATATGATTCTGCTCTTCAAGATTAGCTGCCTTGTCCGATACATTTTTAAAATTTTGGAGTAATGTCCATACTGCATTTATAAGATTGACGACGGCTTTACAGCGTATGGTGTTATTAATCACGTCTAAATGTGGATTAAAAATGTAACTGATATTGAGCAACCCGAACTCCTAAAAATAGTAAGTGCAGGTAGGTATTAGTGATTCTATATAATGACCATTCAACACATTTGATAATTAAAAAACGGTTAAAATAACTTACTTCACTGAGTCCAATTAGGCACTCTTTAATATTATTGAGTGTACAAGGTTCATACGCAGTCGCTCTTTTGTGTTTATAGTTTTCAATAAGTTCTCTAACCTCTTCGTCTAAAGTTTCAAATTCTTCGACGGTAGCCATTGCACTATCTAGATAAAATTTTATTAGCTAGATGTAAACGAAACAAAAATACTTAATTAATTGACACAATTATATTTCGTCACTTATTTTTGAAACAGAGTTAAAACTTAATTATCCTTTAAAAATGCAACAAATGAATAGCGGGAATTTTGATCAGATGTTTTTGTTATCTTTTTGCTTTGTTTTGTGTTTGTTTTTGTCACACAGCCATGTCTACCAACTTTAATATATGGAAACCACAGAATAATAGTCTAGAAGTTGTAACTTGAGGATTTTAGAGGAATTAAATCTCTATGGTATAAAACTAGTCAATGAAAACCGTTGGTTCCTAACCGGTTACAAATAACTAAAATGCTTTAATTAAAATGCACTCAACTTACATGCAGAATGAGATGCGTTGTTAGGGTGGCTATGAATAAGTTTCGAGTTTTAAAATAAAATATAACTTTGTTCAATAGTCAAAATAAAAAAAAACAGTATTCTGTCTCATTGAGTTAGAAAATATATAGAGGCGCCGTGTTACTATAGAAGTATACATGCTTATACAAATATGTGGGAAATATGAAACAAACTATGAAATATCATTTTGTCTCACTCTTTCTAAGGCAATAATTGTATTAGACAAAAGGGACAACAATATTTAAGTTGTTGCTTAATATGGAAACAAATCATTTTGACATTAGCAAAGTTGTAGGTAAGTGCCATGTCCGCCATCTTAAGCGCTCAGAGTACCTGAGTTTCATGGTAGTTGTCCTGTCAAACGGTTGTTTATGTTTTAAATTATTGCGGTTTTTCAGTAAATTACAAAGAACCATTTTTTTAAACTTCAAATATATATAGTGAAACAAAAAACAATATGCCTGTGTGTTGTATTGTGCAGTGTGGTGCAAAAAAGAACGAAAATCAACCTCAATTTTGTTTGTATAGGTTAGTAAACAGTTTTCATCAAATATTACTTAGAATAATCCACATAGATAGAAAAAAATGTCACGGATACTTTAATCTATTGCCAAAGTATATATATTTACTTTTATTTCTGTCTGTGAGACAGTTTTAGTAAAAAAATGTTGTTTACAATAATATGTCAATATGGCATAGTTACGTACCATTTCACAAAAGTATCGATATAATCTCCCATTTAAAATTCAACATATATTATACTAAATAATCTATTTTAACAATGGATGTTTCCGCAGTTTTGTGTAACGCTAAAGTAAAACGTCAGTATTTTGGTATTGGTTTTAGTTACATAAGTAGAAGTTCAAATTATCATGTTTTATAATTATACGGGCGCGATTGACAGAGCGGCGTTGGCGACGATCCCAGTGCGACCACCAAGCGTAATAATAAAAAGTGAGATACATACAATAAGATTGACTTCACTACATATCTATTTTGTGCTAACGTAGTTTCGAAGATATCATCGCTTAATCAGACGCGCCGAAATTGTGCGCGTTCACAAATACCCACAGGTTTTCCACATATATAAAGATAAACATTTAACAAACACTATCTTTTTCTATTTCACCATTCCATTAAACGCTGTTCATAAACAAGGTCCTATTTTTTTAAAAGACGCACTACGTAGAATTATATGAATACAAATTCGACTTGAGAAAATCATTAGCCAATCAAGAGACCAAGTTAACCCCGGGTTCCGGGCTCTAGCTAGGCCGACGGCAAAGTAGGAACAGGAGTTGATTTTAGTCAGTAACGGTCTGTCCCGAAAAAGGCCGGAGATGACATTAGATGATTTCCCATAAAAAAATACCGTTAATCAGCTGGCTAATCCCTAAAACTATACCTACGTAGAACTTTTACTCAAATTGTATCGATACTCGTTAAATACTTAGTCGGCACAACCCTAGCAACGGCAGCCATCTTATGCGACATTTTGGATTGTAGGTAGGCACCTTTTTTTCGTAGGTATTTCAAGTCCATATATTTCCTATGTCAATGTTCTGTCTTGATAGAAACAGGTTATATAGAAAGGTACTGCTTGTCTGGCTACTTTATAGTAATCTGTTGTACTGCTGACTGCATATTCCAATGAAGGCTAGGGTCAGGCAAGCAAATACAAAAGGTTGTAAGTAAAGGACTGTTCTTGCAGACCTGTACCAGAAGAATCAATTAAAAACAAAACGTAGTGCACAACCACAAAACTAAAATTCAATATGCTAACAAATTAAACAAAATAAATAAGGTTTTTTACCTTGTAAGCATAAATAAAGTTTTGCGAATTATAAAAAGTAAATGTTAAAAAATAAGAAACAAGAACTTTATGCTTATGTTTTGTCTGCTATTCTGTGAGTTAAATATTGGGCAAGCACTCATCTTTTCCTGAAAGAAAACTGAGCCTATTGATTTTTTTCTAAATAATTCACTATTCTTCTATTCGTTCATTAGCGTTTAAAAAAGTTTCTGTTTATTTCTAGACGTTCTAGACGTTGCTTGTCATTGATTACTAAAACGCAAATGTCATTCGTTGAATGTCTTGTCAGAGTTGTCATTTTGTCAGTGAATACGAGTAATAAAGCGTTGTTAGTTGTTGTCGAGTTGTAAAATTAAAACCATCGTGATCTATTTACAGATACTTTGGTAATTGGATGTCTATTTAAAATCAAACTACTGGTATGAAACGTAGTTTCGGAGCTATGAATTCATCCATCGAAATAAGTTCCTATCGTGACCAACACTTTAAGGTATTTTGATCCATTTTTCTTTCTATTAAAATTGAACATCCATCATAACTTGACAATAACAGGACTATTTTTGACAAAATTACTTATAATATTTCCATTTAACATTTTCAGGGCTCCCGTAGTGAGCAAGAAAAGTTATTGAAAACGTCATCAACACTCTACGTGGGGAACCTGTCGTTTTATACTACAGAAGAACAAATTTATGAATTATTTTCACGATGTGGTGATATTAGAAGAGTAATAATGGGTTTAGATAAGTACAAAAAGACTCCTTGTGGTTTTTGCTTTGTGGAATATTACACCAGACAAGATTCAGAAAATTGTATGAGGTTAGTATAATTACCTATAGCCTTTGCGTTAATGTCTAGTGTTGTAGACTCTATAGCACTTCTACATGAATGAATTGTATCAGCCTTCTAACTAACAAACATTAATATTGTAATGTTATTTTCCTGTCCATATTGTAGTTTGATTTCTGCCCCACAATAAATTGATAAATTACTATTTATTTATCCTATTTATATCAACTATACTTTCTCCTATTTTATATTTATTAGGATTTCATCACAACTTGCTTATTGAAAATTCAATGAAAAGTTTAGAAATTTGTTCCAAATAGAGTATGTTGACCTTCTAGCTATTGTATAGTTAGGCTCAAAAAATTCTATAACAGACTTTTCTCCTACATTGGAAACCTAAAAGGATTATCCTTTATATGTAATTATAAGTATTATTCCACCTTACCATACCATCTCTTCATTAAGGATATTTAAATGTTACAGGTACATAAATGGTACTAGACTTGACGACCGAATCATCCGTTGTGATTGGGATGCAGGATTTATTGAAGGCAGACAGTATGGAAGAGGAAAAACTGGAGGACAGGTATAATGTATTTAATTATATTGTGTTTATGTAAGCTATTTAGTTTCAAGTGTTGTTATGAACCTTTCAGGATTGGCATAGGACAAGCAACAAAAACTTCCACTGTCTTTGACAAAAGAACTAAAGTAAAATTTGCAGGTATTTGGTGTTGCTATATTTATGTGAAATTTGACATTCCAGGTTCGAGACGAGTACAGAACAGATTATGATGGGGGCAGAGGTGGCTATGGAAAAATCATTGCACAAAAAATTGTTCCAGCCCCAATGGAACGCTGATAAAATTATTAAGTGATGTGAAGACCTTGCTTTATCATAAGCTCAGAACTTTAAGGAAGACTGTGAAACATGTTTTACTAGTGACTGTGTTCAATTACATCTGAGTGTGGAATAATGTATTAAATATTTTTCATCTAACCTACTTAGATTGTTCCATTCATTGCATATTTACAAACCATAAAGGCATTTGAAGATAAACACTTTGATTTTACCTGAGCATATTGGTATTATAATTATCTGAAATAACCTAAGAGAGTACAAACTACTAAAATTATTTTTTTTATCTTTCTTCTGTACTTGTATATTACAGAGCTGAATTTGTATATGTGAACAATGTGGGTCTGCAATTACATATTCAAATAAAAAAAAAGATTGTGTTTATCAAAGAACATAATGCACTACGCCAGGACCAATAAAATCCCATCTGCAGGTGTAACAGTGAGGTAGTCTGATTATAAAAATGTGGCCCCACTAGGATTTTCCTTAGGTTCTGGCGCATTTACTAACACCACATTTGGCCAAACACATGGCATGATGGCACACAGACTTGAAATGATTTTATGTTATTTTGTAATTAATCCATGTTCTCACCTTATGAATTTACGCCGTCAACAGTTTTAATAATTAAAATTGTTGAGGCACCTGTCTCAACATCACCTCGCCGCTCGCGCGACGGCGGCAGTGAACGATGGACGCGCGGGCAAGGGGGCCCGCCGGCCGATCTACAGTCCAGCCCGCGGCTCGCTATATAACAGTCAGCTGCGACACGCTCGGACACACAGCTGCTAGGCATTTTCATTTTACCAATCAATTATTTCGGATTCCGTGCTTATTTACATTTTTTATATTATACAGTCCACTAGTGAGTTCCTTATTAGTAACTCTCTCTGATCACTAGCTATAGTCGGCAACATTAATCTGTATAATATATAAAAATCAATGCTACTTTTTGCAGTTATGGTATAACTCAACAACACCTTTAAAATTTGGCTAGTTTTGGTCTTCAATTATTCCTGGAAGTCTAGAAAAGGTTTGTATAAAGAGAATTTTTTTTTTTAAAAAGTGTTATACCTACATCCATGCGGGCTGAGCCGCGGGCGACCGCTAGTTTAGTATTAAATTTAAAGTCCGGATTGTGATTAATTTAATTTTAGAATAAAACAAAACACCTTTATTTTTAAAATATTTAATGCTCAAAAATTCCACTTAATAGCGATAAAAAAATAACAAACAAAATATAGCTTCAATCACTTACACAAAATATAATATGCGACTTGACATAAATGCAGTTATAATAATATTCATAAGCTTAACTTGTTAGTAGTATGACTCGGACTTCGTGCCACAACACTTTGTATCATGAGCAGCAAGATAATTAGGAGGTTCATAGTTTTGAGAAATAAACATAGAAAGCATTCATAACAATGTAAACAAGTGTAAAAATACATAGATTTACTCGACAACTACATAACATAAAAATAAGTATTACATTATTACAAAAAGCCTTCATAATACTTTGTCATAATATGCGATTTGAACACTAAACATTATAGTTAACAATCAGATCAGCAATAATGGCGTCTGCAATACGCAAAATATAAGATTCATAAGTACTTTTATAAAATTTGGAACGGTGGTTCGCACCTATGCCTATGTTCAATCTCTTGGCGACGTCTCCGGCAAAAGGTCGAACCACATCGTTTTAGCTTCACGGAAATCGTACTGGTTCAGATGTACCACTACCTGTAAAAACAGAAATAGAAGAATACAATATTTGCATATACTGCTAATAAAAACACATGTATTTAGTCGATTAAAAAAAATATAATATGGCGAAGGAAATCAACAGGAAACACTAATTTCTAATGGTAAGTTTGAAATCGCCAATCCCCCTTGAGCAAACGTGTTGACTTATGCTCAAACCTTCTCCGTGAGGATAGAGAGGCCTTAGCTCAGCAGTGGGTACTTATTGGTACTAATGAATATGAATATATAATGATGAAATAGTAATAATTTCTTGGACGATTTAAGTACCCTATCTACAACTACAACCAATTATCAAATATATTATGACAGACAAAAAGAAAATTTATTATTTCTTTGAACACATGATGAATATTTATGTAGTAACTTGGATTACCTGTCCAATAACAGGACTTCCTCCCAGGAATCCCTTATGCGTGGCGACAGTGACTTCCACCTGCCTGGAATGCAGCTCAGCTAATGGAATCACCCACTCAAACTGCTCGTCATATTCTGGCATGCAACTGTCCTTCACAACCTGGTAATAAAAAACATCGACGATTTTATGTGAGCAACATTAATTGTAATAATATTATATATATAAAAAAAAAATATCTAATTATATTTAGTAAAACTCAACAACTTTCGCACTCTCATTCCGAGCAACAATAACACCAATAGTCCTGTGACATTTCAACTAACGAAACTATCAACAAAACGTAAGAATAAATAACTTTTCATAGTCGAACTATAGTTATGGTTTTAAAATAAGTTCGGTTTTCGAGTACTTTATTATTTCTACTCACCACAGTTTTACGCTTGGAGTCTTTAGAGCGGCCAGGCAGCAAGTACAACTTGACGTAAGGGTCAGGTACATTGGTAGGATCCTTTAATGGTATGTGCCTATAAAAATAAATTATGTATGAATTAAAGTTACTGCATGCAGTCTTGAAAGAGATTTCTGAATGCCTTATTTTGAATTGACTTACATAATTTTGTGGACGACCACGAACAGAGTTTGGTTTTGCATGCTGTAGCGAAGTGAGAGGAGAATACGCCCGAGTCCGGCTTCTCCTGCCGACCTGCATCAAACACAATTCTCGGTAAAGATAATTTGACTTTTTTTCTTCGTATTAACTACTGGTACAGTCAGCTCCAAAAGTCGATGAACAGAATCAACTTACCAAAACACCTGTTCACAATAAAACGCCATAAGTTATAGTCGCAACTAGGAAACAAAATAGCCTAGAGGTACACCAGAAAATTACAAAAGTCGTTACACACGACTAATTCAAAAGTATCTGTGCACTAGTATTCCTAAAGTCGCTGTACACCTTCAATCCAAATGTCGCTGAACATCATTGTATCAAAAGTCACAAAACAGCAGTAAAGACAAAATTAGGTTAACAAAGTATATTTTTAATGTTGCCCCGTGTTAATATACTTTTGACGCTTATGTTGTTCAGCTACTTTTGGGACAGTGTTTGCTAGACCTTAATAATGTATGTTAACACGTTAGTATCTACATAATTATTTCAAAACTTATTTACAAATAAATTATATTTTATTGTCAGTAATCATACTAATCTATAATTTATGAAATAACATAAACATAACTCTAATGATCTACGAAGTGATTTTTGTGACGGTACTTGTAATTTACTTTGCGTAAATCTTACAAAGCCTACCTTCCTTTAATTTATTATTTTTACCCGACTACGGCAATGCTAAAATTTGAAGAATTCGACATATGACATATCATTAGAAACGTCTTAATTGTCCGCTGGTTATAAGTTATATGATGTACTAGCGGCCCGCCCTTGCTTCGCACGCTTCTATCTCGCTTTTCACTTTCACGGTTCACTTTTTCCTAAACTTCCCCTCTTCTTTTCTAATATTTTCTTTGATAAGAACCTTCTCCTGACAATAACAAACACAACAAAAAAAGAATTAGCAAAATTGGTCCAGGCGTTGTTGAGTTATGCGCTTACCAACACATTTTGCGATCCATTTTTATATATAAGATTACAAAATCTAATGCGGCGTCCTCTAGCGGACAAAACAACTAGAGTAAAAAAATAAAGTTAAGATAAATATACCGTGTTTGGTATCATTTTAAAACGCTTTACTTGTACATTTTGAATATATATATATTACTAGCATTTTTTGGTGACTTTGCTTGTATTCATGTGTTGATTGCATATAATTCACATCTTTTCGTTCATACCTTTTACTACTTAATATTAGTTCATTCTTTTGTTGATATTATGCGACACAAATACACTTTAACGCCAAAATAGTACAAATAATAAAGAGTATAAAAACTAAAACCCAACTACGACAAACACCGACGCTGAAAAACGCTGTTTTCTTTCTTATCTTGTTCGGAGGAAACGTTCGGGTGTCACCTAGCACAGATCGCCCGGAGGACACGGTAGAATATACGGTGGAAGTGTGCCCCGCTTGGGCAGGAAGACAGTATTTCAATAAAATATCTGTTGCTAGTGTGTCAAGAGTGATTACACTCTTCTTACAACTCTTAATATTACAATTACAACAATTACAATTTAACTAAGGATATTTAAGATTATTATAGGTTGAATTTGAACTTAACGTCCACCGAACACGTGGCCGCGTGCGTATTCTACGAAGGTCCAACACTAATTTTCCTGTTTTACAAGAAGGCCGCCTCACCAGAGCTCGGTGTTCGCTATGGACTTGAAATAATTATGACAGTGAAGTTTGACATCGACGTATAACAAAGAGGTTTTACATGCACTGATGGCCAGTGCGCCGACATATACTTTGTTAACCTGATTTTGTCTTTACCACTGTTTAGTGACTTTTGATACAATGATGTTCAGCGACATTTGGATTGAAGGTGTACAGCGACTTTAGGAATACTAGTGCACAGATACTTTTGAATTAGTCGTGTGTAACGACTTTTGTAAATTTCTGGTGTACAGGCTATTTTATTTCCTAGTTGCGACTATAACTTATGGCGTTTTATTGTGAACAGGTGTTTTGGTAAGTTGATTCTGTTCATCGACATTTGGAGCTGACTGTACCTATACCTAAGTAACTTACGTAGTCAATGAAGAGATTCTATGTGTGAGCTTCGAGGGCGGTTCATGCTCGGGAGACTTTGGGGGCAGATGCTCTTGAGGTGTGTCTGTAATATACAATGTATTAGTACAGTTCATGTGATTTTGTACTGGAATGTAAATTGGAACCAGTAAATCACTGAATAGATATCAGACTAAGCGGTAATTTCGTGATCGGACTGTTTTCAAACAAAGACAGAGATAGCTCCTGGTCGAAAACAATGTTCGATGTGTTTGTGAGAACACTAGAAATAAATACAGAGCTAAGAAATGCACAACGTATTGTAGAAGCCTGTATTTTCTATTCCGTGGTAGAAGCCCTTGCTAAAGTAGAAGTGGATTAGGCAACTCTCTCTGAATGTTAAGTTAGCTAGTTGGAGGAAAAATTTCGAAGTAAAAAATTTAACGTGTAGGTACCACGTTTATTTACTTACCAACTTCTTTTTCTATGTGCTCTAAAGGCACTGACTTCTGTGAGCTACTGTCTAGAAGAGCATCCTCCACATTCTTTACTATAGGCTCGGGAAGTACAGTAACTGAAAGAAAAGATTTTATAGAACTAAGGTATACAAGAGTTGCATGTTGCTTAATATTTGTAAACGATGACACTGCTAACATTAATAATTTCTTATTCCAAACCTTAAACACATCTGTCATTTCAATATAATTATAACTATGAAGATTACTCTTCCAAGGTTTGTCTAAATAAGTTATATACTTATTATAAAAACTGTAGTTGGTGAATAACCTCCTTTTTGAAATAGTCATTACCAATATCGGTCTAGTACGTATAATTTCAATGAATTACCGGGATCAGTTAGTGGAGGCACAGGTTCACCAGAGCCAGTTGGAGACGGAGGTGAGGGGGGGACCACGGGAGGTGATGGTTCTCTTGGTGTCTCTACTACCGCTGGCGCCGGTTCATCCTCGTAGTCCTCTTCTTTAATAGCGTCCTTCAAAATCTTCAGAACGACAATTTAACGTTTTAGTATTATTGTATTGCTTACAGTAATTTCATAATTAAGTTCCTTCAAGTAGGTCGCCATGTATGTATCGAGGCTCATAGTAGAACTTAGAACGGGGTGGTAATTAGTCAATAACGGTTGGTCTCACTTCTTGCATTCTAGACAGAGATCTCACTTCACCCAACATAATTCATTAAATAGAGGACCTTTTGTTTGGAGAGGAAAACCATCGAATGGCTTCCCTCGCCCAGGGTGAGATGAGAGGGAGTATCAGACTCTTATTGACTAAAAACTACCTCGTTCCTTTTCCTGCTCTATTCACCTTATTGCGCTTGGCCTGCAATCCCGGGAGCTACAGATGAGTTCGATATGTGCAAGCAGAAAGTAGGCAATAGGTACCTTTAATTGCAGAGACATTATGATTTTGGACTCCGGTCCGGACCGCTGCAGCATCAGCGGCTGGGTAATCATGCTGAGGTCCTTTTCTTTCAGCAAAGTCGAGATCGAATATGTCAGCTGACCAAGCTGTCCTCCCGTTTTCGAGTCCAGAACCTACAATAAAATAAGAAATGGTACACATACTCATTAAACAGTCACAAATACAGACACACCAATTATAGAATTGTTTGACTGGGAGATAGAGCTATTACCGGCAACATAATAGGTATATATTATTAAAGGATAAGCTACATAATTATTTATACATAACATAACTAGCTTTTGCCCGCGACTTGTTCGCATGGAATAGTGACTTCCTGCAGCTTTTTGTTTAAAAACTATCTTATGTCCTTTCTCGAGTTCCAAACTATGTCTGTACCAATAGGTTCAATAGTTTAGGCGTGAAGACCAACAGAGTTACTTACGCATTAATAATATTAGTTTGGATCATGGAGCTTATTGTTTGCTTTTGTCTTGAACTGTATCACTAATCACGGTGTTAATAAAAGTAATGAAAGAACAAATAGCTATGAAAAATACCCTGATTACCTAAAAGTAGTTATAATGTAATTATAAGAAAGCACAGTTCTGTAATCTTACCTTTATCTCCAAGTTGTCGCACTCGGGGTTCTGGACAAGGAACGAGTATCCTATCTCGTAGACTGGATCATCGGTCCTCATCTGGACGGCGCTAGTCTCAGTTTTCTTGCCCACTGTCACCGTAAGGTAAGGGTCGGGCCGAGATTGCGTGCGAGCGTTCTGTTGCAGAAAAAAAATAATACATTGTTTTAAAGGAAAAGATATTGTTTTATACATTTTAATATTTGGCATTGACCAATATTGCGATGCGTGAAAAAAGTAAGACGCTTACAGGTAACTTCTTGCACGAGTCGATGTACACAGATAAGACTGCGGAGCTTAATTCTCCAGTCTTAATGAGGAGGGTCTCTGTTAGTGCCTGTAAAAAAAATACGTTAGTATTGTTTTCAAATATTGAAACATATAATTATGTTTGTAGGGATGATGTTTACTTACGCGGCTAAGTTCCGACACATCAGAAGTCAGACGGTGCCAAGAAAGACGCAGTTCGACTTTTCCGTGCTTAGCTTGTTGAAGAGTTTGCCACTGAAATTATTTGTCACCATTATTACACGTAGTTATATACCTTATATGAGGTATATTTGTTCATTATTTATATAGGGGGTGCCTAACTGTATTAGAAGATAGAAAAACATTTATTTCACACATTATAAACTTAGGTAGATGAGCGACCTTACTTATAATAATAATATGCTCTAAAGAATTTCTTACCGTGTCCAAGCGGCCAAAGCGTACAACTTGTGAGATATCCAACGAACATCTGAAAATATAACACAATGTAGTGACACTCGCTCAACTTCAATAGGCATTACCAGAGAATTGTTAGCACAAGTCATTAAAAACATTTTGAAATTTAGATTCACATATTCCCATTTGAATAGAGGTGCATGCCTTCAGTGAGGCCAAAGAAGAAAACAATTTAAGATTGTAAATCACATATAGGAGTAACAAGTTTTATTTTCGATAGAGATTAAAACAAAGTGCACAACACATTTAGTGATCACAAGCAATAAGAGTTATTGGAATACGAAAAGAGATGGATGGACATATGTTTCGTAAGTCCTTAGCCTACGTATTACAACTAAAAAAATTAATTTCAAAGTTAGTGTATGATTTGATAGCATTAAATTAAACTGCCACTTAAAATTATGTATAGCAATGATAGTGATATTCCCCTCTGAGTCGGCCAATTGTTGTCTAGTGATCGTTAAAAGCTCAAGTCATGTTAGTATGAGCCGTCTGTGTGACCCAGTGCGGTGCGGGTATACTGTGTACCCCAGTGAGGAATGAGTGCGTGACATCAGAGAGTACTGACAGTAGTGTTCACTCGGTTCGTGCGCGTACAAGTATGGTCCGTGGTCGCGTCAGTGGCAAGTATGTTAGTTCACTGTGAGAATGTATGTACACTGTCATATACACTTGTAGAGTGGCGGCAGCGACCGACCTGCCCAGTTTCTCATCTCGTCCTGTGCGGTCCCAGTCGAAAAGCCTGATGACCAATATCGTCGCGCTGGTGCGGAGTACTGACTGTTACAACCCACCATGTTATATACAAATACAAACAGTTAAGCTATCATTAATTTGCAGGAGATCAGGAATTAGTTTCATGTTTTTGTACATTTTTTCTGCGTGATTTAATAAGGTCCGGGTGTATAGGTACATGTTAAGATGTCAAATCATAGCCGGTGTCAGTAAGTTGTAAATTATAGGTACTGATGTGAATTATCGGAATAAGTAATCAATTAAATTATACGGTTAAAGCTATTCAACTTGCCACTTGATTAAATATTATTGTATGTCCCCATATACGAATCGGTATTCCTGCATAAGGCGAAAATCAATCACACACAATTACTGTAGGTATAAAAAAGAACACCAAGTAGTCAAAACAGTTAAAAAAACAAAATGATTCTTAAAATCACCGGCTTAACTAGTTTATATCTATATGAGAGTAAAATGACGACAGGTGTATGCAACGGTGATAATAAGAGTCAAGTTAAATAACAAAAAGTAATAAAACCACGGCAATGAAATTAATGTCGCTAACGTGTCAAACACTACTAGCGGCGGAGACGGACCTGCCAAGATAATCATCGTTCTGAATGCCCATGCCAGGGTCCCAGTCCCAGAGCTCGCACTGCAGCACTTGACTCTTCCTTGAGCTTATTAACGCCTATTAAAGGACAAAATCATAATATATCTACATATCAATTAAATGCCAAACACGCCTAAACATACAATCTTCAATTTAGCCAATCAATTTTGAAACAAACAAAGACTATCCCCTGACCATCTGGCAAGTTTATCAATTTGGTATTGCAACATTAAAGAGGTCGCTGCGGTGCACATATTATGCTGACCTCTTTAATATTGTGTCGGCATGCCTGCTTATTACAAACTTTGGAAGAAAACAGAATACTTCAGTATCATTAATACATAATACATCATCATCTAGGAAACTCACCTTCACCGTTTCAACTACAACTAAGTATGCGCACTACGGACTACACATGCAGCTAAATTAGGTATACTTAGTCGGGTCATAAGTTCTGTCACAAACTTTTGATGTAATAACTTATACGCCTTTTGACAATTATTTAAAAATTATATATGAAATGAAAGGTCATTAAATGTACAATATAATTTTATTTACATTATTCGAAATGCCCTCCCCCATTTTGAACACATGCCCTTAATCTACGCGGCCAGTCATCGATCGCTGCACGCACCACATTCATATCTATGTCTGCCGCTGCTTTAACCAGAGATGCTCGGAGAGACTCCAAATTCGGGTGAGGTTTAGCACAGACTTTTTCCTCCAAATATTGCCATATCTTGTAGTCCAGTGGGTTTAAATCTGGACTAGAAGAGGGCCAGTCTTCATGCCGGATGAAGTCAATTCCACGAGCGATCAACCAGTCTTGCGTACTTCGTGCCTTATGAGCCGGTGCAGAGTCCTGTTGGAATATCCAATGCCTGTTCCTGAACATTGTCTGAGAAAGAGGTTCCACTATGTTTGTTAGGACAGTATTTTGATAAACTTCGGCACTAGTTCTCACACCTTTTTCACAGAAAAACACCTCAGTTACGCCTGAATATGAGACTCCAAGCCAAACCATGAATGAGGAAGGGTAATGCCCACGCTGGACCCTCGCAATACGCGCGCTTGCTTCTTCACTGCTGTGGGCATACACCTTATCATTTTGTTTGTTAAAACTTTCTTCAATAGTAAAAATTTTTTCATCCGAAAAAAGAATTTCGCGGTATTTTTTTCCCGCGTACCGTCGTAGCAAAGCGCGGGATCTGTCTAGCCTAATTTTTTTTAAACGCTCGTTCAAAAAATGTCCTGTCTTTTTACGATAAGCTCGTAGTCCCAGGTCTTCATTTAGTACTCTTTTAACAGTGGTTCTGCTTAGCCCCATCTGCAGAGCTAGGATTTTTTGTTTACGTACGGGATTTCGTTCGATTCGCGCCTTCACTGCTTTGATGACCTTATGTGTCCGAACTGTGCGAGGTCGGCCGCTTCTCTTACGATCTTCGAAGCTTGACTCTTCGGTGTATCGTTTGATAGTACGATAAACAAACCGTAACGTTATTTTCAAATTTTGAAGAATATTGAAAATGTCTTTTGGCGCGTAACCACAGCGGTGCAACGCGATAACCGCGATTCTGTCTTCTTTATTCGACCACTCCATATTTAAAAATGAATAAAAAATAATTTCTTTTTTATTTTCTACAAGCGCGAAAGTTCTATTTTTAAAATAAGTCGAAGAATTTCTGGCCAGTAATCGAAAATTAAAAATATAAGGTTTTGACAGAACTTATGACCCGACTAAGTATTTGTATTGTAATGGGAGACTCTGAAATAGTGTGATTGACAAGGACTTCAAAACTACATTATTTACATGAAAAAACCCAACAATTCACATTCATCTAGATCTCTCATTACATTGTTTCGAGGGTGTCACTTCAAAAAGATAGAACTTAGTGTCACAATAGTGTTTCACTGCTTTGAATCGACACCGCCCGAAAACTACGTACGTGTTAATGTCTATGCAGTCGTTCAGTTTACAGTGGCGTGGCAACATTATTGTCACGCCACTGTAACTGTCAGACAAGCGTCGCTTTGGCCTTTGTTTAGAAGCTTATCGGGACAGTTACAATGCGTGAAGCAGGTGCAACCATCAGCGTAGCGTATATCGTGTCGTAGGACCCGCGCCCCGCACCCCGCCCCGCCGACATCGCCCGCAGCCCCGACACCGCGTGCTCGTACTTACTTGCCCAGCTTGTCATCATTGTTGCCTTCGTCCTTGTCGAACACTTCTATTTCCAACGCTTGGCCCAGAGATTGCATTATACGCGCCTGTATGCCACACGCGCATAGTCCGACGCAAACATAAGTGAGGAAAACAAAATCTTGTTCATAACTTACTTGTAAACATTTCACGACAATACTTTGGAAGTAGAACATGCCCGAAACGCACATTTTAATCAACGTATTGTACCATGTTAATGTTTAGCTAACATCGTGTGACACCCTTGTTATGATGTAGCACAGCTTCACAACTTTATTGTTAACACACTCCCAAATAACCTTGTAATGTTATAATGGAATACTGTTGCTACTTCAATTTTATACTGCCCCCAAACTCATTATTAAGTATTATTAAAGACAAGTCAATTACTGATAAAAAAACTTCAACTGACTGTTAAACTTTTTAATATACCCCATGTGTTTAAATAATATCCTACATGCAAATTTATTATATCTATTAAATACATTTAATATACTATTTTAAAAGTATTATAGAATAAAAAGCATATTGCAATTTGTAATTAAAATATATAACAAAATACAGCAAACAGTTTAAAAAAATGTAGTCAGAAGAATGTTTACTTTCCAAAGAACGTCATTATTTCTTTTCAGTAAACAAGCTTCAAAATAATTGAAGTACAATTAAAATAACAAAATTGTAAAATAATAGTAATGTTGGTCATGCTCATTCCTGATAATGCTTCAAATTATATTGAAATAGCAAAATGTACAAACATTGAACAATATTCAATTGAAATAAATATTATATTCCCTTTTTATTATTCATAACTGATAACTACTATTATTGTATATGTTTATGTTGCTACTTCATTAGCCAGACAGCAGAAGCCTTGCAATTCTCGTCACAAAGAGAAATTCGTTGTAATATATAAAATAAGCGAAAGTGACCTTTACGACACATAATTTTTAAACTTCAGAAATGAGCCGAGACAAATATTCGTATTGTGTTGTACCCAACTTACCAATAGTATCCAAAGCCTGATTAATTAAAATAAGCAAGCACATCTTAAATGTTATATACAAACATTAAGAGATATATTTGTGTAGACACTTGCTAAGCAGACTGTAGTATCTGTTAAAAATCTAAATAGAAGAAATACTATATACTGTATATAAGTATTAAATAATATATACCCGTGTGCATAAAGTAGTACTAATAGGTAACTACTGTACAAAGTGTAGGGGTGTGTTTGTGTGTGTGTATGTAGATGTTTGCTTACCTCGCACCAGAAGTCCCAGCGAGGGTTGACATTATTGTCGATGTGTTTCGTCTTCCATTGCTGCGCGCCGACCGTAATGATCGCGTACGGATCTGACTTACCCTTACCTGGACATCATATTTAAATTTATTATTACATTAAAGATTAACCCAAATAACAGTCTAACGCCCTGTTTCTGAAAGGCTTGTCAACGCTAAAATTAACTAATCTCCTGTTAAATCTCTTGTCAAGTCATCTGATTGGTCGTTGATAATTCAGTCAACCAATCAGATGACTTGACAAGAGATTAAATTGATTTTAACATTGATCGGCCTTTCGGAAACCGTGTGTAAGTTAATTATAAGTACGTTATTGAATTGAATCTAAATTAAGGCCACAAATTACTTAGTGAGGTGATTAAGAAGCTCACCAATCATTGAGACGTCTTTCTTCATAAGATTCTGAGCTTGTACGAGATGAATACGAAGTACGCCCTGGAAGTAACAACAAAGATTAGGAACATGCATTTTCTCTTTTTGACATACGTACACATAGTCAAGTTGATATGTACACTTAATAAATTCAATGTTTTAAGCTTTTATAAAAATGCCAAAAAAGGCCTCGATTTTTACCATTTTCGATAAAAGAAACCTTTCGTACAATAAAATAAACTTCAGATACTATTCTAATAATATGTTAGGTATTTTATGTTTTACACCATTACTAATTTTGCCAAATGAAGAATATTTGAACTTGCATAACTTCTATACTTATATCTTCCCTTATTGATTGCAACGGGTCGTTTTACAATACGTATCAATTTGTATTCGTTGTCCAACTTTCATAAGAAACCAAAAAAAAAATCTATATTATAAATGATCTCCTTTATATTTGGGAGAACTTACCTCAGGTTCAGGCATTCTTAAATCGACAGTAGGTATTTCATCACTTAGTTTAATAGGTAGCTTGTTAGGTAACACCATCATCTTAGCAACTTGCTCCACGATGCAGCGACGTAGAATATCACTGAAATAAAAAGAAATGTTCTTTAAATAAGTAAATAATAATAAGCTAATTATCAATCGATTTTGAGTTTTAATTCGTAGACATAAGATATTCAATGAAAATGTAGGTACATTTGATAAAACCAATAATTAGCATTGAGTTGTTTTTTATTTTCCTTTAATTGTTTTTAAAGGGATTACTTGATGGTAAGCAAGCAGCGTCGCCCATGGGCACTAGAAACACCAAAGGAGTTACTACAAGTGTGACGCCATCGCCATTCTCTTTTGGGTTTAAAGATAAAGAATTTGAGGATGAGAATAGTAATAATCCAGTAAAAATTTACACGGCAAAACATAAAGTAACCAAAATTGCCAGACGTAACTAATATTTATTATGATATGTACCTGAACCCTGGCATGTCGAGAATATCAGCGGCACCGACTAAGTTGAAGTCAATGGACGGGTTGTTGAGGAAGAAAATTTGGAGTCCTCCTACGAGAGGTATCTTGGAGATGAGAGGCTTCATTACTATACGAACCATACCGTGAATCTGAAAGTTGTACAAAAATCAAAACATTTTCGAGTATTTATTAATGACACAACATTTAGAGTAAGTATTCTGTAAAAAATGTATGTTTCTTTTCCTGCATTTAGGCAACCCTTTTGATAAACTATCTGTACCTATAATTAAATAGACTCATGATATTATACAAATTAAAATTCAGATAAAGGTCAGCGAAGTGTGTCTGCTGATCCAATATGAATTCCGATAGATAGATAAAGGTCGAAAGGTTACAGTCTTATCTAAAAATAGAGTGTAATAAAGCGGTAACTGATATCTTTTACACCTTTTATGATGTGAAGTGCAATTTAAATACGACGATAAAACGTAACTTGGCATATGAGAAGTAATTAGAAAAGAATACTCTATTATGTAGGGCTGCCATTCGTCTGGGTTTTTCTCCGGATTCAGAGTACATCCGGGACACTTCCGGGAGGGATTAGAATTGTAGCCCAAGTATAAGCCAAATATACGTATATACTTACGTAAGGAGAAAACTGAGAAAATCCTTATTTGATCTCCTAAGTGTAGTGTAATGTAAAAGTGTAGTGTAGTGTAATATTACTATGAAAGCCACATCCAAATCGGTTTAGCTAAGTAATCGCGAATAAACATAGATTATGTTTTATTATGGTTAAACATTATTGAAGAGTCCGGATTGAAAGTTACTGAATTCGGGGAACTCACGCTTCTGATCCGGAGGGCCAGGTTTTGAGAGCCGTATGGCAACCCTACACATACATATGTAGGATCATAGGATGAATGTCGTATCAGTGTGGATGTGTGGGCAAGATTTTTATTGAATAACTAGCGTTTACACAAACCTGAAGGTCTTTGATACCCCCGCGGATGCGCTGCAGGACGAAGGAGATATCACAGTCGCCAGCGTAACTGAAATACATTTTATGTTTGTAATGCAGTTTTGTACGTAAAGTGGTAAGTGGGCAGTAATTGTTAGTTTTTTTATGAAGATATTTCAATACTTTTAAATTAATATCTAAGTATAGCTTTAAGAGAAAATCATTTTAATCTAATTAGTGTCGTACATAACTACATATGACAGGCGGAGTCTGGCGAGTAAGGCCGAATCTCTCTTACGACGCTAATCAAAGATGCTGAAAAATATTGATTTACCAATTAAGTAAGATAACTCATTATAATTGATCGAGATACCTAACTCCCCACTAGAGCCATTAGTTCAAACGCAACACGTAAATTGGCATGACTCACATTACAAAGCCATAACTATCACAATTCAAAAAATATTGCAATGCCGTCGTCCATAAAATAACTTACAATAAGTCGACGTCCATGATAATTTCATCCCTGGATAGGTTCTTGTCGTAAACTTTAACGCCGCCGACTCGAGGCGCCTGGAAGGATTACACTTATTACTGTTTTGTCTGTGGTTATAAAACTTTTATAGCTTTGACGTGTGACTTTGTGGAATGTCGGTGAATAGATAACAATTCTTATTTACACTTTTATGAGCATAAAGTTAAAGTAAACTAGACATTATCATAGGAATGGTAGATATTCTGAATGTTTAAGTTTGTAAATGTTAACACAATAAAATAATATCACAGATTTTAGTCCTCTTTCAGGACTTCGTTTTGTTAACCTGGTAATAGTAAAGTAGGCAGAGCCCTATATAAGCAGTAAAAAATATCTACTTAGTAATACAATTTCCTGTTAGATTGATACTTCAGATTTATTGCTTACTAGAAATTGAGTGGTTAACTGATAAGCTGGTGATATTAGATACGCGACCGAACGAATACTTTTCTTACTGCCTAAAGTACTTACAATGGTGCCAAGAATCATTCTTTCAAACTTGAAGCCGGTAAGTTTGTAGTTGGCCAAACTCTCGGCCACCGCCGGCTCAATGGACTCTTTCAGCAGATTGCGAGCGTACGAATTCACATTGGGCCAAACTTGGAGCAAAATCTGCAAGAACATACTTAGTTTAAAAAGGTGGTGAAAGGAAGCCTTCGAGTAAAGCTACTTTTCCCTGTTTCTTAATCGGGACTTCTTAAAAGAGGTACTATATTAAACATTTAACGAGGTGTTGTCATTGTAACGAATGCAGTAAGTACCGTGTGTGGCCAATGTCTTTAGACAACCACAATTGGTAATAAATTCGTAATTAAAAATCAATCAAAGGTTGTATTATTGTTATGACAGTTAATAAAAACAGAGTATGACGACTAAAATAAGTTTATAGGCATAGCACTTAGCCTAGGTAGTCTATAATAAAGAGTGGGAGTAGGTAATAGACAACGTAATGAGTGTATTCACAGTAAAATCAATAAGCGAGTTGCGAACAGTTTTAATGACGTGAGTGGGAAGTAGATATGCGAGCGGGCAGTGTAGGTGCTAGCGAAGTAATTTGCTAAATTGCAATACATTACATACCCTATTCAGCCACTCGGCGCGCTCCACGTCCGGGAAGAATACCTGGAAACATTATACATTATGTCTCAAGTCTTATGTCAGCCTAAGTATTAGAATATATTAATATATTTCTGAATATTTGTTATACTACTCAGTTATTTACAAAGTGACTCGTTAATATATTGGTATTGGTGTCTAACCAGACGACGTATTTACGCGGATCTGCCCAACCGTCGTCAGGCTTCGTTTTGGACAATGACTAGGTACTACAGTTACTATTAGTCAAACATATTCGTCTTTCACAATATGTAACAAAACTAAATCTCTAAATTAGAGTACCTATATTTTTATTGGTCACTCGAATAGGTAGATATCTAAGTTGTTATTTTTGGGCTATGAAACATCCTGTCCAAACATTAGGTTTTTTTGTCATTTAGCCTTATTTACTAGGTAGTAAGCATTGTGTACATAGTGTCATAATATCTGTAAAAATTTTAATGAAATATTGTATAAAAAGGGTTTCAGGAACGAGATATTAATGTAGCTTTGTATCATTGTCATAAATAAGTAAATACTTGTCGGCTCGACCGGAGTGATACCACGGCCTCAACCACAGCGTTGTGTTTCGCCGTGTGAGTGAGGTTACCGGAGGCCCAATCCTGCCCCTTTCCCTATCCCTTCCCGGTCCTTATATCCACAACCCCTATCCCCAACATAAAAGGACGGCAACGCACTCGTAACTCCTTTGGTGTTGCGGGTGTCCATGGGCGGCGCCGATTGCTTACCACCAGGTAATTCGTCTGCCCGTTTACCGACTTATAGGTACCATAAAAAAACTACGTACAAAAATCGGTCATCTAAGAAAGAACTAGTAAGTAAGTATACTTATGCTTTATAACATGTTGTGGCTATATTATGTAATTCACACGCACACACAACGAACTTGTTCTTCCATAGTAAAAACATGGTGAGGTCATTCAATCGATTCGATCAATGTCGTTGACCTTTATTTTAGTATACGCCAAGGTATGACGTAAGATTATGGTTCAATTAGAAGTTAGAACCATTCGGAATGGGCAAACAAATAGATTTCTGTTATAACAGATGACTTTCTTGTAATGACTCGGTGGTTTTTTTTTTTTTTTTGTGAGGGGAAAATCATCAAATGACTTCTCCCGCCCAGGGCCGGGCAGGAGGGAGTGTCAGACTCTTACTGACTAAAAACCCCCCTGTTCCTTCTCCTGCTCTGTGCCGAGGTCGCGGTACCTCATTGCGCTTACCCCGCAACCCCGGCTGAACATCAGCCCTTTAGGGCCCCGTCTGTGGTGGTCGAATGGCTCTTTGAGGCGCGCGCGGAACGCTACGCGCCGTACGCTCGGGCCTGGTTCTGGTCGGGCGGCGAGCTGCCCTTACTCGCCGACCGCAGGCCCGTACTTACGGTGGCCGGAGATCGTCCCTCGATCCCCGACGCCCGTAGTGTCGCCAGTTGCGGCTGCTGGGGCGTGAGGAGGAGGATTGCTCCCTCACGCGGGCCGCCTCTCTCTTTGCGAGCATGACTGCTTCACAAAAGGAGGAGACGGCGTCCCAGTTCCTCGGTGGTTGGGTTGGGACAACGGGCAAACAGCTGCCGTGCTAGTGAGAGAAAATTCTAGTCTGGGACAGTGTTTTTTAAGAAATAATTACTGTATCTACATTTAGTCAGCTAAAAATGAATAAAAGATACCATTAATTCGAATGTTTTCTAGGTCAACTGAACTTGATCACGATTCGTGTTAATTAAAATTATTAGTAGGTACAAAGTATTATTCTTACTTCTACTATAAGAGTATGAGGTTTTCTGTATGTTTCAAATTTTAATGTTTGATGATGCATACTTTTTCCTGATGAAGAAGGAACTTTAAATATATAATATAATCCGAACCGTCTATATATATTACTAAAAACATATCTCCGAAATATAAAACAGGAAAAGGTAGATAATAAAACATATTTTGAGTCACCTTCAATCACTCCATGTCCATCATGTGAGTGACGTAACCGGAAACAGATCCCTAATGGAGTACAGAATTTTTATACACAGGCACTTGATTAAATACTAATCCTGCCTATCAGTTAACTTTTCCATTTCATTTTATCTTTTGGACATGAGCCAAATTGGAGATATGCCTTTGATATACTGTATATAAAACTATTATTAATCCAGAATATCGAAGACTTGTTTATGGTTCATGACATAATAAAATATGGCATCTTACCCAGGCTGGCAAATCGTCAAGCTTAGCCAAAACAACATCTTTCTCGGAGGAGGAGGCCGCGGCCTTGGCCAAGTTGCGCCGGTACTCGTTCTCCTTACGCCATTGATCGCGCAGCACAGACAGAATAACGGGCCCGATCAGCCACGCCACGCTCCATTGCATGTACCCGACCAGGTACACGGCACCAACAACCGACACCTGCAGCAACAGTTTATGAAACATGGAATATATTTAACTAACCAAGCATATGAAGAAAATTATATTTTTATTGATAGTCTCGTTATTAACCACGTGCGCGTGCAATAAATCATAAATATACAATGAATAATGTTTGATAAGATTATTTCAAGAATTGGTTATCATAGCTGATATAATGATTGTTTAACAATAACACTTAAGTGTTATAAAGTGCAATAGCACCTAATGTTCTTGTAAATAAACTTTTTTTAAGAAATAAATGTATGAATGTTATGATAATATATTTTATTCATGTATACAACAAAAATTGAAAATTCAATAAAACATATAGACTTTTTAACTACACAATATTTTTGTGTTGGTACCTAATTGTTTAATTTTATTATTTGATTAATATAGTTTTATTTAAATTTATCTAACTTAGAACTCATAAGTTTATAATACAAAATACAATAATTTATTTTGCTATTTTCAAACTCATATTTTCTATTAATAGCTTGAATGTTCCTATACTTTATATAATATAGTTATTCCTCATTCTAGTTAAAAACTTAAATTGCCTCCTTTGTGGTTAATTAAAGTGTATGACATCATAGTGTGTGCTGTTCTATCTGATGATATGTGAAAATTATACTAATGTCTATGTGTACTGGTCATTTACCAAGGTGTTGACTGTGCAACCATTTAGCTGATAAGCAAGGCTTACCTCATGCAAAACACATTCTTCTATTGTTTGAGTTCAAAATTGAATGATTAAGTAAGCAGATTAGTAACTAAGCAAACATAAAAGTATGAATCTAATCATGTGAACCTGTTGGATGATTCATTTTAATGAGACAATGATAAATTTGCAGGCTCTACTTTACACAAGACTACTCAAACTTCCATTAAAAAATAAACAACAGGAACTACTACTTGAAGGTTGAATGGTTGGCCTATGATTCAATGCATGGCTGTTCAAGGTCAACATGACTCATACTAAGACATCCTATTTTGTTTTGACAATGTGGTCACACAACCAATGCATTTATATTCAAATAAGATGATGCCATACAACTAAAAATAACAAGCTCACCAACTATTTTAAATTTGGAAGATTATTGACATACCTTCTTGAAGAATCTGTATATCATTGATAGCACATTGCCAGTTTCATCACTGCTGGGAGGCAGTGCCGGTTTACTTGAAGACACCATTTTTTTTTCATCACTTGCCTGTATAATCATGTCAATGTTTATTCAAAACATTTAAAAAAGTAGAAGAATATTGGCCTAGTACAAAAGAACCAAAGTAATGTCCTGTAATAATCAGGTTTTTATTTCTAAAATTAAATAAAAACAATTTCTAAAACATCTTTTTTCTATAAGCTACAATAACAAATATGTAGTAGCAAAAACTCTATAAACTACTACATACTCACGATATCAAGTCATCTTTATTTATAGATTTGTTGAAAGCTTTTAAAAATAATAGTAAAAAAGGGTTAAATTAAATAGGGAAGTAAACAAACACGTACCATGCTGAACACTGAAGTGCAGAGGTTGGAAAACGAAAATAAACTAAGCACAATACAAAATAAACCGATTACCAAATGCTAATTTCCTGCCGAGTCTAGCGCATCGTACTCCTCAATCATGTGTATTCGATTTTTTTATGATATCTTAACTAATTGCTGCTCACTGTAAAGGCCGTTGTGGTAAAATTCGACAACCAAGTGTTTTTTAAGATATAAAGGTGCAATTTGCACCGCAACTTTTTGATGTTTTATTAATCCTAAATAAAACTCAACCTTACGTCAAGCGTCGAGCGATCCGAGTTGCCGACTCCGAATGACAGATGAAAACAGGTGTACTGTTGTCATTGACAATTATTTGTTGGATGACAGTGACATTGTCAGCCGTCAGCGGGTCTGCTGAAGTATGTCGCGCATTTAATTAACTTTTAAATAAATGCGCGCCAATATTTAAAAAATAGGAAACAATATTGGATTTTGATAAGATAATCCACATGTTTTTTAGAAAGATATTACAATGGTTAAACTAAAAAATGTGTCGGTGTATTTAAAACACGATACCAAACTGGTTATTGATTCTATTTTATAACAAATTCAAAAAAAGTTATCTTTTAGGTGCTGAACTTATGCCTTATCTAGTAGAAGGCGATGACCCAGAGTGAAATACTGTGTCAATTTATTGGGCACACCGAGGTTCTTTGAGGCTAACTTAGACTCTCTAGATGACCGCGGAACTACTTCGCTCAAATATATCGATACCAATACCGGGAGGCTGTTAGAAAGGCAGGTTTTAAGCCGTGAACATACAGACCTGTGTTGTGTGCGGTAGAATTGAACCAAATTAAGTCTACCCCAGTCTGTCATTCTCTCTAAAGAATATATGGCTTTCTGTCTCTTTTTGAACGGATTTCTACGATCACCTTCGAGTCGAAAAAGGCGTGTTAAGATTGGTGCCATCTCTGGAGGGCGCAATGGACTCCCAAACAAGAATGGACAACCAATCCCTATGTGCAGAGGTGAAAACGATAGCCTGGGTAATTGCCCTGTTTAGCTTTGTCAGTAGACCAAAATGCTATTCTGCTGATATGGTTCGACTTTTGAAGGGCCCCGTTATTTTGAAGGGTCAGAAAGACAACGTTGTAATCCTTTTTTAGTGCACTGGTATTTACTTACTTCCGTACCGCCACCGCATCAGCCAAGGCTTGGTAGGCCTCTCGCTTCCTGTGTTAAGACTTTTTGGAAGATAAGCCATACAAAGGCTGAAATCTGCCACCGACGGGGTTAGAGAAGACAGAATACTCTATACTCTGCAGCATCACATCAGCATCGGTCAGAATACATCGTTGGGATTATGCTAAGGATTCTTATGAGAAACAAACTCCTCTCCAAGGAAGGATGCAAAGAAGAATCGCATCCTATCCCAATCCGCTCACCTGTAGTGCCATACTCGGCGACCGCGAGGCACCGCGACCTCGGCCCAGAGCAGGAGAAGGAACGGGGGGTTTTTAGTTAGTAAGAGTCTGACACTCCCTCCTACCCCATCCTGGGCGAGAGAAGTAAATTGATGATTTTCCCCTCACAAAAAAAATATACTCGGCACTTGGCCTTCAAGGATTCCCGTGGCCGTGGTAACTGTGTTAGACTAGAAACTAGGGCAAAGACGTGGACAGATATCCCCCCGTGGAGCGCGCCTACCAAAGCCAAGCCAGTTGGCAGTGGGCATTAAAGTCACCGAAAGTGCACAAAATCTACAGGTGTGTTCCATACGCCAGTCAGCCTCGCTATCGCATTGAAAAATGCACGCTTAGGTCGTGATCTTCGCTATCTAAACGTAGCCATAGCCGTACGAGGGCTGACGTCCGACCGTCAACATCGGTCGTCGTCCCTGACGTGTACACGCACACCACTGGGCAGGAAGGTATGTCTCAGTCCCTATCGAAGTAGGTGAAGTGAGTGAGATGTGTCCGACGGAGGCGATAAGATGCAAGGCCGGCTTTGCTGTGGTGGTGGACAGCATTGAGGTTGGTGAGTATAGTCCCCTGATGTTGGTGAAGTGCCCCGTCAAGTGGACGAGTGCGCAATTTTGCCCCCGCCGGCTCCAGATTACGACGTAGAGCGGCCTGGACGTCCAGAAAGGGGCCTCCGGTGCCCTCACTTACTTAAATAATCACAACGGGAGCATTGCCATACGCCAGTTTACTTCGACCAATTTTTGCCGAAACATGGCTCTCCAGCATTCTTCGGTATTAATTGCCCACCTATCCATTGTTAGGATACATTTGAATATATTACGAATAAAATTAAGTTTCTCAATGAGATGAGTTTAAAGTTCCACCTTTCAGATACAAGATATCATATCATAACTTTTGTAACCAAAGACTTCAATTAGTTGCTTAATACAAAAACAATAATCTGTTACAGTCATTCTTTATTTTTAAAAGGCACAATTTATTCATAAATTTATCAAAACATTCCATTGATATGAAAAACGAAATGAAAACAAATACAATCAATTTTATATAAAAAAATGAGCCCTCAAGGACCTCAAGCACTTGAGCATGCTCAATGTTCTAGCGTCATAAACTAAGTAAGTACTTAAAAATGAAATAAAGTAATAATATTGTTGGAATGATGTTGTTCACATATCATGGAACAGTGTTGACATACAACTATTATTACAATCAACTGGTATACTCACTGTTTCACTTAAATTACAAAAATATGTACAATAATTATTTATAAACCTCCACTGAATAAATGTCGCGTGATGCTACGTATGTATTTTTTGGCGGAATGTGAAGGTGGATACAGGCTCAGTGTTTAAATGCGTTCCAGTCATTTTAGATAAACTCAATTCCACGTTGTGCGGTTAAAATTATTCATAAAATGCCGAGGTATATAAAAATCTCAAATGTTTAACGTAGTATAGTACAAATATGAAATTTATTTGTATATAATTGTATGTATATAAACTTTTATTTGTAGATACTATACATAAAAATCCATTATAATCTTATTTAATAATTTCAATAATATCTTATAGACTAGCTGTTAAGAGATACTAAAGTTGTTGCAAATTAAAGGCACATATGGTTCTTAAAATTAAGAAAAGCGGTATTTTGCCGACATCGCTTTGTTTTATTATTATTCCTATTCAGTCCAAAATTTAGCAAAGTACAATAAAGTTATGACACTCGATTACGAAGAACACATTGAATATTTTAGGCACCATTTTGGATAAAGATTTACATAAATTGGTTTAAAATAAAAATATACAAAACAGCAGACTTAGAATAAAAAATATAACTGATGATTTAAGCCTATTGTAATGTACAACAGCCCCATAATAAAAAAATAGAATGGTGTCAAAACTGACAGTCTTAATTAATGAGCAATAAATGAAATATTTTGTTAGTTGGCATTTAAACCATCACATGTTTTCTAACGAAGCATACCTAACAAATATTTTTTCTTCTCATTCTATCGTCATACATTTTTTTATATAAAAAACGTATGCGAGTGCTACCATAATCCGCGATTCCTCAGCTAATATTGGTAAACCACTTTAATGATACAACCGTAACTTTGGTTTGTAATTTACCCACTCTTTAACGAAACTTTTTGCTTCATCAGGAACCATGTGCTGGTCAATGAAATTGTGATGTTACTATCATTTACAAAATATATCAATGAACAAATGCTATGTCTTGAATTTATTACCTATTTCATAAAAAGTACACGTGCAAATAGGTTGGTAAAATGCAGATAATTAATTCTAAACAAAAAATATTTCGCTTCATCATATAATCATAGAACCTCCTAGAGTCAATTAGAACCTATTAAAAGTTCGACATAGATGGGTGACTCAAACACACCTGTGCATCTAAATTGAAACATTTCTGCATCGTCTTTCGTGAAAACAATCTAATTTATTAACATGAAACTGGTACTCAATGAAATAAAATTGGATTGAACTACCTATATGATATTTTGTTAGACTGTACCAACAGTCAAATGCAAATAACAAGTAGGTATTTGGTATATTAAATTATAACTATCTTACTTAAGCGGTGAGATGTTTGATGCGATCGAGTAACGCATCACAAGTCTTCTTGGCGTCTCCGAGCAACATGGCCGTGTTATTGTTATAGAAGATGGGGTTGTCGACGGCGGCGTAACCGACACCCATCGATCGCTTCATTACAACCACCTGAAATTTTTGTGGATTTAGACAACTTAGACAAGACTAGTGGTTAACATGTATTTGATTTCTGTTATTTTTTAAATAAGCTATTTATACTGATATAATATTTAAGTTCATTTACCTGATTCGCTTTCCAGACTTTAAGTACAGGCATGCCAGCGATGGGAGACTGAGGGTCAGTCTCCGCAGCGCTGTTCACGGTGTCGTTGGCACCTACGTAAACAATTCAGAATTGATTGATTGAGATTGTGATACTACAAATACAACCTACAGATTTAATACACTTATCATTGAAATATGTTACTTCTGAACTACTCAGCCTAAACAATCAAAGCCTCCCCTCCATAAAAGGCGAAATTGCGAGCAACATCGAAAACGCTGGTTTAATAATATTTGCCTTTTAACTAAAAACAAGGTTTGTGTAAAAAATATTATTAGGTGGTTGGTACTTTAAGACTTACCAATTACTAATACGAGATCAGTTTCAGGGAAATCGTCGTTAATTTCTTCCATTTCAAATACGTCATCATAGGGAACACCGGCTTCAGCTAGCAGTACGTTCAATTGTCCGGGCATACGACCTAGTAATAGAATACACATTAATAACGTGCTTGGTCCTTGTATTTACTTGACTTGTATTGACTGCAACTTACCTGCAACGGGGTGGATGGCGAAACGAACTTTCTTTCCGATGCCTTTTAGAATATCTACCAGTTCCGCGATAGGGTATTGCGCTTTAGCAACACAGAGACCGTAACCTATAAAAAAGAAATAGATAAGTTGCTGTCAGTGCTTGAAATTACTCCTTGAGCAACATCCTCCATAGCTTCGTGATTACAGAGCAACAACAAAGTCGTAAAGAATGATATTGTTACCAGGAGTGATAATAATGTTGGAGGCGCGGTGGATGAGCTCGGCGGCCGAGTCCACGGTGACTTCGGTGTGCGTGGCGCCTGCAGGACGCGCCGACCCACTGCTCGTCACTCCGTATCCTCCCAGGATTACATTAGGCAAGGACCTGTTCATAGCCTGCATACACAAGACACATCAATTACATTCTTTACCTGAACAATGCCTATTTAATTTAATGACTATTTTTTTGCATTTTATATGGATAACACAGGTTTGGTTGTTGAGTTACCCACCTTGCACATAATGTATGAAAGGATAGCACCAGAGCTGCCAATAAGGGCACCAACAATGGTCATCAAAGAGTTGTTCAGCATGAACCCTTCAGCGCACAGCGCCCAACCAGAATAGCTGTTCAATACTGTGATCACCACGGGCATGTCCGCACCTAGAACAAGCGTTACGAGTTTTCTTTTAGCCATGAATTTCCTTCAAGTCCTTAACTTCATCAAATTCATGCATCTACACATGTAAGCTCACTTGAAAGGCCAATATGCCAAATTCAACCTTAATGTCAAATCAAAAGGTTTATTTTACAATAAATAGTACCTCCAATGGCGGCAGTAAGAGTAAGTCCCTGTATGCCGCTGAGCACGGCGGCGGCGGAGAGCAGCGGCAGGCCGGGCAGGTCGGGGAAGGCGAGCAGGGCCCCGCCGCAGCCCAGCGAGCCCGCCAGCAGCCCCGCGTTGATGGCGTGCCGTCCCGGCAGCATCAGCGGGGCCGACGACAGCGAGCCCTGCAGCTTGCCGTACGCCACCAGAGACCCACTGCAAATATATTTTTACTAAAAACTAGCTTCTGCCAGCCCATGTCATTGTTACAAAGTGGCCTATTTATTATTCCGGACTACTTATGTATTTATAATAATAAATCAATACTTACTTTGTAGTTTTTTTTTTAGAGAATTTAAATTTTTCTTTCAGGCAAATTTAAATTCTCTTCTTTGAGCCGGGACTGAGAAATTTATTGAAAAAAAATGTAATGAACTAACAATGCAATTCAATAATTCAGTGCATGTAATTATTATTGTTATAATCTGTATTTATCAATTTTTGTCGCGTAATTACTTATTGATTACAAAATATTTTAAAATTACTAATAACAAAGGCGTGTATTATCGACGTAATTATATTAGTGTTATATAATAACGTTTTATAGTATTTACGCTAACTCACGTGAATGTGATGCCTCCGATGTATGTGCCAAGGAAGAGGGATGTCTTCAGTGTGGCGGCAGTGGGGTCCATCGCCATCGCGGGGAAGTCGTGCATGTACGTCGCCAAGCAGGTCAACACTGCCGCCATACCGACAAGACTAGAAACAAATAATATAATGTTCTTATAACGCCTGTGATTTCTTCCATGTGGTATTCATAAAGTTTGTCTCGAAAAGAGTTCGTATAGAAGAGAAAGTAATTTTAAAATTTATCAAATAATTTCGGAGCTTAATCAATGCAGAAACTCGAATAATCATAAAATAATAGTGTCTATTAGATAAAACTTAGTTTATTAAGCAAATGTCTAAAATTAAAATAACGTAATCGGCAAAACGTTACCTGTGGAAACCAGCCACAAGTTGCGGCAAGTCAGTGATTTCGATTTTCTTGGCAATAGTGCTGCCAATAATTCCACCAATGCCAGCGACTCCCAACATTTGGGCCAACACTGGGTGGCTTGGTGTGAGCATGCCCAATGTAGCGGCAATGCCTCCTGATACACCAATCTGTAGAGTAAGCAGATATGTTGGATCAAATATTTGTAAGGATAAAAAAATATCTGGTTTGAGAATGTGCTAGCAACCTCATATTACTAAAGAGTCAGCATGGTGGTCGTGTCGAGCTAAACCCAAGTTGCCTCGTTTGATAAAAATATGTGCAATGGTAATTAAATGAATACATTTGTTTAGACTTCAAAACAAATGTATATACAAACTCATAGGTGAACCAGATGAAATTACTGCATCTTTGGTTATCAGCATAATAATATTATAGTAGTTTTAACAAAGAATATAAGTTAATTGCAATTTGATTGAAAGATGAAGTAATTTTTTCTGATGTTCATTGATGTCTCACTGCCTTTACAATGATCAGTAGATTAAAACTAATGTCATCAAGATTACAATGAGCGGGTCTTGGGTCGAGTCTAAAGCTGCGGACACATGCAATTGCATTGTTCAGTATGCCTTTTCTAATCATTGGTTGCAAGACTTATAATTTTTTAAATCATTGTAGAGACATATTTTTAACTTACCATTCCAAGGTAATTTCCTTTGCGAGCAGTGGTTTGGGAGCTAAGTCCTGCAAGTGCCCCAACACAGCATAGTGATGATGCGAGGTAAGCAATCTGGTGAACTTCCGAATAACCCTGGTAACAAAATATTATAAGTTAGTACCTATGTCACTTTATACAATAATAATGAATTCATTATGAGAAGTGGGTACTGTAATTTTGCGACTACCTTTTTCGGATTCAGTAATGTCATCACACCATACGGGTAAAGTAACAGAACAAAACATAACTAAACGATTAGTGTTCATGGTTTTTAGAATTTAGTATTAGTTGATAGGTCAGAACTCAGAAATTAGACACTAGGGCCGAGTAGAAAAATGGCGTTTTACGTGGTACATAATACTGATTTCAGTAACATACCTGCATGGCAGCAGTGATGTAGCCGCCGAGAAGAGCGGCAGCAGGAATACCATATAGGTATCCATATTCTGGTGGATCATTGGGCCTGCACAAAAAAAATACTATGGTTAACTTTTCGATAATGTTTCGGTAATATATTGGGTTATTAATTGAAATCATAAGTCACTGTTTCACTAGTGAAGTAGTTGCAACGTATAATTATTAAAACAGCATGGTGTCTCTAGATTTTATCTTAGTGTCATGTTGTTAATAATACACATTGATCGTGAATATTATTGTATACCTTTTGAACATGTCCAACATGCGCTGCGTGACGAGGAAGCCACCGAACACGTTGACAAACGATATAAGCGCCGCTGTGCTCGCCAGCCACTGTTGATACATAATAAGAATTAATTTCTATAGCCATTGTTTCGTCAAATGTAGTGAACCAAACTAAAGCTGACTACACAATGTCAATATTAATACTATACTTAAATGCAAAAAGCATTTAAACATTTGAAGAAAAAAAAATACACAAATTTCGCCATAAAAATTACATAACAAAACGAGGACAAACAATAGACAATGAATTAGAATATGGTAGACCAAGTGTGCACAGAATTCACTTATGGACGCTATGAATATTTACAGATGCTCATTTATGTGTGGATGAAAGTAATTGCTACATTTATATGCATGCATTTTTATAATCTATTTTAAAATAAAAGGAATTAACTGCCAAGATCTAAATAAATGTGAAGTTTAAGTATCGTTAATATGTGATTTACCTGCACTGGTGTCTCGGGCAGGTACCCGCCGCCCATGAGGAGCAGGCCTCCGACGGCGGTGATGCCCGACACGGCGTTAGTTACCGACATCAGGGGAGAGTGCAACGCTGGCACCACGCCCCATACTGTATGGTAGCCCACCACACCTGTACCAAAACAAAATCTTAGTAATTTTTTTCCACTTTACTCTTCACTAAGGTTGGGGACTTTCGCATGTGTTATGTTTTACTTATTGATGCACCTTGACCTAACCATAACAACAATTACAAAAAAATTTGGTCCAGTAGTCCAGTAGTTCGGTAGTTATGTGCGTACAGACATTTTGCAGATTAACTTTAATTTTTATAGATTACTTAGCTTTAAGATCAATAACAAAATATCGAAAGTAAATCTAGCAATTTTAAAATGGATATAACTGGTAGACAAGTATGGACTTTATATAAACAAGGTCTGGTGCTAGAACAGGCTACAAATCAAAACCATTTATATAAAATTACACTCACTCGTCAAGAAATGTAATTAAAAATTATATAACATTGTATATTTACCTGACAGTGCAAGGGTTGTCGTCATGGTAGTAAAGGCAGGATTAGGCGCCGCTATTCCCAAACCAATCAACCCAGCCAATCCTTTTGAAATCATAAAAAAAACACATAAATATTTTAATATTTAAATTATATACTTAATGGCATACGTAAGACATGGTAAGGATACGAAAATCTGACGAATGGACTCAGAGTGTGTACTGAAGAGGCCAATGTCGATTGGTGGGCAGGACTGATGACAAATATAAATAAATAGGTATGTTAGTTTTGCTATAACAATAAGTTTATACCTGTGGAATACAAGAAGGCATCTTTCAAGGTCTCGTTGAATGGATTAGGTGGCTCTGGTTTGGCGACTGCGGTGGGTGTAGGTGAGGACGCCTGCACTGCCGCCATGCTGGGCGGAGGCGGAGCTGGCCACAACAACTCTCCGGCCTTCAGCACTATAGCGCCGCGGGTCACTTCGTCCTCCAGGTTGATGTGGAAGTGGTCATTTGTTCCTTTAACATACAGAAATTTTTGGTTTACTTTGTAAACACTGTAAAGGTAACTGTAGGAAATATTCAGCATTATCATCAAAATAAATAATCTACTTTTCACGGTCACTGCTACAAAGGTCAAAATTCGTGTAGTCAATCGGCCATTAGATTTTCTTAAACCAAAGCATGGGAGCATTGGCCTTCATAATTGTGACAAAACATTTACCCAAGCTAAACAGGAATCCGGAGATGTTGTTAGCGTACAATGTGGAAGCGTGCGCAGGCATCCGGCTGGGCATGTCTGTCAGGCCGATGTGCGTCACCCCGTGTATCTTGCTGATCTCGCCTTTCTTCGTTGTTTGAACATTGCCACCCATCTCCGCTGCCAAATCCACTATGACACTACCGGGGGCCATGTCCCGAACGGCATCCTAGACATTATAAAAAATTATAATTTTAAAATTTAAAACACCCCCGAAAAAAAATCTGATTTTCCTTCAAAAAGTAATAATTAAATATAGGTATTTAATATCATTTTCTCTCGAACATTCCCTTTTAGTGCGCTTTCATTTGAGACCCCACTCGAGTATATTTGTAGACCTTCGATTACCCTTCCCCACTTACTCCCCATAACTTCTAAACGGCTCAACCGATTTTCGTCAAACATCGCAAGACTCTAGTCCAGCAAACGCACTTGCGTATAAGCACCCTTCGTTATTACATTGACGTTATGAATTCAATACCTAATTTAGGTCCAGTTTCAACAGTTGTGTACGTTAATTGAAAGTAATTGCTAGTTCACAGTAGCTATACATACAATAGTTTTGTGTTATAAACTTCAACATTGCGAATTATCCAGTTGTTATGTATAACTATTCCATTTCATTTAATCTTCAGCGATCAAATTATTTTATCAAGTACACTTGCTCATCAGTTAGATAACATTGCATTATTAGTCCACATAAATAAGCACGAGGTGTCATGCTGATAATTACCGAAACATAATTATATCTACATACTATTTAGAAAAATGGTAATTAAATATTGTTTTTCTAGTTGAATTCTTAGGATACACGATCTGTGAAACTTCAAGGAAAACTGAAATTATTTATAGAAAGACTAGATAAAACTGCGCTTAGTAAATTATATCAAAACATATTATTTGGAAGCGCTCAGCGCTACGCTATCACTTTTATAAACCTTTATGCGTCTCGAAATACTTATAGTTAACATCTGAGTATTCTGAAATTATCCCTTGATTAGGTATTATCCGCACAGCGTAATGCCCATTTATAAATAAAATACTTTTTGTTTTAAATTACAATGCTGATTGATTTTCTTTTATGCGGGCCTCGATATAAGCAGAAACCACTTAATAATTTATTTACCAGTCCGTTTCAGTACAACAGATCTGTCCCATATAACTAGTGTAGGGCAAGACGTTGATAACGCGGACACAAACAAACAATAATTCCCACGATTATATTATTATCGTGAGAATTATCTGTTACATCATTAGGTATTGACACTTTATTTATATAGGTATTACTGTTCATTACGTACTAAACTCGAAGTCGCGGGATTCGGGTAGTAAACTATTATTATATTTATTAAGCTAATGTGATTGATGTCTAGACTTAAATTACTTATTAGTCCATGTAGAATTATGTTTTAAAACGCGAGGTGTTGTTTTACTAACAAGGCACTTTAAATGTTTACTCGCCAAAATGGCATGTAGATACTTATGTATCTACTCATTATATTTACTTCATATATTAGAATGTTCAAATAATAATATATCTTTTGTATATGTTATGTACATTACGTTAATTCGGTAGCATCATATTATCACATTATTGAAAATAAAATAATGTAACCTCCTGATAACACTTGTCTCTAATTTGGTATTATGTTGTTCTTCACATATATGACATGTTTCTATTTCAAATAGTGGCTCTTATTTTCACGGAATAAAAATGTTACCAAAACTGCAGTAGATAATTCTAGACTATTTATTTATCGTCGAAGCGCGTTGTACGTGTATACAATTTGATTATCTTTCTCCACCATTCGAATAACAATTACGTATCTAATGATAAAAATACACACCTCGAGAATCAATACTGGTGCTGGTTTTCCAGGTATAAGGGCAGTCGTGATGACTACGTCAGAGGTTCTAGCCTCTTTCCCGAGGAGTGCCCTCTCAGCGTCAAGGAACTCTTGACTCATCTCCTTCGCATATCCGCCAGCTCCAGCACCTTCCTCCTAAACGACGCAAATAAACATACGTTACAAGGGTCATTCAACTTGCTAAACATGGCCGCCGAATATAGTGGAATTATTATAATTGGTTGGAACCGCGATACTCTTTGGTGTGTTTAGCTAATTTATTGCGAACACACTGATGTATATATACATTCTCATTATGTAGATGAATAATCAACAGGCTGTATGAACTTTTATCATCGCGAGTCTATTTACTTTTATCCATCAGAATATGTTCGTACGCTATTATTACACTCATAACAATGCGTAGGTGTAGTCATATTATCTCAAACAATACACCAAATTTATGAAATCCTTTCAAGGTCTACAATTTTGATACATGTTTATAAGTTGATAAACTTGAGTGACACTTATAGTATGTAAGTAATAAAGAACGCATAAATTATAACATTGACCTTTAGAGAATGAAATGTTAACAAATTTAGGAACATTATTTAATATTACGTTAGACGTAGATATTCTCATTCTATAGAACAGACAAACAATGATTCAAGCATGCCTTAAAGTTAGATAATGAATGAAAATAAACAAAAACAAAAATTAAAGTAGCTGATCACGATGTGGTAACATTACATCTCAAGGTTTGGTGCATTGACTGTTGCAATTTACTTAAGATTTAGCAGAACAAAACAAACGTTACAAATAAAGTGAATAAATATTACGTGACTACGTATCTAGAACTACGAGTCATTTGATCTGGAAATTACCATTGGCGATAGCAGCCAAGGGCAGGGTGGACGCTGCACCCCAACCACTAGGATTAGGGTACACCCACCTCTGTAAACAAATAATTTCATAAGCACACGTCGCCTGATAACGCCGAACAATACACGTGATATAGTGCATCACGGCAAGTCCGCGGTCAAATGAGTAACGTGATCCGGATACTTTGACCGCACAGTTGCCCATGTAATGCTCTGTGTACAATGATGCATTAACGTTGCCAGCTTTCTACGCAGATTCAGCCGCGGTCTCATAGGTGCACGGCTAAATAGCTAGTGATGAGTGATGATATCATATCCACAACAAAAAAAAATTAAATTACGTTTAATCAGGTGTAAAACAGCAGATATTGACTACGGTAAAAGTTATCGTAATTTTATTATCGACATCGCAATCTATTTGCTTTATTTTTATGACTATCGTAATATACATAGAATGATGTTTGACTACATAATATACATATACATTAACGATCATCGATATGTTTTAAATTTAAAGTTAGATGAAGTGGAGATTATTGATCTGACCTTCATGTCCATGGTGATGAACTGTGCCCCAAGACTCTCGATCTGCTCGCGCACTGCGGGGCGGGTGTCGAAGGCCCTGACGGCGGCGCCCATACAGCGAGCTTGCGCGGCAGCTGCCAGTCCCGCCACACCGCCGCCCACAACCAGAACACGGCAGGGCGGCACGCGGCCTGCAGCCGTCATCTGACCTGAACGCAAATAATAATTCAGTCATTTTGTTTAAAAAAAACTCAAAGGGTTTATCTAAACGTACGTAGCATCGGAGGATAAAAAAGTTGTTTTTTAATGAAAGGTCAGCAGATGATTATGTGGTGTGGTGTAAGCAACACTATGCATTACGGAAATTATTTGGGGCCGTCCATAGACATTCGCAACTTGGAGTTACGAATGCATTGCCAGCCTTATAGGATATGAGAAATGGAGATTTGAGGATTGTTTAGGCCACTGGCTGGCTGAATACTATGGCCGTTACAAGCCGGTTTACTGTGAGACTGAAGGCCGAACAATGGCTTTCTCACCATTTTTAATAACATAAGCACAGTCAGTAACATAATAACAAAAGGTTTATTTGTTCAACATTGGATAGAAAGACTGAATTCCTGTTTTTGATATTAAACACTAGCTACTTTCGCGCGGTTTCACCCACTACTTAGCTCCATTTAATCTTAGCGTGATGTTTTATAGCCCATAGCACTCAGGAACATTGTAGCTATCTATCAGTGAAAGCATGATAGCAATCCAACCAGTTGTTCCAAAGATTACCCCCAAACATACAAACATACAATTTTACCTAATAATATTGGTATAGAAGTATAGATTTAATAACCAAGACTCACCAGAAAAGAACCGAGGGAAGTAAGCTGCAGCCTCAATCACTGCACGGTATCCAGCGACATTTGCCATAGAGCTGAGCGCGTCGAATGCTTGGGCGCGACTTATGCGAGGAACACAGTCCATTGCTACAAAACAAAGTAGGTATGTAGCAGCATTCGAAATTCAAATAATCTAAGTACTATTTAATTTTTCAGTAGTCTTACCAAATGCATTCACATTTTTATCAGCCAGTTTCTTAATTAGTTCCTGATTTTGTGCAGGATATAAAAATGATATAAGCGTCCCTTCGGGTCTAACACTTTGTACTTCATTGTCTATTAGTGGACGAACTTTTAAAATTATATCTGAAATAAATAAAATGATTATAATCATATTCTAAACAATTATGTTTTTGAATATAATAATAGCTATTTTTGAATATTAATTCAAAAATAAAGTGTGAGACTGAATATTAAGATCATTACCAGATTGGAATGTGTCCTTTAGGCTAGTTACTTTTGCTCCTGCTTCTTCGTAACTTTTATTTGGAAAATTAGCTAATGCTCCAGCATTTTCTTCAATGTTTACACTGAAACCTTTCTTAACTAATTTGCTAACTACTGCTGGTACTACAGCCACTCTGAAAATATCAACAATTGGTTGTAGAAGTATTAAAAAGTATGTATACATGAAGTATTAAATGTACTTTTTATTACCTTTTTTCATTTTCCCAGATTTCCTTTGGTATACCTACACTTAGTTTAGAGTATGGTATACCAGGAGTAGGGGGTGCTGTTGCTGAAGAACTTGAAAGCCGGTAATGCCATGACCGCTGCAGAGGCTTGCGAATACATAGTAATCTCACTGACCCAGACATAGTGGCTAGTTACTGGAAGATAAAGAAGAATTTTTACAACAATTACTGTATGAAATTAACATATTCTTATCTCCAGTTATCAACATCAGAAAACTCTGTTCAAAAATAATGATTCCTTATTTAATTATATGTGTTATAAGAAAGTTATCTTGTAACAGAGCTATACTTTGTATAACTTATGGTTTTATATCTAAACTAACTTAATTAATAATAATATATGTATAGGCACGATACACAAGCAGATAAATGTTTAGACCATAGTGTAAACTATTAATTAGATATTGTTAATAACTGTAAGTAATTAATAGTTTAGTTATTAATATTGTTTCAAGGAATTGTGGTATATTATTATAAAACACATACCTACAAGGGTATAACATGGCTGGATAAAAATAATAATAAAAATTAAATACATCATCTTCCAATTGAAAGATTTAGTATTATAATTTAAAAATACCATGCTTATTATATTCTACAGTATTATTATTATTACATTCACCTACATAGTTATTTTTGTAATTTTTAATTGCTTTATCCATAGCTGTTTATTCACCTTCAAAATCAATAAGGTAAGTATTTTACTAGTTCTAGACTCATTACATTATTATTTATGAAGCTTTTTTTCATAATAAGATAAGAAACACACTAATGAATGTAATTATAAAAGTAGGTACTTATGTATCACTAAGGATTGCTATCAGATTAAGCTACAACTGAATTTACGACTGAATGTTATAACATGGCATGCATTTTTATGAAGCATGCAGATAGTAATATAGGTCACAAATTAATGCCACGAGAACGAGTACAGCTATTAATATCCGCAAAATGACTGGAGCGATTTTTTTTACAATACTTAAAGACAAAGGAAAGTGTTATAATTTCTCCAATTTAAAAATAACACATGTTTGATTTATTAAAATAACAACTATTAAGCTGGAGCCAACTTCCAGACGAGCGGCGTACACTTAGCTATATAAAATAAAATATTGCATTCATAGATTTCAATAAATACTAAGCATAATGTATCGTCCATGAAATCAAAAACTTCACGTAGATAGGACGGTGTTCGAAGTAAATATATTTAGACGGACGAATAAAGTGACGATGAGCGAAAACTGAAATGAGGGCACTAAAATTATTATTCTTTCGCAAACAATTCTTAATGCCTAAGACAAGACGCTCTCGTGCCATACGTCCAAGTCCGTAGCTCGCAGCTCAGCGTGCCCGGTGCGGTGATAGAGTTGGCATTTGCAAGTGACTGGATTCGATAACGAAATAATTAAAAACAGAACATAATTAATTACCGGTTGGGTGGGTGCGTTTCGTGAGCCAAGCACTCTCAGCCAGTCAGCGGGCAGTAGGCGAACAGCAAACGAAGAGTTTCAGCAAGGCGGCAACCGGCTAAAGCAACTGATAATATCCGATAATAATGTAACCCTAGCGTTCGCCGCACAGTACGTGCGCTGAACAAACTGCACTGATGCTTTGTTTTCAAATTTCAACTTTCAAGTCTCTATCTCGCTCTTACAATGTCTCTGTTGCGTTCCAAGATTAGGGTTGCAAATCTATGAATTAAATTTCTTCTGATATTAGCGGCCATTTTCAAGGAAAAATATATAGCCTAATACGCAGTCGTAGAAAATTTTACATATATTCTTATTTATTATATACCTAATTTACCTTAAAATGCTTATTATAAATATGGAAAAGCATTTCTGAGTATCTGCTCTAAAGTTTCGGAAGGTACCCACATACTTTGTGTCCAGAGCGGTAGGAGACGCCTGAGTGCCGAGTTTCATCACTGTGAGGACCACCCGGAGGACGAGATGGCAATGTGCCTTGCTTGGGTTGAGCATCACCGTGTCCTCATGGAAGTGATCGGTGGCGGCTACCTTTAGCGTCCGTCCTTAGGGCCATGGTGCGGAGCTTCTCGCTCCGAATTTGGAAGACGCCTTCTCTTTCTGCGAAGCAAGAGAGGACTATTGATGATTTTCCAATAACAAAATAAAAAATGATACTTTTTGTATTTTTTTTTATTTAATTCTTTCTTAAACGGTAGAAATTAAATTGTTGGTAACACTGATTATTTTTAATTATCTGAGCATTTATCAGCTTAGTGATGTATGTAGCTAAAGTATCGATAGATAAAACATTTTACAGCGTAGTCATAATTATTATTATGCTGTTTGCGCATTCTCTGAGAAATATGCTACAACGTTTATTTTCAGGAGGAGTTGCGAAGTTAACTTTTTGGTATGATCACTCTTCACGCTTTTTTGTAATATTGGACGGCGCGCCGTAAGTATGATTGTGGGTCTTGCTTGCCTAAACCATCCTTATGTTATAGGTTTTGGTCCCGGCCATGGTGCAGAGCGAAAGAAACTTGATACTCATTTCTTCCGCCTGTGAATCAGTCTTGTTCTCAAAGGAGTAGGCGGAGCGCGTGTGGTGTGTGGTGGTTAAATTTTGGAAGAATCTATTGGTATATGATTATTTTAGATTGTGTGATTAAGTAGTAAATCGAATGGTCGCAAGTGAAACTGCACTAATCGACAAAATTTCAGAATCACTTTTTGAGTTAAACCTAGTCTAGTCTCTAGTCTACCTACCTAAAGTCTGTAAAGTAAGTAACATTTGTCACTTCACACTGAAGTCTAAATTTTGCTCTATAGCAGAAACACTAATACCGTATCGATCTCCACAACTTACGGAAATAATGTTAATATTGTTATCGTTTTACGCCGCCGCTTGCCTTTAGCCAAGTTTCGATGAATATGAACAATAATATCAAACATGATGGAACAGTACTAGTTGATGCGATGAAAACGTCGACCACAGTACTTTTTTCACGTTCACGTCACTTTTTCTGTCATTCCATTCATCCACTGTTGCACAGGCCAGTTTAGCCGGTATCGAAGTCGAACTTTGCGATTTGGCAACTGATGCTGAAAGAACTTGCAGTTAGATTGTGTGCATTACAGTTTATTGTGAAAATTTGTTAAAACCTCAGGTTTATTTTGCTTTAAAAAATGGCCGGTAACAGCAGAAAGTTATTTAAATACGTGACCGATCTTAGCGGTTTGAAGGCAAGAAATTGTGAGTATAGTTGGTTACATTTAATTAACATCGTTTTGGTTAGGTAACTGTAGTTCTTAATCTTTGATTTATTAATAACACTGTTTTATTATTAATTAACTAGAATTAAGCTTATGTTTAATACATAACATTGGACTTTTATACCACGAAACAAACACAATTATTGTTCTGATGTACTTTTGGTATTCTTTGTGGTAATATTTGTTTGTTAAATACTAAAGTACGGACAGTGGGTATCCTTAGGGGTTGCTATATGTGAATCTATTATTGTCTGCATCTTATAAATTAATAGCTATCTTAAAAATAACTTCATTCACTGTGTTTGATATGATTTTTATGCTGAAACTATTCAAGGCTAAATCCATTTTATTTTTATAAAATTACTTTTCATAACTTGCAGCTCAGAACCTTTAGATCATTTACACCAAGTAAATAATTTACTAATTCATCAACAAAACAAGTTCATGTTTTATGAATTAAAGTTCAAGTATGTTGAAGTTTTACAAAATGTTTTATATTGACACAGACAATGATGATGTGTATCTTTCAGATGGCACTGCTAAGAGAGTTGTGGCGAAGAACCCAGTTGTTGAAATGGATGGTGATGAGATGACCCGCATCATTTGGTCCATGATTAAAGAAAAACTTATATTCCCCTATGTTAAGGTAAGATTATTTATATTTTTGGTTGGTTACTAAATAACCACTAAATATGCGAATAAAACTAAGGTATACATAATAAAATAATAATAATTGAAATATCCAAAAGTTGGGTTAAAAAAACACCACAAAATGTTTCATGCTTTTAGAACTGCTCAAATATTTTTATGAAATAATAGTAAACTTTAGAATGTCCCTAAACAAAAAAAAAGTATTGTTACTTTTTATTTGAAACCCATACAAATGGGCAGAGGCACTTTTTTTGTTCAAGTTGCAGGTAGCATTTTTTGTATACTTTGTGCCTTAAATACAAAGAGCAGACAGGTGTATTACAACCTGTTGATTCTTACTGCATTGTTGCTGGGTAACTGGCTGCTCTGAAAATGTTGTTGGTTTGATTCCCACATGAAACAACTCTTTGTGTGATGCCAATTATTATGAGACTTTGTATGTTTGGAAGCAAACCCACACTACAGGAAAAAACGAAACAAAGGGCAAGGCTTTTAAAAAAATGCTTTCAATTGTCATTCTGAACTATGCTACATGTACATATTATTTGATGTATTCTTATATTATAATTCAAAGCAGGTTATCAAATATTAGAGCTGCAAACTTTTCTTATCTCACTATATTGTGTCAATGTTTCCATTTTACTACATTAGTTATCATTTGTTACCGCTGATATCTCACATAGCTTATGTTATAAAACATTTTGTTAGTTTACATAACTTTACATTTTCTATATTTATACTTGCATTTTTACTTACGTCAATGCTCTTAATTATTAATTTATCTACTGTTTGATTATATTTATCGTAAATTATACTAAAATGTGGTTACCATTTAAATTTGGTAGAGTTAACATCATATTGTTTGCAAAATAATGTCATTGACATCTCCAATTAGTTAATGTTTTTGGGTTCTGCAAAAAAGCTTTAAAATGGCAACCATTTTTATAAAACTGTGCTATCCATCTGTCTTTCTTTAAAATGTCTGTCACTAAACTGTGTCTATATGAACGGTGACAATAAGATAGTTTTAATTTGAACAGATGACGTACTTCTTTAGCTGCTATGACAAATAAATTTAATAAACAAAATTATATAAATATTATGTAGCTGCCATAAGGTTATTACTTGATTATGGCACGAAACTTTTCGTATGCGAGTGAGTCCGGCTTACACTTAACTGGTTGTTTTATGACACTTACTGAAAATATTTCTACAGTTGGACTGCCTTTACTATGATCTCGGCTTGCCCCACCGTGATGCAACCGATGACCAGGTCACCATTGACGCAGCCCATGCTATCCTCAAGCACAATGTTGGTATCAAGTGCGCCACCATTACTCCTGATGAACAAAGAGTCGAAGGTATGTTTCCTGAATTTTGTTTTTATGTCTTTTGTTTATTTTGTTACTGTAGCTGACTTGTAGGTCATCATCAGCCCATAATTTACTTGGGCGAAGGTTAGGGCAATAATCACAACACTTCAAGGCGGATTGGAAATTTATGTACTTAAATAAGACCCGGTTTCCTTGCCATGTTTTTCTCCATCATAATATGACAATGGTGTCCTTCTCTTGGAAAGTTCCCACATATACTTAACTCGGAAAAAGTCATATGCATGAGAAGCGGGCGATTTTACCTGGCCATCACGACATTTACCGTAGGTAACATGTATAAATTGCTCTAAAACCTGTATAAATAACAAGAAATTATATAAGGAAGTTTATAATTATCTTCAAACGAAATCTCAATAAAATAAATATAGTAACAGTATGGCATAATTCATACAATTTAGTTAGCATAGTCAGTTCTACGCAGTAGAACTACCTATGCATTTATAAGACTACCTAAATACCATACATGTATATAGGAATGCACAAATTAAATGGACCTTAAAATGGAGAAATAAGTACTTATAGTGACTTTATTTTTCTCGATTTACGTAGACTAACTGTGTAGTTAATTACGTTGTAGAATTTCCTCAAAATATACAAAGCTTTTGAGCTCTCATGAAAAATAAAATACCACCACTGAATTTGGTGAGAAATACTAAGTTTAAAATAAAAATCTAAAAAACGATATCAATACAGGGGTCTGCAATATGATAAGATACAAGCTACGTGACTAATCGTGCGTGATAAATGAAATTATAATAATTAATTAATTAATGTTATATTAATATAAATCACTTATGATCGACTTAAGTAACATTGTAGAGTATCGTTGTTGACCCATATCCCAAGTATTCACATTTAAAGAGGAGACATGTGCCATCTGTCTGCGAGTGGAGGGTTTGATTACTATTCTAATATCATGTTAAATGGGTCGGTGACAGCGACACACTTGTTGTAACTATCTGCACATCACACATGTAGTACTTACGGACCATTTCATTCGTTATAATTATAATTAGTAGCATACATGACATGTGATGGCTATTACCGGGTTCTTGCAATTACACGTTTTACTATAGTATGTAAAATCTAGCTGCATTCAAGTTTAAAGTCTATACAAGTTATAAAGGACGTCCAAATCTCACCATTAAATCAGAGCTTTGCACGAATTCGTATCAAATACCTACACTTGAAGAAACCTCTCTAAAAGCCATATTTTGCTTATTTTGTTAGTTGTACTTATACACATTCGTTTTGTAATAAAATGTATTTTGGTGTCAATAACCTTTTATAAAAGATTCACTCCAACATCTTAACGTGTGTTTATATGTGATTTGTATAAATAATAAGGTTCACACCATACTTCGCATGTTAATGTGAGCTGTTTATTGATAACAAACGTTTCTTTTTAGAGTTTAAGTTGAAAAAGATGTGGCTGAGTCCAAATGGAACGATACGTAACATTTTGGGAGGTACTGTGTTCCGTGAACCCATTCTTTGTAAGAGCATCCCTCGAGTCGTGCCTGGCTGGACTCAGGCCATGGTGATCGGACGTCACGCCCACGGAGACCAGTACAAAGCACAAGACTTAGTCATTCCAAAACCAGGAAAGGTAATAAATGAACATGTATTTTTAAGATTACAAAAATCTGGCGCTGGCGAAGTTCAGTGTATGCTCAGCTGTTGTTATCTATTTTAAAAACATTATTTGTATTCGTCAGGTGGAATTGGTGTACACAGCAGAAGATGGAACAGTGGAACGGCGGTCCCTGTATGATTTCAAAAGTCCAGGTGTCGCAATGGCTATGTACAACACTGATGAATCTATCCGCGCCTTCGCTCATTCTAGCTTCCAGGTTTGGATCCTCGATTAAAATGTTTTTAACAATTGAACTTGTAACCCGGACTTTAAGTATACTTTATCACGGTGTCACCGTCCTAAGGTTATTGAATCGATCTGTTTTTTCATCTTATTTATTTTGTTAATGACCTGGAATAAAAATATAACAGAATGACGCACTAGGGGCAAAACTATCGAAGAGTTTAATTGCTCGGTCGCTGCGACCTTGCTTCAATGAATCGTAATACATATCAGGCACAAACTTATTGAGACTATGTACCTATTAGCTGTTGTTTATAAGCACGCACGTCATAAATGTGTATTGTCTTTGATCAGGTGGCGTTACAGAAGAAATGGCCTTTGTATTTGTCAACTAAGAACACAATTATGAAGAAGTATGATGGCCGCTTCAAGGACATTTTCGAAGAAATTTATCAAAGGTAATTAAACGAATCACTTGTGTGTGTTTTTTACTGATTTAAGGATTAAATGTCTTTTTTTGTACTATCAAATCAGCGGTGTAATCTATGCTTAATGAATCAGCTGCAACGCGTATTTATCATTGATTGATATGTTTGTTACTAGCGATTACAAGAAGCAGTTCGAAGATGCTAAAATATGGTACGAGCACCGTCTGATTGATGACATGGTAGCCCAGGCCATTAAGGGTTCCGGCGGGTTCGTGTGGGCCTGCAAAAACTATGACGGTGATGTGCAGTCCGATGTCGTAGCTCAGGTTTGTTATTTATTGAATAGGTACTTAGCATATTTTAAAACTTATTTATAAGGTGCCACGCCTTCCGTCGGCTACACAACTTGTATGCTAATGAGATGAAAATTATAAAACAAACTGCTAGTAGACGAATTTAAATTATTTGTGCGTATAAATACAGCCGTTTTAATTTAATAACATTTGGCGATATCCAGTTTTATTCGGAGTTGGCTAGGATTCGGCATTCCGATAAAAAGTTATCAGAAGAGCAGTCAGGTTTTTATTACTCACTATTATTGTGCTACGTACCCATAAGTACGTGTCAATTACTTTAATGACACGCTCATTGACCTACTGGCTGATAAACAAGTATTGCATTTTATCTAGAAAAGAAAAAATATAGTTCTAAATTTCTGTATTTTTTCCCATTTTTTTTTTGTATGTTTGCATTCAGTATATTGTTATTTTATTTATTTAAGCTTTTGCACACACATGTATTTACAAGGTGGACTTATGCCATAGACATTATCTGCTAGTCGAACCTTTGCGTGATATAGAGAGGAATCAACAGTAGGTGCAAGAAGCAAGCAACATCGAGATATTACCAATATATATTTTATACACTTAGGGCTTATTTTTAAATGGTTAGATATTAGGTTACCTGGGGAACAATTATGATGCTGTCGCGTCAGAATATTTGTATAAGACAGTGACAGCAACAATTTTATTCCTCAGATAACATTTGTCTGGCTATTGAAAAATCAGCATCAATTTTCAAATATAAATAATATGTATACTTATAGAAAATAAATTTATATATTTTATTTACATGTGCTTACAAGCTTTACTTATACATTAAGAAATACAAAAACGAAGACTGCTAATTACTTTATTATTGCGAAGACTGCTAACCTCTTCTCTTTTCGTTTGAATGTCTAGGATCATTTTAATTGTTAGTTATTTAACTTGTTTTTAAAGATGTCGTAACTAAGAGTTTGATATACAGGGGTACGGATCCCTGGGAATGATGACGTCAGTGCTGATGTGCCCCGACGGACGCACAGTAGAGTCGGAGGCGGCGCACGGCACCGTGACGAGACACTACCGCATGCACCAGCAAGGCAAACCCACCTCAACCAACCCCGTGGCTTCTATCTACGCCTGGACCAGGGGCTTGATTCACCGCGCCAAACTCGACGACACACCCGAACTAGAACGATTCGCACTCGCTCTTGAAGATGTAAGTCACCTTGCTCTCGTCATAATCGTAATAACAGTTGTTTCTCGCTCCATTACAAATAAACTTTCTTATCTTAACATTGAAAAATGAGTTCAAAGAAAACAGTACAGTGTAAACCGAGATGCTTAGTTCTAGGTCGTAACTAAACATTATGTCATCTGAAAGATTACGCCGGTGTCGTGGGTAGTAAATGAAAACATGTAGGTACCATGTACCTACCTGCAGATATTTATCATATCTTGGCTAGGAATTGTTTTTAACAAATATTGTAACGGGGAAAGTTATTTACCTATTTCCTTAGATAACGAGTTTGCGTAAGTCGGGCTATCAACGAAACAAAAAAAGCCTTTTATCATTGGAATGCAGCAAATAAGTCAAGCCCACGACACCTCCTATTTTGTTTTATCAAGCATTTGCAGTTTATTAATTGATAATCAAACGCATGTTATCAAAGTAGGTAATCATTAAGGGTGGGGAAACTAATTTAGATAAAGTCAAAGCGATATTTTGATTATATTATCAAATACATATTTTTTTTTGTCCTGTGGGGTTGGCAGAAATCTATGAGTGCCACACACATTATGTAGTATGAAATATAACTTATTGAGTAAGTATGCGTATGTTTTGCAGAAGCTAAAGTAGTTTCCGAAAAATTGAGTTCGCAATTAAAATCCAGTTGTTGAGACAGGATCAAGGAGAAGTGGAAAAACAAGTAAATCTTGTTCAAAACGAGGTCGATGACACTCGCGAACGATACTTGCGGTTTTATTGTGCACAAATAACTCAATATATCTGACTTGCAATAATGAAAATATGTAACGGCTATTGGGTCTTATTTGCATTTGTAGTGTTTATATGAGCTGCAATTTCATTGTAGATAAAACTACGAGTATTCATAAGTAATAATCATGAAATACCTATATTAAAAAAAAACTGGCGCATTCTAGATTAGAGATTTTTATTTACCTACTATCATCTCATTATGTAAATAAAACGCCAGAAAGCTTAAATACCTACTTTTTGTATGAAATGATATTTCCGAAGTCTTAATATTTTCGTAAAAATTTAACGTCAGTCTTACTCCGCCTTTGCATGCCGACTACATTGTTTTGTAGAAAGGTTTCGAACAATGACCATTTCCACTTACACTCCAAAAACCATTACTGTATTATCTCCAGCACATTTACACAACATAGATGGGTAACTTAAAGAATGTTGATGTCATTTGCAGGCGTGTGTCGAGTGCATTGACAGCGGTAAAATGACTAAGGACTTGGTCATCTGCATCCACGGACTGAAGAATACCAAAGAGGGCATGTACTTACACACTGAAGACTTCCTACTTGCCATCGCTGACCAGCTTGAGCGTAAACTAACCAATTAATTAACAAAGTCGTTTAGAATATTTGAGTCACTGCTAATAAAGACATTGAACAATTTTGTCGATAATCGTCTTTATAGCTGACTCTTTCGTAGTAAGAATAAGTAAATCATCACAAAACATCAAATCGATTTTTAGATATTTTTTTATTAATCAACGGTTTATTTTTCAGATAATTTCAAGTGTTTCGAAACTACAAATATATGAGACAGTGGCTTTTAATTTCCTATCTACTTATGTTTGTGTACTTTAATTAATAGTCAATTCCATATAGTTATAGTAGAATGAAATTATGCTAGTATGTCTGAACTCAAGTGAATGGTGCTTATTAAAAGTGATTAACTAGTTATTTCCAGAGTTATTTTATCATATCGTGTTGGTTGTTGCGTACTGGTTTACGAAACTAATATGGCATTTATATTCTAGATATTTGGCTAGAATATGGTTGAAGTTATTTAATGGATTGTTCTCAAATCAATCATAGCATTTCCTGATGCTTATCAATAACTTGATGAGGTATTATATGAGTATCTCATACCATATTTAGTTGTGTAAATTTTTCAACAAGCTCACAATATGATAAAAGCTTTTTGGGTCAAAAGTGCCTGTTTTACATTGGTGTGATTAACATTTGAGACTGATTGAAGCCATACTAAATTGCGTACTGGGTATTGAAATCTTACAAATACTCAGATAGTGGAAAGGAATGGATTGAATCAAATGGTGATTGAATAAAAACATGATTTGTATGTACCTAGTGAATAATTGTACCTTATGTATAATTGTACTATTTGTACACTTCGTTCTTCCAGCACTATGCATCATAGCATAATAATATGTATACAATGTTGAAATTATTTACTATGTCATATGAATTTATGAACTTTGCAATAAAATTACTGAATTATGCATATTTATATTTTTATAACAGCATGAGATTTACTGAGATAAGTAATTAATGTATCTGCTCAAATATGTATCAATTTTATTATAGTTATATGAATTGCTATGTATTGCATAAATAAATACAGTTAAATATTTATATTGTTTTATTTCTGAAGTTTTCAATTCAAAAACTATTAAATAGGTAAATAAATAATAAGTTGTTCTCTATTGAAAGAATAAGCTCTGAGCTTTTTTTTATAGTGATTGTGGACAATGCATGTTTTCAACAAGACTCAAATAGCTAGTTTACACTTACAGATCATATTTTACGAAACAATTAATTTTAGTTTATTATCTTTTACAACATCATAAGTCACTAGTTTAGCGTATTTCTTTAGAAGTTTACGCCAGTAGCATTTGACATCCTTGTCAGTTAAGTGATCCCAAATATGTTGGAAGCCTCTATTTGCAATTTCATTGGCCAAATCGTCATGTTCTTTGAAGAAATGTATTAACTTCTTAATGTCTTCCTGTGATGCTCTTGGGTTAATAGGAACATAGTGTACCCAAGGTTTAAGTGATGGGTAGAAGAACTCGAGCCATTGATCACCAACATGGAAGACTAGAGACTTGCATAAGAATAAATGCTTGAATCTAAAGCTAGCAGCCACGCCTCTGTAGTTGAACAAATACTTGTATTTACAATGTTCTTCAAATGGTACTTCTGAAGCTGGCGGCGCATAAAGGGTGTCCTGAATTAAGAAAAAAAAGGTTGTAATCAAAAATTTTAAGCACATTTATTGGTTTCTGGTGTTACTGGCAGCAAAATGTGGTTTTATTAATCTTTGACTATAACAACTTTAGATATGCATGGGCTATATTTATATATTTTTTATATACAAAAAAAAGTAATAATTAGCACAATCCCATGGCTGTGACACAGTATTCAACACCACATTAATCAACACTCAGTCCACAACTGCAACAACTTAGGTGTGGGTAAATTTTTCAATTAAGGCTAGAACTGCATAAATTTACAACAAATGTGAAAGATATTTACCATGTCGGATTTCCAAGCCTGATTTTTGGTGTATTGCGCATCAACTAGGTCAGGCTCAGCTCTAGAGAGTAGTATAAGAGCATCTCTTTCATCACTGGTTCGAGATCCTCTGAAAAAGGCTTTGTTTTCTTTCTTTTCCCATGGCCATCTGAAAATATAAAAGCTTGTGTCATAGTAGGACAGTAATTGGGTAGTATCCTAGGTCAAAAATAAATTTATTCAATGTTTCAATACAATGAAATATTGAAAAAATAACTATACTTTTATTAATATACACTAAGTTTTAGTAATTTTTTAACTAATATGGTAGTTTCCAACTAGTTAAATTCAATTATCCAAATGTCAAAAACGAGACTTCTATGACTTTATTGCGTCAAATAGTTTACTTATTTCTTAATCATAATATAATCTTTATTTCTGGTGTTCACGAACCTTTGGCTCAACTGTTGTGTATCATATAACCACGGTTGAAAGGTTATACATATCCACCAAAGTACAGTGGCCTTTTTTATCATCATGCATTACTTATTTCATTGTGATTTAATTCCGTACTAAATCGAATCATTGACAAAATGACATTAAATTTCTCCTTATAAGGGTAGCATAATTACTAACTATATTACTAACTAATTAATAAAATATGAAATGATACAAACTTTTCAGCAGATTTTGTTATTGAGATTCGGTGTTTGTCCCACCTGCCTATGCCAGTAGGATACAAGGATATAGCTGGACCACCTTCCCAGAAACTCCAGGCAGGATACATTATATCATAATAATCTTTTGTCTGAAACATTTTACAACTTCAAGTGAGTAATTTTTATTAAATTTCTGTTAATTGCAAGCCAAAGTAGAATAACATTTTTCATATATTCTAAACATTCAAAGTAAATTAAAGTTTCAGGACCTTACTAAATGATAATACTGGTGCTTTTGGATGGCCCCAAGCCCGGTTAATTTGGGGCCAGTCTCTGGTGTTCAGTGCTAGTTCTAAATTAGGCATTTTTGCTGCAATAGGTACTAAATAGTGTTCTACACCTGCACATCTAGCTGGAAAATGGCAATCCTCTTCTCTGTACAGCTTTCCATCAATGATCTGGAACATTATTTATTATAAATCTTCAAGTTGCCAAGACAATTGTTTTATGTAAATTTAAGATTAGTTTGAGATATATTAGTTTAAGCTTTTTAAAATTACCTGATATTTGGTAGCTTTCATTCGAGCTCTTTCAAATAGTTCCTTGGTAATACCTCCTTTAAAAGGAGCCAGGTCTTCATCAATCACTGATTTATGACAGCTACAATTTTCTACTTTACAAAGAACATATTTATTCATAGCTGTATTTATTTGTTCTTTGATTTGCATTGACCAGTCATTTGATTCTGTAAGCCAAATATTTATGTTAGTCTTTGAGACTTCTATTGCTGTTAATAACATTTTAACCAAATTAGTAGACTAATGTTATGCAAAAACAGAGGTAATTTGGTAGGTATAATACCTTTGCTATATTTGTTGTGGTCTTCAGAGCAAGATTTCTCATCCTTACTACAAAATTCGATATTTGTACTAGAACTAACAGAAACTATAATTGAAATAAGCGCTAACAAGTTCGTAACCATTTTAGCTAAAAATAGAATTATGGTAACTTTAGTATATTTTGTTTCTTCAAAGTAAACGTAAACAAAACAAATGACAATTTTGATTTGATGATAACAAAACACAAACAATAAAATAACGTTTGCGCTTGCGCGGATATGCCGACGGCGTGTACTGGAGTTGTCAATTGTCATTAATGACAACTTCACTGACAGCTGACATGATGTGACAGTAGTTGTAAACGACTTCTAAAATAGCTTAGCACCCTGTTAATTTAGTATAAAACATAACAAATGAAAAAATGGTACACTTTCCTATCATTCGATGGTAATTCACTTTCTGTCGGTGTAAATTTCCCAAAAACATTTTGCTGCTGAATATTAACAACACAACGTCTGAGTTCGAATACTTATGAGAAGTGATGTAATAAGTATTGTGACCATGGCCTTTAACATTTGATCGCCAAAGTGTAACTGCATTGGCACTCGTTCATGTCAATCCTTCAACTGCCAGTGCCTTGAATATTACAATAAAATAGGACATCTTATCGATAAACAATTAATCATCAATGTAAGACTCATATTTAAAATTGAGTAGTAAATAAAATTAAATATTACTCGTAGTATAATTTCATAATTTATTTTGCCTTTTCAATTTACACTTAATGGCAATGAGATAAAGAATACATACTAAAACTAACTTGTTTTTTTCTATTTATATTTTTTACACCAGGCTAAATCTACAAATGTATAAAAAGTAGTTCGCCTCGTCTTAGGGGAAGAAAAACAATATTTTTATACATGTGGAAGGTTAATTAAATAAACGAAACAAGTGGGTAGACTGAGTTTATTGATAAATTATTTTGTTAGTTGTAGATACAGACATTTAAAACAGTTTAACATGATTGTGTTTGAATGCTAAAAAATGCAATTATTTTGTGGAAGGATAAATCAATTTCAAATATTTTTTTAAACTATGGTAATAACAAACATCAACAGTTTTGAGATTGATTATGAGAATGCAAAATATAGAAAATAATCTTATGAGATCTTATATTTAAGGATTTATATATGACTTATTACAACAATAAATGTTCTACAAGAATCTTAAGACAATTGACAGAAATTTTAAATACATGTTACTAATTTTACAGATACAGATTAAAATGATTTGCTGTTTTATACTCCACTTGAGCCAGTCAAGCTTACCATTTCGTGACTGAATAAAGCAAAGCATTGGCTTGCATTCAGCTCAGTACAGTATAACATAAAACATCCATTCATGCAACAAGGAGAAATCATTTAGTTGAATTCTCTGTCAGGGAATATGGCTGGTGCGACCAGAGTCCAGATGTAGAGACCTACGCACAGCCAGGAAGATGTGATCTTGATCCACATCGAGGCGACATTCTCCTTCGAAAGCTGTGAACTCGGGCTGTAAAAGAAATATATTTCGTTATAATATTAAAGCTTTTTTTTTCAGAATAAGGAAAGGAAGACAATAAATAAAACCCTTTAAATCTATTAAAAGGTTTAAAGTGTTAATTAAGTTGTAAAGAAACTAGTGTTACTTACTTGTACCAATTTGTGAGTGTCATCATGATGTACAAGGTGGCCAGTGCGAACACGACGTGGAAGAATGTCCAGGAGTAGGCCACGCCGTCGCCCTCGTTGTCAAACACCTTAGTCTCTTCAGCACGGCCCGCTTCGCCGCCGTCAGCGCCCTCTATGGAATTATATCCTGCGCTCAGCGAGCATACCAACGTGCATTGTTAACTGAACTCATTACAACAGCAGAAAAGTGCAAACTAAAGCATACGTGGAAGTGGAACAAAGCGAATGTAAACTGTACACGCACCAGCAAATCGACTCGAAATCTGTTTAATTTACATAAAAGACTTTACTACGAAACAATATAAGCGCAAATACATTAAAAAACAACAGATTGTAGTAGGTTGATGTGCTTAGTTGTACATGGCAAGGTGATCATATAATTACAGGCAAAACTCTAAGAGGAACTCTCTATGCTCCGAATTTCAGACTAACTAGCTAACATTGAAAAAAAAACTAACATTGGTCTTCTGACTATTTGCTAAAATTGAGTACCACCAGAAAAGTTAAGAAAACAACGTTCCTACTGAAACGACCGCATAAAGTCTGTATGTGGACTATGTGCGGCTATTTACAATAAATTATCATTTGAACTAAAGCAATACATTATTACAAATGTCTATTTAACCTTGCGTCTTCAACATAGGACTAGGCTTGGGTACTTTAGGAGCTGGCTCGAAGGTGAATACGAAACAAAATAAGTAAAACTATGCTTTTCCATTAATCTAAAAGGGCAAAGAACAATAAAGAAAGTTGTGAGTTAAATTAATGAAATGAAAAAGCAAACAATATGTTAGCAGATTATGAAACCGGGTGATTTTTGGCTGGTAGGTTACATAATTTAAGGCCAAGTACATTGCGTTACCTTCGTTAGCAATGAGCCCTCCTTGCCCTTAGACCGCGCCGCCGCCGCGCGTTATGTCCGCAAGGAATTCACAGTTTGCGTTAGTGTTACATAAAAAGGTAAAAACAGAAATATCAAAACAGCTGGTTGTGTTTCCTATAAATGTATGGTCAGCTGTAGCAACAGAAACTAATAACGAAAGGTAATGATACCATGATAAACAAACCATAGATAATATAGAAAAATATATGCAAAATGGTAATAAATAAGCTAGAGGACACACTGATAACGACATTCCAAAATATTTCAGGCCTGATTTTAAAAGTGAATAAGCAAATGTGGTATATATCTCACCAACAAGACAAGATCCTTGTGATTATTGTTAGTTGTAATTGAAATAAAATAAAAGTATTAAATATTATAGAAAATATGATATTCACCTCCAGCGCCTTCCTTGGCTAGGATATGCTCAGACATGGTGATTTTAGACGAAGACGACGCAGTTCTGATTGACGAGTACAGCACACTGCACGCCCAAATGACCAGCCCGATGATAGACTGATTGTCGAAGGATGACTGTTGAGAAAACATTTAAATATTATATTTTTATAATATCAAGATTATCCTTAATTATTTTGAAGAAATATGAACAAAATGTTAGGTGATGTGATAAATTTACTGAAGGTAGGTTCATATCAATATGATAAACTTGGTTGTACATCAGTTTACTGTTGCTTAGCTAGTTGGGAGTTGCGTATTGAGATTAGGTTAACAAATAGAGGTACCATCAATTTCGTGTATTGATTAAATTTGGGGAAAAAAGGTTTGTGCTTAGAAGGTTCTACAAAATAGCATAGTTGGAATAAATAAACAATAATTATTAATTAAAGTGTGTGTGAAATATCATTTTCTAATATACACTGCAAACATTAACACAATAAAAATGTATAACAAGAACTGATATTTATTGTCTCACATACCCAATATCCATGTTGTTCCTGGTTAAGCATATTCAAAATAAATACATAATATGATTGTATAAACTTTACAAGTAATAGTGTATTGAATTTAACTTATACTATGTAATATAATGTACCATACATACAATTTACATTCTAAAGATATTTGTTGAATACATTCTAAATACACAATAGAATATGTTCATCAATACAAATATAATAATAATTATTATAAAATATGATTTACTGAATATAATATTTGAATTGTGTATTCGGTTAATGCTCTCGTAAAAGTGTTTTTAACACAATACGGCATTTCTGAAATGTAGTGTTTAAAATCACTGATGACTCAGTATCTACTATTACTATTATATTAATATTATTACAAAGCTGGAGAGTTCGTTTGTTTTGTTTTAACGCGCTAATCTCCAGAACTACTGGTTCGAATAATTCTTTTTGTGTTTGTTAGTACATTTATCGCGGAATGCTTTAGGGTATAAAACATCACGCTACGAATTGTAGGAGCCGAGCAGCAAGTGACACCGCGCGACAGAAACTAGTTTTTTTAATAATGTTTACAAACCTCGTTAGATGAGATGGTGTTACATTCCTTGGAGGCGTTGGAGAGTGCAGACCAGGTGAGGTACATGACGTACATGGACACCACGGCTGACTGCAGCAGTCCTGAGCGAGGCTGGTGCTCTTGCACCGCCGGCAGGACTGAGATACCGCTCGCAATCACCACGAGGATCAGATTTATTGAAATGAAGAACTTGGACAGACCACATCCAGCTGGCTGCAAGTAAACACGTGAGAATTAATTATTATTACACTGGCTCATCTTAAAATGTCAGTCTTTTAGAAGTATTGGGTTTATAAAGTTTGTTTGGTAATCCAGGCGAAAATGCGCCTGAAAAGTATGTGGTTGGCTATTTGGAAACAAATATACATACATAGAAATACCAAACGTGACCGTAGTAAAAACAAAAATACTAGAAGCACCTGGCATTTCCTGTACTACGATTACTCTGTGAATAACTTCTTTTCATATCATTTAATATTTGTCTTTACTTTAAAGACAAATATTAAATGATATGTGAGAACCAATGCATGTTTGGAAAAAAAAGCTGCCTCTGTGTTTATTTCGGATTTTATTCACTGAGTAGTCTAAGAAGAAATGGCAACCTGGTCTAGTTTATTTATTTATATATCTTATATAACATTGACATGTAAAAGTCTTGTTTCTAGCCTCTTACAAAAGTAAATCATCATCATTATTTACACGTAATATTGACGTGCTTATTGCAATTAATGAATAACAAAGGTACTGAAGAGTAAAGTAGGAGTACTATTCTTAAACCACTATCTTCTAGTACATGTCTGTGGAATTATAAGTGTGGTATCATTTTACACACTTCTGTGTGCCAGGGAATTACAATGTGATGTCATGAATGTATCAAGTGATGACTAGTTCGATATAAATAAGTAACACTTAAAAAGCAATTTACCTCAGTGTAATACATGAATAGTAGGACTGCTCCAACAAGTGCGAGGGTGTAGGCAGTAAGCATGGAAAATAGGAGTGCCGCATACCAGCCACGAGACTCCGATTCTTCATAATTGGCTGTGAACAAATTGAATTAGACGATTATACTTATATGTACATGATATACGGTCGAAAGTGGAAGGATTACACTTTAATAGATTCTATAATCGTGCGTCGGCGAGGTAGTGGCTTACCACTTCCTCGCCTGGTGTAAAGCGATAGTTCGACTTACAATGGAACACTCCTACCCATTATCCACTAGCAACTTATTCACTCGGCCCTTGAAGACCTTCAGCGAACACAGGCGAATCGCTTTGATTGTCTGGAAGTAAGATGTTGGAAAGGACTCGAGGGGAAAAAGTTGTGTAGCTTCCCGCACACTTTCCGAACTATATCCTATAAGAAACCGAAAGGCTTAAACTTTGCGCCTGTGTTCGAGTCAAGAGCATGCAAGTATATTCTTAGTTGCGAGCTCCAAGCAACTGTAAAGTAAGATAAACAAAAAGTTTGTGTAAATCATATCTGCTATGTGTTACGTAAAATTGTATGTTTGTAAACACTCCCCATCACACAGGACAAATATTTTTGTACCTTTTTAAATAAACCTTCATTGAGTTGAATCTTATTTCTATTCAATTAAATAGGTAAATAACAGCATTATATATAGCTTCTTTAATACTTAAAAGGTTTCAAATCAGGAAAAACAAAGTGTGACACACTTTAAATGTGGGAAAATCTTGTTATTTTCGTCATAGTGCGTCGTAATAACGCGATGAGTCATGAGTTGACATATAATGTTTTTATTGAGTGTAACTGTAAACCATTGAATATAATTTAAGTTTTGATGCGGCTTTGGCCAATTATTTGTATAGAAACATAACATTTTAAGGTATATACTAGAAAGAAACAATTTTGTGTGTATAATATGTGTGTAGGTATGGTGCAATACTTACAAACCCATCTTTCGGCCCAAGAATGTGCAAAATCAATAATTAGAATAAGTTGTATAATAATAAAGCCGAAACCGCCGATCATGCCAAACACCATCCAGGTTGAAGCAAATTGTCCTTCAGGGATGAAGAAAGCCCCAATGATGCCTCCAATTACAATCAGATACTTGATGCCCCAGAAGCTGAAATACAAAACATAATTTATGCTTATCATCTACAACTGTAAACAGTATTATCAGTTACATTTGCAGACTTAAAGATAACACTGACTGAATGTTCTCTACAAGTAGGTACATATTGAGATAAACTTACCCATTTTGTATGCCAGCGCGAGGATCTTTAGAGGACTTTACTCCAATTGTTATAAGAGCCATCAAAACAAAGAAGAGACATGTTGCAAAACATATTCTGAAAAGATATTGTACCTTTATTTTGAGTTTAAAGGCATCAATGTTTTAATATTACACATACACACACACAAAGATGTTACCTATACACTGCCAAGTATCCAACAGCCTGATCACAGTCCACTTTAAAGTCACCGGGTACATAATGTGTTGAATTTTTACAAAATGGAACCTAGAAAGTAAAAGTGTTAACAAATATTAATCATTTAGAAATAAATATAAATCATCTTAGATATAAAGGTACAAATAAAATATATTAACTAAATGTACCTTTTTCATTTCATCATGTAATCCAGGAGCTAATGTGATACAAGCTACCACCATAACAAGAAGTAGCATAATCGTGTACATGAGACGAGTAGAGGTGGAGTTGGCACATGAAGGACATGCTGAGCAGCACAGTGAACAGGCTGCACTACCACAGCAGCATGCCAGCTATTAAAAAAATAAAACCACTTAAAAATAGAATATTTTATTTTTTCTTTGATTTTTAGTCACAGAAGCCATTGTAGTAAGTATTTATAAGCCAATATAAAATTTTCCAAGGTGAACTTGAGACTTAATATCTTTTTTAGGGTTGAGTCAAAAATTAAATATGTAAGTTAATAACGGATGATAAATTTATCAGTTTCATCATTATTAACTTAGAATTACAAGTGTATCTGTGGAAAATATATGTATAAGGTTTATTTCAATTCACTACTAATGACTGAATCATATTAGATTATACTATTATAGATGACCTTTACAAATACCCACTTTCTAACATAAAAAATAGCACATTCGAATTTACCAAGGATTTGTGAATACGTAAAAGAGAAACTTGGGTGGATGATTAAAATAATAAACAAAGATTACCTGGGCAGCAGAACAAAGGCCTAGCACAGCGCCCATCCTGCGAACTCTTCAGTAACTGGCTTCTCAGTCGTCAATTTCTATCCCCTAGTCCAGATATTTAGATACTTATACTTTGACAATGGTCTAGACAAAATCAATACCTAGCGACATATGTGGTTATTGTTATTTTCATTACTGTCGATGTCTCGATCGATAGAAAAACAAGTTGTTCTACATGTATTTATTGATTTGACGATGACGACAAAATAAAGACAATGAAGCATTAAGCATATGACATATGACATTGACATTTTGACACAATATTACAGATAACTAATACCATTACTCGATCATTCTTTCAGTGGTGTGTAAGGCTGGGGCTAATATAAACTATATTTTTCCTACAATCGGTATGCAGACAATCACAAAGTTTATGCACGTTTTGATGAACAGATTAGCGGATGCTGTCCATATTGTTATCAAGGATCTGGGGAATACTGCTAGATGGAGTTCAGTTTGTGGGATTGAAGTGAATCCTCCTAAATCCTACAATCCCCGCTTATTTAAGAAAAGGTGTCAAGTTCCTACACAAGACTCTTTCAGAAAAGGTTCAATAAGGACATCAGAGACTATCCAAGGGATTAATATTATGGGAGAGCCAAAAGGAATGGGGGAAGGATTGGGCCTTTAGTAGCCTCACTCAAACGGAAGTATACAACACAACATGCCAGTTTTATTTGAGGTAGTGTGACTCCAGTCTAGATGATTTATTCTTTTTTTTTTTTTTTTTTTTATTTTTTTATAAAAACGTTGCCCCACACTAGGATTTTCTCCTGTGTCGTGGGTGCGGTTACAAACATACAATTTCACATGCACATGACACCCAGACCTGGAACAACAATTTGTGGGTCACACAAAGAATTGTTCCGTGCGGGAATCGAACCCGCGACACGTTGCACGGCAGCCAGTTGCCCAGCCACCGCACCAACCGTGCAGTCAAAGTCGGGTTCTTATCTATATACTTATATATAATATTATAAAGCTGAATAGTTTGTTTGTTTGAACGTGAAAAGAATTGATCAATTTGAACCAGTAGATCCGGAGATTACTCCGGAATTATTGGTTCAAATTGTTCAAATCTTTTTTTGTATGTTAGTCCATTTATCGAGGAAGGCTATAAAATATCACGCTAAGATCTGTAGGGGCAGAGTAGCTAGTAGTACCACGCGAGAGTAGCTAGTATATTATATTTTGTATTTATAGACGCTTTTTTGTAAGGTGAAATCTATCAAATGACTTCTCCCGCTCAGGGTAGTCAGGGTGGAGTGGGAGGTCAGACTCTCACTGACTAACCCCTCCCTCCGTAACTTCTCCTGCTTTAAGCTGAACTTCAACCTTTAAAGGCTCCTTCTGTTGTGGTCTACTGGCTCTTGGTGGCGCGCGCGAAACGCTACACGCGCTTACGGTAGCCGGAGATCGTCTCTCAATCCCCGACACCCGAAGTGTTGCCTTCAGCGTCGGTTGGGGGGTGAGGAGGAGGATAGTACTCTCACGCGGTCCGCCTCTTTCTTTGCGAGCTTGACCGCTTAACAGAAAGGGGAGACAGCTTCCCTGTTCCACTCGTTACGCACCATGGTCTCGACTAAGGCTGGGCGCGAGACGACCGCCACCGATTACTTCCCTGAGGACACAGCGGTGCTCAGCTCAAGCAGGGCATACCGCAACCGAGTCCTCTCAATGACGACACTCATTTCCTCTCGCCGCATTCGAAACAGAAAACTACCGAAGCTGCCATGCCCAGTCAACATCTGCTTCAGGCGGAAGGCGAGGACGTCGCGGCGTCTCTCAAGCCACTCCTCAAAAAAAGGTCCCTCGGTTGCGGCAGACGTTGTGTATATAAAGAAGCTATGTTTGCTTTCAAGCTATAGTATCCCTAACCTGGAATTGCCCTGTTAGCAGTGTTGGCCAACCACAGGTTTTTAAGAAGAGATCACACAATGCGATATCAGGGCTCATTGTATAGTTGGAACATATTTATATTTTTTATTAAATGTCAATAAACATCAAAGGTGTGGTCGTGGTGGCCCGGAGGTTTAGGAGCCCGCTTCTCATGCATGAGGGTGTGGGTTCGAAACCTGGCAAGTACCAATGTGACTTTTTCCGAGTTATATGTACTTTCTATAATTATATAGACACCACTGACATACGGTAAAGGTAAATATCGTGAGGAAACCTGGATTTATAATTACTAATTATTAGTTTGAAATCGCCAACCCGCATTGAGCAAACGTGGTGATTAATGCTCAAATCTTCTCCGTTTGAGAAGAGGCCTTTGCTCAGCAGTGGGCACTTATAGGCTGATGATGGTGATGATGATGATGAAACATCAAAGAGAAAATATAAGCATAAACATAACACTCGGGATGCGAGACCTTAAATTATGTTTAAATAACGATGTACGGTCACCGACAACGAAGATAAATTTATAAAATTCCTTTGCAAATACTAGTCTGCATTTATTGGCCGACAAGAATGTCATAACTGACAAGAGTTTCGGGATATGATAATCTCTATTTATTTTATGGAGGAATTTCTGTACTCTATGATTTATTTGTAAACTAATTATTATCTATGTTTCCGAAAGTACTGTTTGGTACCTACTGTTCAAACCATAGATTATGTTGTTTGATAGTTTATTTCTCTTTGACTAGTATATAGTAATCTGTGGTTTATTTGTCTGTTATTTTTCATACCCACCTTTCACATTTGAAATTAGGATTGTAATTATTTTATGTAAATAAATAAAGCTTTTTCGGCAAGTTGCTTAGTTCTAAGTCCATTAGTAGAAAATTGTGTTGCTTAATACTGCCCACTAAATAATATGAAATGTTCTTTAAAAATAACCAGACTAATTTCTGCTTAGTTTGCTGATTATGCTTATCGCTTTTGGCTATTTAATTAAGCTTTTTAGTGCTTTTGCTTATGTGTTCGCTATACTTACCTAAAATTGTGCCGTTCGTCGCTTTAAAATCTCATTTTTAAATTAGCAACTAAAGTGCTTCCTTGGTGCACCAATGAATGCAGGTACGTTTTTTACTACTAAACGATATTTGTATGAATTACCTGCTACATTTTGACAGGATCATATTTGCAGGACTCTTGACTCTTGAACGTCGTTAAGATTTAAACTTGTCCTAAGTCCAATTACTTATCGGCTTGTCATCACAGAAAAGCGACGTGAAACAATATTATATGTTTTAAAATTAGGCAAATTCATAAATGCTTCCTTGTAATTTGCTTTGTTTCAAAAATTTATACTTACTATGCATGCGCTGCATAACTAGCCTCTCAAGTTTGTATTTGATTAATATTTAATACATTATTAATTTGATCTAAACTTTAATTAATATAAATAATATAACATGAGATAGGATTAAAAATGGGGTCAGAAAATAATGCCACATTGATTCTAATAATTGAAATATATTTTTCAAGACACACAAAATTCATACTAAACTTATTGAGGTATATTCAGGCAAATAGTCTACTTGAAGTAGCATGTAATAAAATAATAACATTTTTCAATATACATATACTTCATTAAACTGTTTAACATTATTTTGTCGAGTAGATAGATATATTTATTAGATAGGTACAATACTTTACAGTCAAATGTAGTCCGCTATGAAATGCAGTATTATACATTACAGATAGAGAGCTCAAAGTGCGGTCTATTATAGCTGTTAAGTTTTGTGATGTACAATTTGTCCTGTATCAATATCTATTCCAATATTATTTCCGAAATATTAACAGAAACATTTAATAATATAACTGTTATAACTATCAATATTAAATCAATATGGAACACATTCTGGACCTTTACATTAGATACAATATAAAGATAACATCGTCTAATCTAAGATCTTCTCAGTAAAATATAACATGCTCACATTCAACATTAAAGTTATAAATAATAATTTAGAAAATAATAAATAAAATCATTAATATCACAGTAGAATATCTGCCAGCTAGTCGCTACCGAACAATAACATTGGTGGTAAATAATCACAGAAGCCAAGTCAAAGGCAGTTATGATGAACTGGAGCTGACAGGACACTTACAAACTGCTGTGATATTGATAACTGAATACGTACATATAATATCTATCGAGAGATAATTATTCAACACATTTTGATCATTTTGCGACCTTAAAACTACTGGTAACCATTAATAACGACGTATCGATGTATCCACCGGCTCTTAACAAGAAACTAGATACTTCATGATTCTGAATCCTATGTAATATTGATATTTATATAAATTTGATACATACTGGCTTAACAAATTGCATGAGTAACTTCTTGTAACTTTTTGGTACACTTATATAAGCCACATAACCATTTCAATGAAATGTAAAAACTCATTTTTGTATTTTTATCTTTTGTTTAATTGCATATATTTGACATTGGAATGTACAAATTTTCCTCATTTATTTTGGCCTAGGCCTCGCAAGTAAACGGAGAAACTATAGCAAAAATGTTGTAGGTTTTATTTTTTAACATTTGTTTGTCCCTTTCCACTTTCAGCAGGACCTTAGCGATAAACAAATACTTGAGACGCTATAATAATGTACACGAGTGGTTTTTGTTCACATAAAACCTTGAGGAAGATATTAAAGATTTATCATAAGAATTTAGACAACTTGTAGAAATGGCAAAAGTAGGTACTCATTATATAGTATTCGTAGGTAGGTATTTATCGACACATCTCGAGATAATTCCATAGTGATTAGCAGTGATACTTAACATTTAGTACCTAGTCAGTGATGCCCACAAAATATGCCTACGCTAATAATAATATTTAGACTCCAAAACGCTCTTCAGATGCGCTGATATAAAATACTTTTATGACGTTTTCTTCCAAATTATTGCTTCTTATTATTAATACACAACAACTAATGACGTAACGGATTATATATAAAACATCCTACGCACATACGTAGTACATTTTTAATTGATGGTCATTTCTAGATGTATGGATAAGAAATATATTGTCGTTGTCGACTAGTTGTTAAATAAATAAAAAGCTGAGTGTAGTAGCTACTATCGGACACGTCAAGAAATATCTATATGAATAAAGTACTTAATTCGGTACCTACTAAAACAGGAGACATATTTTTATAAACTATAATTGCCCACATAAAAATAATATAAACTTCATTGGAATTGCAAAATACATAAAGGATAAACATTCAATCAAATATGTAGGTTTTAAAATAGTTAAAATGATATACAATTAAGATTAAACAATTTACAATAATGTAACATATTGTACAAAACGCGCAAAAGACTGCCATTACGGAGTGGGGTGCTTAGTTTAAATAATTTCCACGCTAGTTATTCTCCGTTATTGTGGATCGCGCATGTTTGTGTATGTATTTTTGGAAAGTTTTTACGCGTTCTGTATGTATATAGTGAAGTAATAGTGACATAAAACTATGATAAACATACTATTAATGTAAATAGTGTAGATAATAATAATACATGCTAGCTATGTAGGTAGGTACCATAAATTTAACTGAATTATTTTACAACAAAGGGCACTAAACATATGAAAATGTGAAGTAATCTAAATTCACAAAGACACTATTTAGAATAAAGGTTATACAATATTTTAAGTAAATATGCTACTCAACTAGAAGGTACAACATGGTTATTACAATGTCATTAATTAAATATTAATACATCGTCAGATTCTTATTATATAAGTACCGTTAACATTTACGTTGTGTTCACGCCTATTACCAGGTACTTATCAATATAAATAAACCTTACTAATTTGTGAATTTATTACATATTTACAAAAATGGTTATTGTGTTCAATAAGTTATACAAGAAAAATGAGCGTGTCATTAACTAAAAACATAGGTACTTGTTTTAAAGTGTCAATGTTGTTTGATAATTTTATTTGAACTTTAACCAAACTACTTTGCTGATCACTTGTCTAATCTAGGCTAATTCTTCTTAATAACATTTCAGACAAAGATGGTACATATAAAAATAGAATTTAATTGTAAAATTGCAGTAGGCACACCCTTTCCCTTTATAAAATGTTGGGTAATGGTATATATATGTACGTGACCAGTAAGAATAGCCCTAGACATGTGAACAACTGAAAATACGAACAAAATATCTTAATTTATTGTTTCAATTATGCTTTTTGTACTGATATGTAGTTTCTTGTTAGTATTATGACTTTGGTGTTGAGTGCATATAAAATTGAGCAAAAATTTTGGCTAAATAAATTAGTAAATTACGTAAAAATATTTACAAACCACTTAGTCATTAATAAATAAAGTGTCTTTATTTAAAAATAATTAAAAACTATAAAAAAATCCTCTATAATTTATATAAAATAAGAAATGATCTATGAAATATCATGTTCCTAAACGTAACTCTAATAGCTTCGAAAGTAAATTGAGATCGGCATCGTATTTATGCATAAATATGAAACTAGCATGCCATGTGGCGATCTGTGGACTCTAAAATATTTGTAATTGCAATGTATGAGAATACGACAAACTGTTTTAGTTTATAATTTGATTTAACCCTAGGTAAGGCTATACATTACACCGTAACATAGATGTGTAGAAGAAATTGACCTCCAGATAACGAGACATTTATGCATGGGCCTTGAATGAGACAAATCAGAAAATTATAAAATGTGTACCATGTCATTGATCAATGATTGTAAAATAGCTGAAATTATTTACAAACATTCACTCGTGTGAAATAACAAATATTAACTAAATATACGTAATACGTTTATTGTACCTAACATTATTAAATACTATTATTATGACTTCAACTTAAAATACAACTAAGAGCTATATTTAAAATCTAAGCTGCAGTTTAATCTAGATTCTTACAATATGGCAGTTGTCAAATCGCTAGCTGAGTTGTTGCTTACGACTACAGGTGATCTTTTGGTCTGGAAAGCGCGGAGTTTCATTGCGTCGAGCATTTGTTTTGCTATTTATGAATGACAACTTCATAATCATTTTCACAACCAATATTGCAATGAAATTTTATATTTGGTAAGACTTACAGGTACATCACGTAACATAATTATTATGATAGCACAATATCCAAATATACAAGTTATATTGAAAAATATAAAGCACCTGTAAAATAATTATGACGAAATTTGGCAAGATGCGCTGTTTATTTTATTTTCGAAGTTTAAATTTAAAGTAAAACATGATTTCCATGTTCTGAGATATAAGCATTCTTTAAATATATGAGAAATGGTACCGATGATTTTGTTTTAAAGTAAAAAGTTTTTGGGCTTAGAAAATTATTCTATTGGGATGATCAGATCTAAAATAATTTGATATACAGTTTAAGGGATGAGATTAAGAAATATGATGTATCGTTTTTACGTATATGGTTCTAATATCAGTAGAATTCGTACTTTAATAATTTGTATAACACCGAATAGACTTGGAACACGGTACATAGTACAATCTGTAATATGTGCGTTATTTGTATCAGCACCGATATTACTAAATAGCTCCGAGTGCACATTCTTCACACATGAACACATTACGTGTAAAATAGTCTAATATTGATTTCACAGTGATTGTATCATTTACGATTGGCACATTTTTAATTTTACATGCGTACCTACGTACCTATGGTATAAAACGGAGTATCGGAGTATTTGTAAACTTAGTACTGTTATTTTTTATTTAAGTAATAAAAGCATTTTGTGATTCTTTAACTTATAACCAGAACTACCTATCAACCAACAACAACAAACCTTGGTAACTGTCAAACACAAATAATTATTACTATGCCGTGATGTAGGTGACGAAACAAAAAAACTAATGGCGGTTCTTGTAAATTAATTACTGTGCCTTATATCTATAAGTTATAAACTCGTTATTACGAAGCCGTACAAAAGTTCGATTTAAACAATCACATTAAGTAACAATAATAATATTTATACTTTATCTATGTACACATCCAAAGATTGCTTTCAATTTTTAAATAGGTAGATACAGAATAATATCTTTATATAATTCACTATAGTATAATTATTATTTACATGTTAATTCAGTAATACTTAAAAAGTAATATTGCAGTTCTCGCAATCGCCATTCCTTCCAATCCTTCGCATTTCTGCGTCCTCGTTACACATTCCTCTCCAAATCTGTACGTGTTGGTGATGTTGTTTAGACTGTCCTCATTCAGTCTGCGTAGAGGTATCAAAAGACACGATTGTGTCCAGTTCTCGTCTTAAGTGTTTTTACGACGTCTTCATTAGGCCGCGGTGTCGGCGTTTTCATGTCGCGTTCCAATAGTAGGTACATAAAGTGTGCAGTCATCTTACATTGTACAGCGTGATGTTTCCTTCTTTTTTTTTCCTTTCCCTGGACGTCATAGCCTTGCTTGTACTCGTTCTGTAATATTTATACGGCAACGCAAAGGAGTCGTTGATAATACCACAATGGGAAGCTCCCGCGCCGCGGATGCGCTTAGCATCTTTTGAGTATTGTCTCCTTGTTCTAGTAGGACCATCATTGTATACAACACAGATATGTTCATAAAAATTTTAAGTCTAAACATGTTAGTAGTCTTTTCGTCGAATCTGAGATAACTTACTAGGCTAATTTCATATATTATATTTTATTATCATCTAATAAGTCAGTCAATATACATTTCATATTTAGTGATTTATATCACTGAAGTATTTTCGACAGCATTTTGTCGAACGACAGAGCATACAAGGTATACTCTGTGGATAGTAGAAATGGTGTGAAAACATTATCCTGTACGAGGCGTGGTCGATATAATCGATGCTGCACATTCGAAAATGTGGACGGAATTGGCCAATCTTTCTCGGTTAAATGATAAAATTCAATCTAAATATTATCAACACCGGTTTTTCCCGTAAAAGTAAGCCATTGTAATATAGGTAACCAGTAATTAAAATTACTCGTCGCTGTCAACGTTCGTTAAGGAAAATGGTTTCACACGTTATTATTCATCTCAGTCTAAACTTACAGCTACTTATATTCTAATATTCACAGTCTCCGCTCGAGAGCGTCACACGATTTTGCATTCCACATTTACGTCACAATTAAGGCGAATCTACTGCGCTACAAAAATACGTGGGCAATGTCCATTATGCAGCAGTCAAAACACGAGCCACATATAAAGAGCAAAAATATGTCTCCATTAATTTTTATCCAATATATGTAAATTTATCTGTCTCTGCTTATAATAAATAAAAACTTTGATTCATAATATAAATTTTCTTACAATTAAATCACGAGTTAATCGCGGAACAGTTCTCGCTCACCGCGAATGTCTTGTCATATTACATTTTTTCTGGGTAAATAGATGTATCATTAATACAACTGTGCATTCATTTTGTTTGGCCTGCCCGCGCATATGCATGCGAGCGTCGCGACCGCTAATCGCCAAAACGCGTGCATGCCTTCTTCCATTTGCACTGAGTGCACCAGAGATCACGTTGATCCATTCCGTATACTTTACGACATTTCTTGTTGTCTGAACGTGGTCGTCGGCCTGGACTGCTCGGTGATGCGTTCGCTGCAGATAACCGCATGTGTTTCTGCAAAGTTATAATGAGTTTAATATTTCAAATCTAAGTTTTTTTTTATAACAGCGCTCGTTAACTTAATAATGAAATGCTGCTTACCGGCGAATGCGTATTGACCCAGTGATGAGTAACAGGAATATTTACTGACCGTGCAGTCCCATTCTGCATAGTAGACAGTAATCCTTGTCTGAAAAAAATATTTACAAATATTAATGAAATAGCATGCTAATTTAAATAAGTGGCAGAACTAAATATAAAAGTTTGGACTAAATATAAAATAGTTATAGTTATTCAGATAGTTTTATTACTGTTTCTCCAATAGCAGTTAGGCTACCGCTATAACCAGGCTGTTATGATATTAGAGTATTACGTGTATAGGTCTTAACTAACAATTTTCTCTTTGAATGTTTGATATAGATATAGCAACTATTTCTGCGCAAACGTATTATGCATATGATACCTACCTAAATGACCCTACTAGCTGACGTTGATATTCAGGATCCTCATGCGGTGGGCGACACATGTCTCGGTGGGAGAGAGTGGGTGGCGGTGCAGGGGCGGCCACCTCCCTCTCTGTGTAGTAAAACTCCTCTTCATGGTCACTATCGCCTTCTTTCTTTGGCCTGAAAAGTAAGTAATTAATATTTAATGACATTTTTGGCAGAGTGTAACAATTACTACATCCGATATACGTAGATTTTATGATATTTGAGTTATATATAGATCATAATTTTCTAAATGCTAGAATCTACGTACAAAAGATAAATAATAGACTTGGAACTGAGTACAATATTAAAAGTGTAGGTATTGTATCATTGGTATTATAAGAGCATAGTAGGGCAGCGGCTGCGTTACGTAAGTAGTGGGCTGCGGGCGTTGTCGAATGGCCTTGCGCGCGCTGGCGGGATTGTTGCGAGCAACCTTGTCGCGAAGCCTCGTTGCTTCCGGGTCACCAAGGGCCGGCCTTTCTGTATTCTCTAACTATTTCATGCTAACTACTGTGTTGGAGACATCAAGGTCTTAGCTTTATTTTTGTTGATGGTTAAATACAAAACATGGCAATAAAACAAAAAATCGTATACATCGTGAAATTGATTCACTAGGTTTTTTAAACGTCTTACAATAAGAAAAATCTTTCTCTGCAGATCAGGAAGTAAAAAGTTTGCACATGCATTGCTAGATGCATTCAGGCTATAACCTTGCCAGCTGGCTTGTGGCATTGCGCAATTATTATTGCACCTAGCACGTGCAGTAGCTGACGCACGTGACCTTTTTTACACGTGACTGTTGCATTCTACTATTTGTGAGTTAATTTTGTAGTTTTACGCTGCCGGTAGTTATAAGTATATCAGAAATATATTATAATTGGAATAAAATATTTTTCTCATAGAATAACTTGGAAACTAAAAACAAAACAGAATATTTTTACTCACCCCAAATGTGTGTTTCTTATATGTGCTTCAATAGCTGAGCAAGTATTTGTGCTGTACGTGCATCCCCGCCAGGTACATACAAACACAACGCTGTTTATCTGTAACAATACAAGTTATTGTTAGAAAACGATGTTTCTTATACCGTTTATATGAAGAGCGATGTTGTAGTGAAGACGGAAGCAACTCTAGGTCGTGGCCTTGCGAGCAAAACGCGTCGTGGTAACACTGCTTCACCGCAAGTAAGCGCCACGCTTCGTACAAAGCCTGACGACATAATGCATTGTTAGAAAATATTTTCTCTTTGTGAGTTCATAATTAGCTTAAACAGTTCTTTGATTTGAAATAGCCTACATCATCTTTAGATCTGGATGTATATCAATGTATCAAAGATACTAATACTAAGTTAAAATACTGAGTTGGCTTCCACTTCACCAAATTTACACACGTTAGAGAGCCGACCGTGACGAAACACGCAGGGCCGCAGTTGGCGTGTCTTGCCAAAGTTTCTGCATCGACCTTCTGCTCAATGCCACATTATTTCAGCCGAGTTGGGCTATGTACACTAAACGGTATACCATACTTAGTGGTATAACGTTTTATTTAACTAAGCCTAGGTCACATCTTTATCAGTCCCTATAAAAATAAATTTTCTGCTGAAAACTTCGTTCCTTCGTCGTATTCTTTCTGTATGATGTAGCCATAATTGACAAATTGATTCTAATAATTGATGGCCTACTTGTATTTACGTGACTAATTTGTTAAGTCAATATTACTTTTAAATTAGTGAATAGCAATTCATATAAATGATTTGGGTTTACCTACAGTCAAATATGCAGTGTCAGATCTAGCAGAGTTTTAAATGCAATCAAAAGTAGGTTAGGTCACGAGGGAATGAGGTAGAGGAGCACGGTAGTCCGGGGAGTGCAAAATGGTGGTTGAGGAGGAGGGGTAGAGTCCGCGAACTGGGTCGGTTCACCAGGGCCAAGGGTGGTGTATGAAGGTTGCGCTTCTTTGTTTAATTTGAGAACAAATTAAATTGATAATCAATATAGTAGGTATTTAATAAGCAATTATAGAATTTCGTCTATTATGGCGCGTTTAAAATGAGTAATTAAAATTACAGATATTAAGTAATTCAATATACAGATACCAAGACTATCTTGGTATCTGTATATTGAATTACTTAATAATATAATAAAATTCATATGTTATAGTGAAAAGATTGATACTCATACAGTTACTTCTATAACGTGACAATGTAAAAAATATTCGTTTTCAAACTATTTTATTATTATTACGCATCAAGGATTTTTACGACGACGTAATTGTATAAGTTTTTTTAACTAACGTTGTAGCAAGACCATTTTCATATAAAATAGCAAAACGTAAAAGACGTATCAGTTCCTTGTGTTAGCACAGTACGTATCTATAGTTTATTTTAATATAGCTTCACCTTCCCTTGGTGCGGGACGAGGGGAGTGTGGATCGAATGTCGGTGCGCGTGTTTTACTTCAGGAGGGCGCCTCCCTCCCTTCGCTGCACCACTGACCTACTTTCAGCGTTTGATAAAGCTTTGATACATTTTTTTATATTCATGTATTTTTGTCAGATTTCTTGTAATTTCCCGTTAACCACCGCATGGGCGTGCTAGTGTCCGTACAAAATGTCTATTTTTATATCATTCCAAAGCGATTTACGTCGGTCAATAATTAAAATTAAATATTAAAAAATAATTTCTACTGGGTGTAAAATCTAGTAAATAATGTGATAACTTCCAAGGTGTATTGTAAAGGGTTCATAGCAATTTTTCTACGTAAAAATCTCGTTCAGCAAAACCTGTATATGACTCAGTACCTACATATATCAAATAAATATTAGGAAAAGTCTAGCAAAAATAAAGATCTGGATTTAATATTTACTCTTCTTAGTAGTTTAGAAAGTATTATTTTATGCTTACTTTAAAATGATATTTAATATTGTATTAAAACTTTAAAGATGATAAAGTACTTTTTTGCAGTTCCGCACCTACAAATCTTTTATAGTATTTGCCAAAATAACATTTTATTTATTAATATGGAAACCATTTTGATTTCAGAATAGCCTAGTTCTATCTTTGTGTGTCGTCGGTACGCTTACACGTGCCAGTTCAGTTCTATGTGTGCAATGCAGTTGTTGATGCCAGTAGTGTGCAGTTGTATGACGTAGCTACCCATCTATGCATTCACTTATTATAAAACATTGCTCTCATCACATTGTTCAGTTAAATGTTTGTTTCAGTACATTATATCAATTGCTGGTAATGTTAAAATAATAATTATAGAATTACTAAGTATAATTTAATGTATATGTAAATTTAGTTGTATTATTGTTGATTAACTAAGCAGATAAGCCATAATTTGTAAAAAAAAGTATGTGATAATAATAGAATTATGAGATTAGAATTGTTTCCATTGTTGGTTGTAAGCATTTTTTATTCGTATATAGATTATAAAATACCGGTTTGCCGTTAGCTAAATGAGTCTACCTACCTAAAAGCAACCCGGCAAGAAAATATAAATTGACTGCGTTCTTGTTTAAGTCCGTAAACAACTCTATGGTAGACGAAATTATATCTTAACAACTTGAAATACAGTTGAAATTGAAATAAAGCACTTCCTCATAGAATATACCGGCACAAAATGCCGGTTTGTTATTGCGCTGTCTCTTTCCACCGCAAAACGCCGCGAGATGATGATATTGATTTGTTTTCATTGCGTCTCTTTTTTACCCATGAGTATACATACTAAGTCCGTTTCATCCGCTTGACCTTCCTTTTTACAGACACAGATACGCACACACACACGCATAGTTCTTAACAGTGCCAGATAAGTTGTTTTCGTGTCATCTCCTTCTAGCTCTAGAAACGAAGCGAATGAGGAAGACGCCATTTAACGAGATATGTTGCGTTACCTACTGGCTGCGTGTTGCCAGCCGGCACTTTTGTGCGGTGTTTGTGAGATGCGCGTCTATTGTGACGGAACTTCTGAATATGATAATGTAGGCCACTACTGACAGCCGGGACAAGCTTTGTTTTGTTTTAATTTGTACATACATATATTGTTGCGTCAATAGTCAACAAAACAAAGTTCATGTTAATTTAGTCTATTTGAATGTATTTAATCAGTTTAACTAAAGTAACGTGGGGCATAACATTTAGGTAAATCCTCACGTGGCTATGTTTCAAAACAAGCTTTGTCCACAATTTGCAAGTTTACAAATAAAAGTCTCACTAAAACATGAAGTTGTTTAAAAAGTAAAATACAAAAATCGTTTCCGTAAGCCATTTCCGTAAACATTAAAGATAAGATTATTAGAATTTTTTGCACTTAAATCTGAACGGAAAAAGGTGAATGCTAGGTAGTTCCTTTCTAATTTTATCATCAGAATAATAAAAAATAATTATTAATAATATAAATACTTAATTTATTTTATATGTATTAACTATGGTTATTATATATTTCCTACTTGGCTGGATATGTAATGAATCTTTCTCAAATAGGCACGTTATTTAGTGTATAAATACATTAGTTATGTGAGTCTATTGAGGACTTTGTTAGTTTGTAAGCTACTAGTATAGCTTGTCGCAAAGAAATTAGATGAGATAGCACGATGCCGATGCACGAGCGAGAAAGCGCACACGGAGTGCACCCCATAAGCTAAGGGACAACCAGGAGAATGGCAGGTCACTGAACTGCCAATGGTTTTACCCTTACTGTTCGACGAAATGGTACGGAACTTTGTTGTAACGTTTGACCCCCCAGTGAGCGTAAGTTATGAAGCTTTAATTGAAACAATGGCAATTCATGTATTAAATATAATTTTAAGCTTAATTTTATTTTGTTTGTAACTAAATATTTTATGTACCAGTATCCACATAAGCGATAATCTGAATTCGCGCAAAGCAGATATTATTGTTAAATGAAAAACAATGTCGGTGTAAAGTATTCAGGCAGGTCCATACAATTATAAATATAGCCTGAAGCTTGTTGGACCTATGTGCTACAGGTGGCGACGCGGATGCATTGAACTCAGGTCCAAAACATTCCCCTCGGCGAGCTCCCCGCCGCCTCCGCGGCGGGAGCGGGTGCTACACCCTCATCACTATGTTTTTCACACAAAGCTACCTACGCTGCGACACACGCTCCAGAATATGGACATAAAACATAAAAAAAAACTCTTGGAGGCAAGAAACTACGCAGCGTTCGTTCGCCTCATCTCGAGTTGCGGGTTAACTTATATTATTGTTTCTTACTTGATTCAAAAAATAAAGATTTAATAAAAACAACATAGTTATTATTTTAGATGAAGAAATCTCTGCCTCTTGTGCCTGTTTCAGATTACAAGAAATATAATGGGTAATTGTTAGGATCACAAAAGGGTCTATTAATTTCCAAAGTGTGACCACGCGACCAATTAGGTAAACGGGCAAAGGTTATTATCGTCACTTGTCGTGAGCCGGCTGCGTGAAAATGTGCGTCATCCTGATACTCTAGCGTAGTAATAAATTAGGTCGATCTGAGAACACAGTAGTTATTTTGCAGATAATATTTTTGTTTACAATGAGCATTATAATATTAGTTTCGCTGGATGTATTTAGTGATTCGGATGAGTCATGTCTACAAAGCTCTCGTGTGGTGGTGAAAATGATGAATCAGACGCATGGAGCAGTCGCCAATCGGTGTAAAGCCGCGGCGCCACTTCTTTGGTCACCGACCCCTACAGGTTCTAACTTGTAACCATTTCACTTTTTATTCCTATAAAACAGGACCAGCCAATTAAATCTTCATAAATGTGTTGAGGAAAATAATGAATTTGTTTCTGGAAAGATATACACGTTTGAATATATTCATATTTCTAGGCATACAAATAATAAAAAAAATTAAAGTATCTCTTAACGTTCTTTTAAATTGATTCAGCTATCGGCGTTCATAGGTGCGAAGCAAAAATTGGCAGTTGTTCAAAGCTTGCCACACAATTTTAAGGGTATAAAAAGATTGGAATACTCGAGGAATCTGGCGTAACAATATCAGACATCGCAATATACATTATTTTGTGGAAC